AAGACTCAACTCATAGATTACGTACCTAACAGTTCCATATAAACAACATTTCTTGTAAATATTTTATCATTTTTCAAAAGCTGATCTGGTTTTTTTTTATGTTTCCCACTATAGCCGTGTAATAGGTTGTCCGTGTTGATCATCGTCAATGATAATGTATGGCTGCATGGTACCACCCATTGTCGCCAGTACGTTTACAAATTTCAGTCAATTCTTTATAGCGATAATATTTTGTTTACATGACTAAGAACTACCCTACTACCTGATTTTCTGCTTAACCTCTCTGTCGCAATTTTATTTGCATGAATTGGCATTCATTGGCTAGTTACTGTTATATCGTAAATTATATTTACCTGAAACAAAAATGCAGAATTGAAAGGCCTAATGTCGTCCAGATGGTTTTTTTTGTTTCCGTTAAATGGGAATAATGCGAATCCTTCAATAAAAGTTGTATTAAAGTTTCTTGGATGTAGTCACATTCTTTTAAAATCCCTTGACTTTTATGAAAACACTAGCAGAGTACCCGTCCTTCGTACGGGGTTGGCATAAGTATAAAATGTTTATTGCAGTTATGCTCATAAGCTTTCTGATTGCAATGGGGAAGGACACAGTTTGATAACATTTTGCTTCTCTAAATTTAAGGTATACTATAGTATTACACATCTACCATAGCCATAATGTTCTACCACTAAAAAAATATTATTACAAATTCTCAAAATATCACAAATTATTCATGAAATTAAAAACAGAAACATAACTGTAATCAATCCTTCTTTGACAGTTCTCATTGCGTATCACAGTTTTATAAATGCAAAAGAAATAGTGCAGCACCCTGTTGGTAAATCTAATAACTTTTTAAGGCTTTTGCATATCATAGAACAAACCTTTTTATTTGAAACAGCCGACTAAATTCTTTTATTCCCTTTAAATATTAATACTCATAAGATTAACATGGGGAACTACAGAGCCACTGGGGCGGAGCCCGAAAAGATTTTTGAGATAAGAATATGCCTATACATTTATGTTAATCGGAAATGTAAAGCTATCATTGTGCCAAATTTCAGCCCAGAACTCCTCCCTCATTTTAGGACCGATTTTGATGATTAGGGTAAAAGAAAATTGCCCTGATCTGTAGTTGTGCAAAGTGTTTTTCGTTTTTTGATATCTTTATTAGTTTGGGCAGGATCTTCCATCAAAGTTGGTTTCTCTCCCATAAGATTAACATGGGGGAATCTAAATATTTAATTGGAAACTTTGTTTCCACTAATTTGAGAGAACGGCTGGGCGTAGAAACTTGGTAGGAGGTGTCCAAAGAAAGGTTTTGGTCTGTAGATGAGTTATCATTATCAAAAGAAAAACGAAATAAATTCGCTTAGGACTCTGCCCCAGAAGCCTTTAAAGATCCCTCCACAGATTTGTTTACATTTCGGTCATGTGGATAATAATTTTTAATAAAAACAGCTGTTCATTTAAAAATTGTATTTTAAACAACACACACTGAATTGTCTAAAAGAATTATTTGCAATGTTATTTTCTGATTTTAAAATTGATTTTCTTCTGTATCATGTCATGTGTTGCAATTGGTTGCAATATAAAGTTCCATTACGAAATCAGTGGAAAATCCTTTTATCACAATAACTCTGTATACAAATAAGAACTTCAACTCTTAGAGAGCCTTTGAATGTTATTATACTAACAAAAAGGGTTATGCATGTTTACTAGCGCTACTCAGCAACAAAAACCATTTAATTTATCTCTAAAATATATATTCTTAAGGTGCACTGAGCAGCAGCCTAAAAATTCAATGTAACTTGCCCTTATAATATACAGTAGTTACAAAATGCTCATACTCGCATTGTGACATTTATAATTCGGCTTATAATTCTCCAACAGAAAATTCATCAGCAGAAGAATTTTATTGTACTCTTACCGTTTCTAATAACATCCAAACACAGAAACCCTGCCTAAAATGGTACCTGTCTTGACAAATTATTTTCAGTGGCCTATATTACGGACCGTGGCCCACTGGGTTGGTAACATTATTGAAAATAACACGACGATTTTGGCTGTAAAATGGCCCATTGAGTAAATACTATTCAAGCAGCTACTGTCATGACAGAAAGGTCATATTCCTTTTAAACTAGATCACATAATTCTTTATAAGATACGTTGATTAACAATGCATGTAAACGTAAATATTTACGTAACAGCCAATTAACATTATTTTTTGCTTTTTGGAAATGCCACATTATTGTGTCATTCGCATTATTTGTTTCCAATGAAGCTGCACGACCATATAAATGAGGAGGCTCCTAACAATCCGTAGAGAGATTATATTGACAACTTTATGTAACTGATAAGGCTGAGACAACTAACTATGACATCCCCCATGTCAAGGAATTCCAGCTTTAACAGTAACCTCAAAACCAATTTCTCAAAACTGTGCTAGAGGGTTATTCATCGGCACAGAAGTACGATATGAACTGACGCGACGTGACAAAGGAAAAATCAAACTTACACCACAGACAATGGAAACAAAGACAAAGTATTATATAGTCTGTGCTATTACCATTAGCGAAAAAATCTCTCATGGCAAAAATAATACGATCCTGATGAAATTTGTACAAACGTGTCGTGTAAACCTACAACGAATGAGTCCGCGAACCAACACAATTGGAATACGCGAAAATGAGTTTATGAGGGTAATAAGAATAAGGTAAAGATTTTTACATGGGCATAATGATTGAATTTCCAAACAAAATTTAAAATGTTAACCAATTGTAAATAGCTTATGTATGGCATGCAGAAGGAATTTTGTATATATTTTATGTATTTCTGTAATTTACGTAACCAATGCATAACTTATGTAAATCTGGTTGAATAAATCACTTATGACTTTAGAGTAAAATACCCCCGCCGCAGCAAACCTGCATACTAAGCGAATTTCCATTTGCCTAACTGGATTTACACTAAAGTGTCTCCTTTAAAATATCACGTAAACTATCGTACGTAACTCGTCCAAAATGTGTGTACCGGACTCGTATGGTAATCCCGTACTCGACTTCGTCTCGCACGGGAACGACCACACTCGTCCGGTAAACACACTTATTTTCAGGACTAGTAACGTAATATCGTATTACCGTGTACTTAGTCAGCTGTTGAAATAAACAGCTAATTTCAGCGGCCTATTTTATTTTCAGAAAAAAATCTAATTTATGTTCTGTCCTAAATAAATTTTGTCGCACGAAAATCCCGTATTCGGCTACGCCTTCGATAAAACACCTTACCGCTTACCGGGCTAGTAACGTAATACAGTAGGCATATACTATTATTTTCTTTATACCTACTGCATTTAGATAAGGTGTTTAAGTTTCTTAAGCAGCCATTACAGTTTACAGGTGGTTCTGATGTGTGTTTCTAAATACTGCAACAACTCTATGATTTATTTTAAATACCCCCCCCCCCCGCAGCAAACCTGCAGACTAAACGAATTTCCATTTGCTTGATTGGATTTACACTATCTCCTTAAAATATCACAAAATTATTCCCTATTTCAATATTGCATTAGTTTAACAAGTACTTAGGAGTTAGGTACCTATGTTGTAACAGGGAGGGTTTTAAAGTTTTTTTTTTTTTTTTTTTTTTTTTTTTTTTTTTTATTATTATTACATGTAGGTAGTTTAGTATGAAATAAATGCATTTTCAAATTTTGATCAAAAGATGTTCATAAACAAGCTAACTACAACAGTTTACCTACTTATTCTCCATAAGAATAACATAGGGATTTTAAATTTAAAACTGTTTGAGTTTTCTCCGTAACCATAGGCGCATAATAATGCTTCAATATACTAAATAATTTGTTTTTAAGCTCTACAAAATAGTTTGGAAAGAAATTATTGCAAAATTTTATGTTGTCATTGCTTGGATCGCCATATTGGCAATGGAATGGTTAACAAAAGAATCAAAGCATCTGCAGAGGCAAATTAACGCAGTTTTTTCATTTTCTCATTTCCGGTGTAAGTTGCTGATACAAATGTACTACAACTCATTTAATATTTCAAAGTGTAACAATGAACAACGTAAAATTGTTATTTGGGTTAATCTGTTTTAACACTAAGCTAGCAAGTTAAATGAAAAAAACTATGTACTATATCATTATAATTTCAAATAAATGTATGATTGAAAAAACTTGGATGGATACCATAATCATCCTCTATCAAAGTTTGGCCTAGGTAGCACGTTTTAACTACCTTCTTACACGAAAAAAAACAGTCAATAAATCAAGTGCGACAAATGTCAAATTATTTTAAGCCTTCAAACGGAAGAACACATATTATATACACAAGATAGTTAAGATAGCATTCACAAATTTGAAGGAGACTGCAAGCGCCGTGAATAGAAGTCGTTCGGATCGGAGTTTAAAAAAGAACGACTCTCATTATACTCAACCGATCTGTTCAGCAAGAGCTGTTCACCTTCAATTTGAATCTCCCGCTCTTTGTCGATCTGTTTTGCTTGTCGACATTTTGCGTGTCGATAAAGTGGGAAAATTTACACAACCGTCCCACATAACAGACATCCCACATAACCGACATCCCACTTTACAGACATCCCATATTACCGACACTGTCGACATTTTGAGTTGTCGACAAAGTGGGACTATTTCAGTGTCGATCTTTTGGGATGTCGATAAACTGGGACCCCACGGATATTTTGAGTTGTCAACAAGATGGGACTATTTCAATGACGACCTATATGAGGCAGGGATACCATTGAGGGGGGGCAGTGAACATTGAAATAGTCGCATAAATTAACTGCAACGTTGCATGATAACTAGGCGTGCCAAAGACAAACGGGCAAAAAATAGTCGTGCTTGCCTAGTCAGCTGTTTAATAAGGTATTTGAAAAAAGTTATATAGCTAAACTTTTAAACTATAACAAGCAAGCTTTAGCTTGAATTTGAGGTTATTTCACTCGTGCGTGAATTATTTTGATTTGATAGTGACCAATGTCATGTCCAATTTATTAAAATGATTAGCCTATTAAACATAAAATACCTAAATACTGTACCTAGCTTAGTTATTTAGCTTGTAATTTAAAATCAAGACAAATGTCCAACAGTATCACAGCACTGTCTATTTTTATACGGAAAATCTTTTTATTTTGTCTCAAGAAAGGTAAGTTAGGCCTAATGATAATGTTGACATCTCTGTTCAGAAGTCAGGCCGAGGCCTAGTTTAGCAAACCTAACTAGGCCTAGTTTAGCAAATTTAACTAGGCCTAAGTAAACTTATAAAACTTTATTTCAAATAGGCCTAGGCCTAGGATTAAATTTGATTAACTTAACCCTCCAAGTGACCATAGTTTAGGCCTTAATGTCCGCCTATTTTTGGCGCATTTGCAAGGTTTTATTAAAACGGAGGGTACAGTTTCTTAACTGGGCTATGCTAATTTCGATTGAAACTATTGATTCGATAAGTAAACCTTCATGCGATTTGTTCACTATCAGCAAGTTTGGTTGGTTAGGTTAGGTTATGGGTAGTTTAATTTAATAATAGATATATAAATATTGATTATTAATGAATATTTTCAATTCGATAGTTACAATCGATATTAGCATAGCCCAGTTAAGAAACTGTACCCAAAACGGATCTGAGAAGCTTAAAACAATGTTAATTCTACTGTTCTATATACCATTTTGTTTGGAAAATCATGGGCTTCAATATTATACATAAAACATAAGGAACATTTATTTCAAAAAAAATTTTTTGGTAAAAAAATAATATTTTGGAAAATTAAAAAAAAAAATAAGTTTGCGCTTAATGAAATTGTATAAATTATAGGCCTATAAATATTTGAAAATAGCCACTTTGTTCTAAATTTTATGAGGATTACAAATATATAATAATATAGGCTAAGGAAGTAGATTTGCAAATAAATAAGTTATGGGCAAAAACCAGATTTCAGTAAGTTACATAGCGTTTAGCTAACCATAGCTAGGAATCTGGCTGATAATTTACATCAATATCACTACCTACTTCTTCAGGATCATCAACCAGCCCTTCAAAATCACTTAAATCTTCTTATAATGCACCACGTATATCACTACTTTTGATTTTTAACACTAAAACAATGAGAAACGTAATAAAACACATCAGTCATTGGTCCGAGGGTAACCTAGCTGTTTACAAATACGCACGTCAGCTGTCTGCTACAATTACGATCGGCTCGGAGAACATAAAGCGCTTAGAGACAGACCTCTGGAGAAAGCGTAGAATATAACAAAAAGAACGATACCTAACTCGATCCATTTCAATCCGATTCAGTCCGTCATAGAGCCTTCGCCGTAAACGATGTTCGTGCGTCGAAAAATCGACGCGTGACACTACACAAAGTGTGTCGCGCGTCGATTTTTCGGAGGGTTAAATATTTAATTTTTTCAAGTAGCCTAGGTAGCGTTCCGACTCTTTGATAACCTTATGTGTAGGCCTATCTCATGACAGGGAGCAATTTGTTAATTACCTACCACTATTTAGAATAGGTTGTATGTTACCTCGAGTGAATTGATGTTATATAACTAACACTGTGGTTGGGGATGAACAAATAAGTTATTGGGTAATAACTAATACCCTTCATAATCAACATTAGGCTATTTTGTTATTGGCATTTTATGCTAACAAGCCCTAGCCAGTCAGAGTAAAGCCTTGTTCACACGGGGTGAGCTTACAAACTACTCGCCAGCGTGTAAGAAGCCGGCGAGTGAGCTTGTAGTCGTTCACACGATGCTTTTTCCACTCGTTCAGTAGCTGGCTTGAACCAAATCATCTTTGAACATATTTTGATAACATGCACACAAGTGCGCACAAGCACAAGCAACTGTGTTCTCACTGGGCTACTTTACACGTCTACTTGCTCAAAAGCTGGCTAGTTTAAGTGTTAAGTACCGCAGAGTCAACTTTTTCCAGAGCTTTTTTACAAGCAGCTTTTGAGTGAGTACTGGTACGTCGTTCACACTGAGCTATTTTACTAAAAAGCCGGTGTGTAGCTTGTAAACTCGCCCCATGTGAACGGAGCTTTAGGATGTTTCCCGTCCTACATAACCTAGGCCTAGCCTATGCTACCATCCTGCTGATACAGAACTGAAGAATATTTACTGCAAAACCATCAATAATATCACATTTGCGTTAAAATACACCTAGTTGCAATTAACATTAAAGCGTTTACTCATTTTCATAGTTGGGAAAGTTATTAAAAAATTCTAACTAGTTAGAAGTTATAAGTTAGTCCCATATAAAGTAACTGATATAAGTTACTACCTAGTTAATTATTTTAAAAAGTAACTGATAGAAGTTATTAGTTATTTGAAAAACTTAGTTATTTGAAAAACTAACTGATAGAAAATAAAGTTAGTTTTCATAGAAGTTAGCTGTTTTTGGGGAAGTTGTTTTAAAGGTTTTCATATTTAATGAATTAATGACACATCTTGGTTACATTACTAATCTATACTATAATATGAGTAAAGTTAGCGCAAATCCTATACTCTAATACGAGCAATGTTTGCTTGTATGCTTGCTTTCTTGCTTGCTTGCACAAAGATTTCAAAAACGGCTCCGACGATTTTCTTCAAATTTTGTGAATAGTTCATTTCTGGCCTAAAAACGAGTTTCATGCAGTTAGAACTGCCAACAAAAATGTAATTACGTAGAAAAATGAAACTGAAAATCACATTTTTTTAACATTAATCTTATGGGTTGCTAGGTAACCATGTTGGTTAACAAGGAAAAAGTAAACAAAAGACTTGAAGTTGTAGCATGTGTTCATAATAAGCCAACTACCCACAGTAGCCTATACTAGCAAATTACAAATACAGTACAAAAGGAAAAACATCACTTGTTAATATTGAGCAAAGATTATACTTAAGATTACTCGATACATTGTAGTTAAGGGTAGCAGTGCGAAGTCTAGGATCTGTTTATGACGAATACATTAAGGTATCTGCAATCCTAAAATGCTATGGGAAGGGAAGGAAACAGGTCCGTGACGTAGGAAGTAGTCAAGGAAGTAGTCAAGGCGAGCTGTCCGGAGTGTGGGAACTGTTTATGACGATTAGATTAATGTATCTGCAATCTTTAAATGCAATGGGAAGGGAGGGAAACATGTTTGCGACGTAGGAAGTGGTGAAGGAAGTAGTAAAGGCGATTAGTATGGAGCGTGGGAACTGTTTATGACGATTAGATTAACGTATCTGCAATTCTGAATGCTATGGGAAGGGAGAAAAACAGGTCCGCGACGTTGGAAGTGGTGAAGGAAGTAGTCAAGGCGAGCTGTCCGGAGTGTGGGAACTGTTAATAACGATTAGATTAAGGTATCTACAATCCTAAAGTGCTATGGGAATGGAGGGAAACAGGTCCATGACGTTGGAAATGGTGTAGGACGTTGTAAAGGCGAGCCGTATGGAGTTTGGGATACAGATTTATGTATCTCCGATACTAAGACTGCTTTCAGAGTGAACTAATGATTTTCTCCGAGCAAAGCTCGGTCCCCAGGTACTAATTTAAAAACGGGCCCTACAATTTCCTCCAAATTGTTAGAAATATCTTAGTTTTAGGCTAAAAACAATATCCATGCCAGACTCTGTTCTAGGAAAATTTGTTTTTCATTAAAACTTAAAATTAAATTTCTATATTTCTAACATTTAGGGCCATGTCATACGAGCGCTGTTGCCGTCGCGCAGATGCCGTCGAGATAGCGCCGGAAGAAGTACATGTCATACGTGACGGCAAATGCGTCGCGTTGATGCCGTCCCACCAACGCCAGGTGCCTGTCATACGTAGCGTCTTCCGGGCGCATTTGCCGTCACGGCAAAGATGGACACCATCCAGTTTGGTTGTATCAGCTTTTTGCACATTTTAGATACATATGAAGAGTATCATTTTAATCAAAGGGACAGCATTATTTTTATTAAATATAAAACAAGTACAACTGATTTCCACATCTGATTCAGTTTTCGTGCATGGCCTCCCAATCCTCGTTCCAGCACTGTGCCTTCAGTTGCCTGTTGCTGTAATCACTCGACTTTACATCGTACAAAGGTGGCAGTTTTTCAACTAAATAAATAGATTTTTCCGTATTAAACATCGTATCAAATACCGTAATGATCACTCCAAAGGTGTTCCAGTAGTTGTTCTGACAGTGCTCACGCGGCAAATGCGTCCCGCTGGCGCTAGCGCTCAAATGACAGGGTCCCGCGTTACGTGCGCCGCGTCGCTAACGCGACCGTCCGCGTTGGCAGCGCTCAGCGTCCGGCTAACGCGGACTCGACGACGGCATTAGCGTCCGTATGACATGCTCCATAAGAACCCCATTACCGGGTTGGAGCGACTTTAACGCGACGGCATCAGCGCGACGGCAACAGCGCTCGTATGACATGGCCCTTAGTGTTAATGACTAATTTCATATATATGTATGACCATTGATTAATCTTTATATTTCTGTTGTATGGTTTATTTGTGAAGATTAATTATCACTTGTTTTAATATTGTTAAATGGGTAAATAAATAGTGATAAAAATGTTGTACTGAAATTGACTACGGTACTTTTATTTTGACTTTGATAATTGACAATTTAATAATTAGTCTTATGGATTGGATTGTAAAGTAGCTATGACAGTGTTATGAAAATGTAAACAAATGGATTGTAACACAAACTTTTAACAAATAATCTACAGTACAGTAGCATTACCAAAGCTAATTACAAAATACAGTACAAAGGAAAAGGGAATATCTATGAATGCAAGATTGAGAATTGCTTATACAACACATTTGCATTGTATCATGTATTACTAACCAAAGGGATGATTACGACTGTTAAAAAACATTAAGTGTTTTACAGCAAAACATTATACTGATACTAAAATAAAGGTGTAAGTAAAGGAAAGGCCAAGGACGTTTTGTATTTCAATGTGCCGCACGAATTGATACGTTATTACACCATCCCGTAATTATAGTTGCGACGTTCCGCGATCCCAGTGACTAACGCAATATTTATTTAATATTAATAATTAATATATATTAATTTAGCAGCTGCTGTCACAGGAAGGTTAGGCCCTATGTTTATAAGATTGGTTGATTAATAACAATGCATGTAAACGTCGCTATTCACATACATAACAGACGGTATTTGCTTTTTGGAAATGCAGCATTGCTTTGTCATTTGCATTATTTGTTGCCAATGAAGCCGCACGAACTTATGAATGAGGCCCCTAACAGTTCAAGAATAAAAGCCAGATTCACTAAAAGTATATTCCACTACACCTAACATTCAGAATTCCGAAGATAGATTATATTGAAAAATTTATGTAATTGATAAGGCTGAGATAAATGACATCCGCATGTTATGCGATTCCAGATTTAATAGTAAACCAGTGACCAATTTATCAATAGATGGTTATTCATCTGCACAGAAGTAAGGTATGATGACCGACGTGACGAAGGAAAAATTAAAACTTACACAGCTTTAGGGTGGGCCTCCGTTTGAATTAAGAACGTGCCTTCTCAATAAACAGATATTTAAAAAAAGCATGGATTTAATCTGCATAACACTGATGAAATCGTGGAAGTGTTTACCACAAAAGATCCACCAATACGATTTTAATACTATTTTAAGGTTCCTCAAAAGTATTCTACATATATTCCTCCAAAAGAAGAGAAACCAGTTAACATAATAACAATAACTCCTACGACGTACTGTATAAGAAATATGCTAGGTAGGCCTATTCATTGAATGATCAACCATATTTTGTTACTAACACAATAGACATTATTGTTTTTACACTTATTTATTAGGTACTCATTAAACAATACTAAATGATCAATTCTTTTGATAATTTCACTCTATTTATTGCAGTTAGATTAATTAGCATAAGCCTTTAAAGCAACTGTCGATTTCTAAGGGTTTCACCCAGTATATTTTAGATTACAAAATTAAGCTGCTCAATACCATTAATAAGGCCTACTAATGTAGCATAGCTTAAACCAAGTGGAGTTGTGATAGGCCTAACTCATAATATTATGCTATCAACATACGGTACTGTATTATGTTGATGGTAGGCTATAACAGCATTAAGTCTAACTTGAAATTATATTTTTGGGTACACTCCCGCAGAGAACCTACGATATATATTAGGGCAACAAGATGTTGGGCTTCATCTCAAGATCTACCCCTGGGATTAACAACCTTGATGCCCTAAGATTGCTATGCTGAGCTATGGTGAGACAGCTTGTGGAGTACGTCAGACCCGTGTGGTCACCCTATACCATTAGTGAAAAAAAACACTTGAACCATTGCAGAGACGTTTCATCCTCTTAGTGGAAGTTTGCAATGGCTTCAACTACGTGGATGTCCCTGTTAATTTTCTCTCTTTTGAGCTCCAGATTGCATCTCTTGCGGTGCTCCGTGAAAAGACTGACTTAGTTTCTGCCAAAAACAATCAGAGGTCTTCTATTTTGTCCGGACATCCTGTCAAAAATAGATTTAAAAGTAGGGACCCTCTGGAACTAGGAATAGGGAAATATTTGTCCGAAGGCACTACACCGTGTCATTCAACTTCCACAGTACACTAGCTCGTCTTGGCTGGCTTCGAAACCGTGTTGCTCTGGACTGTGACCTGTTCACACAGTCTCTCACATTAGAAGATGTGCCAAGAAAATCTTCACGTCTTGAACCTGCACGAGCATAAACTACCACCTGACGCATATTCACTAATAGCCTATTTATTTATCTTGTCTCTGATGTATGCAAAATTGGTAGAACTGTATTATTTTTGTTTGTTCCTGCATCCATCCTATGTTCATATTTATTATACAATTTCACACTGTAGGCCTATTTTTTTATCGCACTTGTGCAATTAATTCTTGTTGCCATTATAACTTTCTATATATAATTGTAAATATTTATATTGTTACTATTCATTCCTAGTTGTAAATGTATTTTTACCGTAAAGTGGCTATGCCTTTGGGAAATAAAAAAAAAATTAAGTATGAATAACGATAAATATTGAAATATATCGATATTAATCTGGTTCGATATTAATATCACAATGGTTTGAATTTTACTATATGATATAAATAATACCCCCGCCGCAGGAAACCTGCAGAGTGCAGACTAAGCAAATTTTCATTTACCTGGCTGGATTTCTACTAAAATATTCCCTCAAAATTGTCAGATTTATTTCCTATTTAAATAACATTAATTTTAATGAGTACCTAGGTTTGCTGCTACAGGGAAGGTGTGTTTTTTATTGAAATTTTGATAGGCCCTAGCTTAGTATGAAATAAACAAAATTGCCAAATTTGGTCAAAATATATCCATAAACAAGCAAACTACATTACAACAGTTTATTTATTCTCCATAAGAATAACACATGAATTTTAATAGTAACATGTTTACCGCAACCTAATGCAACAGAAAATATCTCAAGAATTAGATAATATATATATATATATATATAAGAATTTGAACAGAGGGTAATTTTGGCCTCTGGGCCCTGGGGCCACCTCAAAACAAAAAAGTAAATCGGTCCCGGGTCTAGGTCTTACCATGAGACCTACCACGGTAATAGCTTGTTTGCTATATGAGAAACTCGCTGATATTTCCTGCATAAACTAACCTTATCTAACTAATCAAACTTTTTAAAACATATCATAATTCCGTTTGATCCCACATGCCTTTTCTGTTATGAAACGGAATTTTGAAATGATCATTTGTAGAGAAAGTTTGGTTAGATATGTAAGATTAGTTAAAACAGTTTTATTTCTTAATCCATGTTTATTATTTTTGCCTAAACAAGATTAGTACTCAACTTGTAATTTAAACGTGTTTGAAGATATTAAAACAGAAGCAATATGGATAAACTTAGTAAAGGTAAACAAAAATATCGATATAGGTATCTAAAAGAAATCATCGATAATAATGAATGTTTTCCCTTAACAGGAAAGTATCAGGAAATTACTGTAGAAGTCTACCCATTTTTTTCTCCCAAAAGAATGTGATATACTTAGCCTAAATAATTGTGTAAACAATAGGATTTATAAGTAACGTGCCTCTTCAAAATTGTCATTTACAATTAGGCTATATAAAACACTATATAAAAATTTTTGGTTTTTCTTTTCAGAGACCTGACGGGTGCTTTGCCTGCAATTCAAGGTTGCTAATGGAACTTGGTTTCGCTGATTGATTAATGATTGAAAAAAATTCCAATGACAAGAGGAATTAATCAGAGAAGATAACAAAGCTCTGTATATTGAAATGAGTAAGTTAAAATTTGTTTACCTTGCTTCGAAAATTGTAATTTTTGCTTTGAGTTCATCCCATAAATAGAGATAATTCTCCTTGCCAATCTATCCTTTTTAGCAAACTATAGAAATTCAAATTTATTTATTTTTTATTGACATCTTACAACACAATATAGTCTGCATTAGAACAAAGAATGATATGACATATCGTAACTAAAAATTTTACAATTTTTTCAAATCAAATTATGATTATTGTTGTAGGCTAGCTAGGCCTATATAACTTTTATATCCGTGAACTTCATAAGTAATTTTGAGTAATTGTAAGGGGGATGATCTTGAAAGAGTTCACAAACTAGCAATATGGGTAACCTTAAATTATGAGGTTTTGAAATCAAATAAAAACATTGTTTTTAGCGAACTTCCCTATAGGGAAGTAGCTATTACCGTAGGTCTCATGGTAAGACCTAGGCCCAGGACCGATTTACTTTTTCATTTTGATGTCCCCAGAGGCCAAAAACACTATTCGCTAAAAAAATATAAATATATGTGTCCGTGAACAACTTGAGTAATTTTTGTCGATTTTTATAAAATTTTGTTAGAAGGTGTAAGGCAGGATAAACTTGAATGAGTTCGCGAACTAGAATGATCAGACTATGGGAATGGGGTTTAACAAGGGGTTTTATGGGGTAAAAATGGGTTTTACTCATTTTTTACCCTTAAAACACAAAATATATCCATTTACCTCCAGACCTTTTTGAAGAGCTTAAAAAAAAAAAATAATAATTTAGTATATCAAAGTGTTTTTGTACGGTTATTGGTTATGGAGAAAATTCAAAAAAATGTTCATTTAAAATTCCCATGTTATTCTTAATGAGAATATTGTGAAATGTTTTAGTTGGCTTGTTTATGGATATATTTTGATCAAACTTGGCAGATTTATTTGTTTTATACTAAGCTATTAATATTTCAATAAAAAACACACTTTATTAGTTTCCCTGTATGCCTAGCAGCAAACCAAGGTAGGCCTACTCGTTAAACATAAATGTTAATTTAATAGAATTATTGAAAATCAATCCATACAAATGGAAATTCGCTTAGTCGGCAGGATTGCTGCAGCGGGGGTATTTCACATTTCATCCTTAAAACAAACAAAAATCCAGTTTTCATTAGGCCTACTATGTAGTAGGTCTTGTGGATTGCAGCTTTTAGTGTTAAATTAATTATTTTGAATTCCTTTATTTTTCAAGGTCGAAAGTGCAAAACCGCACCACAGGTGATAGCAGTTGATGATGATATTGATGACGTGGAAGTTGTGTTTACCAACTTAGACAAAACACATGTTTACCGCAACCTAATGCAACAGAAAATATCTCAAGAATTAGAACTCCTTCAGGTGATGAGTAAACAATCAGTGCCGACAACCTTTGTCATGTTCAAAGTAAGTTTCAACTTCTTATGACTATATTATTTAGCCTACTATGTTTGTTTGGTATCATATAGAGGTGGGCGTTATTTAACGTAAAACAGTGGTATAAATAGCCTAATACTATGACTTAAGTAAAGTCACCTATTATTTCAAAAATATCAACTTACTGTTAATATTTTATTTATATCTACTTTTATTATCATATGTTTTTCTACTGTTTATGTTTTGTAAACGTTCATGAATTAGGATTTTGTGTTGAGTTAACATGTGTGTTTTTATATTTATTTTATAATTAACTAGCTGTACCCGCGGGCTTTGCCCCGTTTAACTTCATAAGTGAGCCCGTTCGCGTGGCTCAATCACGTCCTGGTTGAACCCGCGGACTTTGCCCCGTTTAACTTCATAAGTGGGCTCGTTCGCATGGCTCAATCACGTCCTGGTTGAAGTTCGTTCGCTACGCTCACTCACTTTTAGGTTAGAGCTCGTTCGCTGCGCTCACTTGCCTTCAGGTTAGCTTGTTCGCTACGTTAACTCGCCTCCAGGTTGAAGTTCGTTCGCTACGCTCACTCACCTTTTGGTTGCAAATTAGCTGTTGTCATAAATGTAAAAGAAATAATAGTGCTGCACCCTGTTGGTAATACTTGTAACAGATGAAATTCAGATGAAATTCTAATATTTTCTAATATTTGTAACGGAGGCTAACATCATGAAATAATATTTTCTATATGGCCGGGAAAAAATTGCATTTTTAGAAAAAAAAAATGTTTTCATTTTAGGAAAACATTTTATAACTTTTTATTTTTAGGAGCTTATCAAATAGGTACATTGATATTTTGACATAGGAAAATTAATTTGCTACAACCTTTATATATGAATTAAATGTGACGGATTTTTTTTTCTTTGTATTATTGTGGGTTGCTTTCAAAATTTGTAATTTGCAAAAACCGAAAATTTGAAAGTTGCTATGCTCAAACGAATTGCTAAATGAAAGTACTTTTTACATAATTATATTCTAAATTTATTGCTGATTCAGAATATGTATATATTTACCTATGTACTTATTTGTCCTCTGAATTTTTAGTACGAGCGAGTGAAATAACGCTGAACATGTCTCCCTATTGAAAGCAATTTGGCTTAAACATCCCTGACGAGGAAGTAGGTGCCAAAATAATAGTATTATATTTCCTATTACCGGTACTGAAAAATTAAGAAATGTTTCTGACTATTTTTGCAAAGTATCAGTATTTCCCATCTCTAGAATTTTATTAAAAATTGTTTTAGTAATTTTATAGTGACAATATACTTATTGTCATGGTAAAATTAAAAATCAAGTTTTACCAACTCTTCTGCATCTCTTATATTAAAATATATCCTCATGTCAATGTTCTAAAGTTCAGCTCTTTATAAAGCACTGATCCATGAGTACATTTTAGAGTGTTTATTTTAAGTTGTGTAATTCGATGCCATGAAGCCTTTGCTTAGTAAAGAACCCTCCATCCATTAATTTACTTAAATTAAGTTACATTAATTTTTTTAGTTTAAGCCGTTGTGGCGTAATTTTCCTGGCGGACGACAAGTGGGAAATTACGCCACCGGTAAGAAAACGAGATCCCAGGATTCGCCCTAGTCTGGTCGCGGGGAGTTTCCCAGGAGTCGATAGTGATTCGGATAGCCTAAATTTGATAGCCCTGGTTGTCAGAGCTCGAGACAAACGTTGCGGGTTACTAAACACCCTACTCAAAATCACCACTCTAGCCTAGGGCTTGTGGGGAAATAAATAATTTTGACTTGACTCTGTGGGCAAATATCTAAATGACACACAACTAGCTAACTCAACGAATCAACAAGTAAGCTAAATAGTCACTCCGCTTACCTACGGAGTTAAATCGTCAACCTGTAACAAACAAGGTTAGTACAAGATAGGCCTAACCTAGCCTAACTCCCACAGAGTCCAAATTTACTAAAACAAGAAAACAAGTTGGCTTAAATTGCACTAGTGAGACACAAAACGAGAGAAAAACTGAAACTAAAAATAAAACTGCTCCTGGAGCTGATAACGAAAAACTAAAACTTTTCCTCACGTGTTCAACTTAAACCAACTTCGACAGAAATTGTCCAGCAGAAACCTGTCTGCTGGAACAAACTTTGGGACGTTTGGGAACTTTACAAAGGGTTTTAAGAATTAAAAAGAAAGTCCCAAATATGGATTATGAAACGTTAATCGAAATGATCTGTCACCAACTCCGATACTTTAACAAATTAGTTGGTTAAGGCGTATGACTAGGTCCGCGAATCAGGCCTAGCCTTCAAATTCAACCAAACTTCGTACACAAAAACTGGTCAAGTAATATACAATAATCTGTAAGTTAGTTACGAAACTTACCCGATGACGAAATTATATCAAAATATATCCTACAAAACAATACATACGAACTTAAGTTTTCAGAGCTTGCGATGCGAACTTGCACTCTTGCACGAATTTTCGGGACGAACCAAAACGAAAACGAACTTAACTTACGAAAAGCCGGGCTTCAGAATGACAATTCTCTTCTCTTCTCAGTTCACCTCCCCCCAATTCGAGACGAAGGTTAAAACACTCGCTGATTGGTCAACGAGTTACAGAAACAGAAAAAAACTGGCAGCGAAGGCAGGCGCATGGCAGCTTTAACATGCTTTAAAGCTGCCTCCCTCAAAAGGTGGGTCAGCTGCTCTTATTTTCTCCCGTAGCCCGCCCTCGGACGTAGTCGAACAACCAAACAACCAAACTGACACCAACGTCGTCTGCGATCTTGGAATTTGAGGTTAAGTGCGATGTCAGTTTAGCGTCGCGACTAGGGCACAACAACATTTTACATTCAGCTGTTTAAGTTTCGTGGTTTAGCCGTTATTTTACCCCCTACACATTTGACCTGTTACACCGTACTAAAACACACATGGGTACCGGTTATTGGAAGTGCTAAAGGGTGAGGGGGGGGGGGGGGGGTTAGAGGGAATGAGTAGCAAGACACAAATGTTTTCACAAAAGTATCCCCACCATCCTCCTCGTCTGGACCCAACCAGATCTGGTCGCACGCACAGAAACTTTGGCTGAACTGTACTAGCTGCTATGAATGCCTACAAATTCCTTATTCACCTTGTGTCACATTCAAGTACTCTCCAAATACATTAACACAGTTTTTCACAAGAAATATACATAGGTACTGTAAAAAAGTGTGTTACACATACGTTTACTGTATTAACTTTATACTTCCTGAAATTATTTTGGTTATACGTTGATATTACAACATCTATGAAGCATTTTTGCAGCTTTTTATTTTTCACTCTCGCCTAATATGGTATGATTAAGTCCAATGATAAAATTTTGTTTCTTTTCAGGAGCTAGCAAGAAAGCTGGATTTTCAATATGGAGACGATGTTATAGCATCAGCCTGGCAAAGGATTGTTAAAAAAATTTCAGTGAAATTAAGTAATACACTAAATAATCAATCACCTCTTGGCCTTTTAAGACACCTCCGATTTTCTCCCCAAGGAAATATTTCTGCTCCCTCCTCTTTTATAACATCTACAACAACTTCCCCTTCACCTTCCTTGTTCCCTTCAATATCATCACCCGTACCTGTTGCTCTGATTGCGAGTCAGCAAGTTGGTACAAGGACAAAGTGCTCCAAAAATATCCCAAACTTTGTTCATACAATAGTAGTTGATGATGACGCAAGTGAACCGCCAAATAATATTACTTGTAACAAACGAGAAGTGAAAACGCAAAAAAGAAAATCTAGTCAATTAGACACATTAGCTAAAAGTGACAATACGGTTTCTAGAGATGAACAGTCATGTACTGATTCAGACATTTCAAGAACTGGTGGTGGTAAGTACATTATAGGAGAGTCAAATAGAAATGAAAGTAGTCTTTTAAACACACCATCTACAAACTCTTGTGATAGTGCAACTTCTAAACAAAGTCCACCAGGTGTTGAAAATAAGTTGACAAAGATGAGTCGTAAATCTTCAAGTAAGCAGTCCGTGTCACCCGAATCTTCAAAGTTGACAAAGAAGAGTCGCAAATCTTCAAGCAAGCAGTCGGTGTCACCTGAATCTCCAAAATTGACGAAGAAGATCCGCAAATCTTCAAGCAAGGAGTACTTGTCAGCGGAATCTCCAATACCATCAGAGTCTAAAATTGCAGAAAACCACGTCGGAGTCAAAGCTAAAATTATCAGGAAGAAACAGACTTCTTCTTCAAACTCCAAAAAAAAGCTCAGTCCAAACAACAAGATGAGTGATGCTGACTTTAAAAAGTTTAAGGCTGAACAAAAGCGTTTAAAACTTGAACAGAAACGAGAATTTGAAATTGAACAGTTACAAAAAGTGCATGATAGATTAGTTGATGTTATAATTCCTAAGTATTATGGTAAAGTTCCAGATGAGAAAGGTTGATAATACTGTTTTTTTTTCATGTTGTTTTATAATTGGAGTAGTTTATTCTACTTTTTGCTAATACGGCTGAATATTCAAATAAAATTAGAGTATGTATAGTTATGACTGGGTAGCTGAGTAATTGTAGTGCTTTCCTAGCAATCAAAAGGATGCCAAATGTAGATCCTGAGAAAAGTAGCTTTTTGATGGTTTGAAACTGGACCTAGCTGTTCCTGATATGACTGGGATGGTGGTGTCGTCCTGTAATCCAGCTACTAGGAGGTAAAAAATGCTCAAGTAAAAAAAATGTCAAAGGTAAAAAATTTCATGCGTCAAGCATGACGTCACGATAGAAGACGGCAATGACGTAATGTTTGCCGTTTGTGATCAGCTGCTTTTTTAAATCTTTCCTTGGAAAATAAATAAATAAATACCTACGTCATTGCCGTCTTCTATCGTGACGTCATGCGCCGAGCATTACAGCCTGTTTTTTAGTGTGGCCTTGACTTATCTCAATTGGTAAAGATAATTTGCCTCACCAACCTTTTTTAAATTGAGAATAAATATTTTATGTCATTTTATTTTTACTGTGTAAGGAATATGATCTAATTTTATTCTTTTTTGTCTTATCATTTGAACTGTAATGATACAGTTCACTCAGTATAGGAGGACATACATTATTTCTTCGGTGAAATTCAAGTTTTACTTGGCTGTTTGTTCTCGTCACAAGTTAATGAGTTTGGTTCATGTGACAAGTTAATGAGTTTGAGTTTGCTCCAATGTAATGAAGGTAGAAAAAGAATTGAGTTCATTTTGGTTAAGTTACAGCTTTGGAAGAGGCATGGCTTAGCATTTCATTCTCAGTTTCTTACGTTAATCATACTTTTAAGATTCATCATTGTTCTCGGATGCTTTGTATTTTATTTATTAACTTATTTTGCTTTTTCCTTGTCGAAGGTGTTTGGTTATTACCTAGATAATTGTTCTGTTTTCTGGAAAGTTTATTTGCTTTTATTCATCCTATTTTGCAGCTGCATCATATACAGTGTGCGGCAAAAAACCCATAAAAGCTGTTGTTCTAAAGTTGTTAATCCACCACATGATTGTGCTACTTGACGGAATCCACGTCGCCCTAGTTAAAAGAATGTATCAAACTTCCGCTTGGTTGCATTGACTGAATCATAATTTTTTTTAATTCGTCTCGATAACAAACGCACGTTGCTCAGGTGACCACTGCTTTATGACCACAGATAAGGGCATCGTGTAGGCTTTCCAACGAGCCTTAAGACAGTGACACACTATCAATATTTTCCCCGATCAAGACCCCGAACCGAACAGGGAGTCCAGACGGCGACCAGACATCAGGCCGAGCAGGGAGACAAGCACTCTGGGGGGTTTTTTTTTTGAGAAGGATCAAAGAAAAGATCGTTCCGATGTACGATAGTGTGTCACGGTATATTTTTGCGGTATATTAGCGTTGACATTTCTAATTTAATATGGCAATTAAACTCTTGGTCAAATAAATAAATGTTGGGTAATGTTTTGCCGTTATATATTATAGGCATTGTAATTTTGTAATACTTTTGGTCAAGGTTGAAAATGTATTTTACAAGTTGAAACCACTAAATCATTCAATAATGTTAAACCTGAATCAAGTAATAGATGTTATGCTTAAATTCTTTCAAAATTAATTTAAACATTAATATTATTAAAGGCAATTAAAATGATAATTCTGTAACATGTTATTTCATGTTTTATTACTGGTTTAATATTACTGCCTCCGCTCTCTCACTCACACAAGCTCTCTATAAACTCCCTTTTACCGCGCTCGGTAGAACTCGTCTGGTCTTCGTCTTGTTCAGGCAAATGTTCGGATTGAAATTTCTTTGATATATACCTCCCTTCTCCCTGCTCAGTTCGGGGTCTTGATCGGGGAAAAGATTGATAGTGTGTCACCGCCTTAACCCCACCACTCTCAGACGACCTGTCACTGAACAGTGCGCTGCAGAAAATAGATTGTTTTTTTGCCGCACCCTGTAATTTTGTTAATGTTCATGGTTTGCAAATCTTAACGACTATCACAGTGTAAGCTAATTAATTATGTTGTTCTACAAGCTATTAGGGAGCCATTCGATATGAATGAATAACAGGGATTTTAAACAAAAGTTGACAATAATAAAGAGCCCTAGTTTCATAAAGATATTTTTTTAACATTGTTTTCCATAGAAAATGGAGTTTCCATTGACAAATAAATAGTTTATCTTTGTTAACTACAGAAGTTTTATTTTCAAAAAAAGTTGTAACCATGTATGTGCTTATTGTACTGTTAAAGCTTGTTTACACGGGAATTCCGAAATCATTAAGTTGTAAAACTTGTGTTGGAAACACTGTTGTCAAAAGTGGTACAAGTGTTCAAATTAGGTACAATGGTAGAACATTATGACAATGGTAGATGTGTTATACTATATCATACTGTAAATTTATGAACCAAATTTTATCAAACTGTGCGAAAAAGTAAATCGGTCCCGGGTCCAGGTCTTACCATGAGACCTACGGTAATAGCTTATTCTCTATATGGGAAATTCGCTAAAAGCTAAGAACGCTCTTACTGTATTTAGCATTTTTAATTCTCTATCAAACGATACCAGCAGGTTCAAAAAGATCGAATAACAAAATATAGCTGAAATATCTTGATTTTTAGTTGTAAAATGAGGCAAACCTAACTAGCGTAGCCTTATTCTACTCCATGTTACAACTAAATACCCCCGGCGCAGCAAACCTGCAGACTAAGCAAATTTCCAAATTCGATCTGGCTGGATTTCTATAACTCAATAACTCGTTTATTCAACCAAAGTAACAAATACAGATTTGCATTAGTCATGTCAAACAAAATTTATATCTTTACGTCTAAAATTAAAATAAAACAATTGTGGTTCAATCAAACTAGATTTACGAGTGACAACCTTCTTCAAACTTAATTAAAATTAAACCCATCAGCGACACATTCACACTTCACAGACACTGTAGCAACTTTTGACCAAGAGCAATTTTTCAAATTGCCTTTTGAAGCGGACCAAGTCCGGACCAGCTCCAGCTCCAGCTGAAGGGAGGAAGGAAGTAGATTGAAAAGTGTAATGCCGATGTAATGGAAGTGTCTCTTAAAGAATGACGTTGAATGAGATTGTAATTTAAGATGTGAATTGTTACGTAGTGTTTATGAATGAGTATGTGAAGATTGATATTGGTGTAGGTTCCTTTTAATGAGAGTCAAAGATTCCAAAATGTATATTGAGGGAAATGTTAAAATTTGCGATGAAGCAAAGTACTGTCTGCAAGATGTTCTTCTATTCAAACCAAAGATTATCCTGTCTGCCTCTTCTTCTGGAAGAAGAAGCTTCTTCTGGAGCCAGAAGAGGAAAGACGTTTTCCCACACCGGCACTGCATATATCAGGTGTGGATTTCTACTAAAATATTCCCTAGAAATTGTCCGATTTATTTCATATTTAAAAAAAAAACATTAATTTTAGTGAGTATTTCATTTTCAAGAGTTGTTAGCCTCCGGATTACGTTTGAATATTTATAATGGTTTAAATACCTGCATTCAGTAGGCTAATCCAAAATGTTGCTTGTGGCAACTATAGTTTCAATTCACAGGGAATCATCTTCAGGCCGTACCCATTCTTCCGTACCCATGGGCCGTACCCCATTCGTCGTTATTCACCTCCGTATATTTAGGAACCATGATTCCATATATTTAGTGAGTACTTAGGTTTGCTGCTACAGGAAATATATCGAGGCGTGTTTTATATTGCGATGTTGATAGCTTAGTATGCAATAAACAAAATTTCCAAATTTGGTAAAATATATCGATAAACAATTAAGCAAACTACAACAGTTTATTTATTCTCCATAAGAATAACATGGGAATTTTAAATTTAGATTTTTTTTTACTAGTGTACCTGTTGCTCGAACTCGAGCAATTAGGTATAACAGGCGTTATTTTAAAAACGAATAACAGTCATAATTATTTGCTGATGACTTTAAAAGATTCGACTCAAAGATTATGGAAATAATCAAGATGTACGTAACAGATCGATATAATCAACATTTCTTGTAAATATATCATTTTTCAAAAGCTGATGTTGTTTTTTAGTGTTCCAAATCTCTACGAATAGCATTACTCAAAGCCGCATTATGTTGTCAATAATAACGGTTATAAATTAAAAAACCATTATTTCTATTTCTTCTCCTTGGTGGTGTTATATAACTTTCCTATATTTCCGTAGTAGTTTGTAAATCTGCACTGCACTTTCAAAGATTACTTAGAAATGCAGCACAGTGTAATTTCTGAACAGTATTAACAGTACATTGGGCAAACAAGTCGAAGTTTTAAAAAACGTTTCAAAGAAAACATTTATTTATATCAAAAGGTCGCCGGTTCGATCCTGAGAAAAGTCAGTAGCTTTTTGATGGTTCGAAACTGGACCCAGCTGTTCATCCTGACTAATGAAACCGCTAATCTTAGTCAATAAATACCCCCGCCGCAGCAAACCTGCAGACTTAGCGAATTTCCATTTGCCTGATTGGATTTACACTAAATAATGTCTCCTTAAAAATATCACATTTGTTCCCTATTTAAACAGATTTAGTTTAACGAGTACTTAGGTTTGCTGTAACAGGGAGGGTAAAAAAGTATTTTTTTGTAAAATTTAATAGTTTAGTATGAAATAAATCCATTTTCCAAATTTGATTAAAATATGTTCATAAACAAGCAAACTACAACAGTTTTCATTTTCTCCATAAGAATAACATGGGAATTTTAAATTACACTATTTTTGAATTTTCTCCGTGACCGTTAGGCATACAACAGCGCTCCAATATACTAAATTATTTGTTTTTTTAAGCTCTACAAAATGGTTTAGAAAAAAATTGTGAAATTTTGTGTTTTTAGGGTCAAAAATGGGAAAAACTTATTTTTAAAAAATAATACTAAAATAAAACTCCCCATAAACCCCCGTTCCCATAGTCCGATCATGCTGGTTCGCGAACTCATTCAAGTTTATCCCGCCTTACACCTTCAAACCAAATTTTATCAAAATCGGACCAAAATTACTCAAGTTATCGTGCGGATGGACACACACACACATATATATATATATATCTCTAATATATAAAATTCTCGTGTCACAGTGTTTGTCTGCAAACTCCTCCGGAACGACTTCACCGATCGTTATGAAATTTGGTGTGTAAATTCTGTAGGTATGCGAATCGGACGTAAACTATTTCCCGTTTCGAAATTCTTAAAAGGGCCCCGCCCCAATGGCTCTAGAGTTTCCCATGTTAACCTTATGAGAAATGGAATTAATGAATCTTAACAGCTGTTTCAATTAAACAAGTTGGTTCTGTTCTATGATGTTCAATAGCATTAAAGTTACAAGGATTACCAACAGGGTGCAGCACTATTATTTCTTTTACATTTATGACAAGAGCTAATTTGCAACCAAAAGGTGAGTGAGCGTAGCGAACGAACTTCAACCTGGAGGCGAGTGAGCGTAGCGAACGAGCTCCAACCAGGACGTGATTGAGCGATGCGAACGAGATCATCTTGAAAATTAAACGTAACGGTACTTTCTTTCCATCGGTCTGTCTTAGGGGAAACCCATGGTGGAAGGAAAAAACATAGGTGTGCTATTCCCACATATTCTGACGTCACTCGGATTGCAAACAAAAGATCATCTGATTGTAACTGTCAAATTTAGTATGTATTTGTTTTTATTTGATTGTTATTGTTTTCATAATAATAAAAACAATAACAGCCAAATCAAAACAAATACATATACTGATTTGACAGTTATAATCAGATGATCTTTTGTTTGCAATCCGAGTGACGTCAGAATATGTGGGAATAGCACACCTATGTTTTTTCCTTCCACCATGGGGGAAACCTATAACTTAGGCGATACGAAGTTCGCCGGGTCAGCTAGTAGATATATAAAAATTTGAACGAATGGTGTTTTTGGACTCTGGGGACATCAAAATGAAAAAGTAAATCGGTCACGGGCCTAGGTCTTACCATGAGACCTACGGTAATAGCTACTACTTCCCTATAGGGAAATTCGCTAAAAAGCTACACAGGTCATTACACACCATTCTACACTCATCCTTTACTCATATTTGGGTTAAAATACGCACCTGGGTGGCGTCCCCATCTCAATGGTTGATAATTGATAATTGACATTTTTAAGATTAAAGATCAGTTTAAGGTGGCCGTGTTCCGTGTATAGGCCCTTAATATGTGTTTGGACCAAGGCTGCTTCCGCTTTCCCTTTGAAGAATTTGCAATTATTGCTTCACCAAAATGTCAATAACGCAGGCACTAAAAGTGTGAATATAATAATACTGTGGACTAACTTTTTAATCTACGACAATGAGTATATATCACATATAAAGATACAAGTAAGTATTCCTTCCACCATGATTCCAGCTGATTCACGTTATTTTACTCTTTGCAAGTATTCACATCCTCTTTAATTTTATATATTTTTCAATTTTGGTTATCTCTCTCTCTCTCTCTCTCTCTGTCCTCTCCCTCTGTCTCTGCCTACACTCTCTGCAGTCTCTGCTCTGTTGCTCTGTTACTCTGTTATTCTTCTTCTTTAGGCTAGTCTTTTCCGGTTGCCTTGCATGAGATTCTAGACGTTGTCAGGTATGAGTGTTTTGTATCCTTTATTTATTTAAGAATCCTTAGGTTGTTTTACAAAATTACACCAAGATAAATTACTGTTTAATTTTGAGTTTTTGCCTGCTTCGTAAATTTTTCATTTTACTAGAAACTTTCTTCGACATGAGAAAAGGATAGTGGTTAGGTTATGTTGGTTTTTTGATTTTGTACCTACATTTTTGATGTCCAACTGTTATCTATCATATCTTTCTTAAATATTTGCCAGGTAGGCTTTTGGCCCACATATACTTTTTATTGTCGTTGAACTAAATTGGAGTTATTTCAATCCAGTATTTTTTTAGTGACAATTAATTTTACTAGGTTAGGTTAGGCCATAGTCAATAATAGTTAGGCCTAGCCTAGTTCCATGGATGTCTAAGTTAGTTTCCAGAACGGCGATATTGTGATGAGTATTTTTTAAGTAGCCTACTAGTGATGTAATCTCATTGGTGATTAACCATCCTCAGCCGACAAGTTTACTGTAAGAAATCTTATTGAAACTAACTAAAGTGAGCTACCGGTATTTCAGTAGGCCTAGGCCCTAATGTTAACTTGTCCTATTCAAGCACCAAAAGTTTGTTTAAGTATGTTTGATATTAACACTTACTGTTCAATATCACTAAAATGATACTTACAATACTGTTCAATTTAAGTCTCTCTTTGTTAAATTACAGTAACTTAGGCCTATCTACTTTTATATTTGTTCAGTAAGTAGCATAGAAGGTAATGGTAATTATTCCGTATAGGTGCCTCCAAACAAATTTTTAATTTTGATATCCTAGGCCTAGGCTAATTTATAGTTTTTTAGGCTACCTCCTGAATCCAAATATACTTACCATTATTTTTCCCAGCTGATGAATATTTCTCAAGATATCGCTGTAATAAACAACATTACAATAAACAAGGTATAGGATGGATGACATTATTTACAAGTGGAATGAACTTATGGGTTAAGTAAGCCAACAGCTGATTGTTTTCAATCCATAGTCAAGCAAATGGAAGTGACAACTTGATTAGCTAACTCTGATTCTGCAATATGAAAATCACCTGATTAATAGACTTTTCACTTTCTAAGACCAATAAGTTACCACATTTAATAAAATGTAGCCTATTATTATTGTTACCAGTATTTCATTTTTATTAATGACTAGCAGAGTACCCGTCCTTCGTACGGGGTTGGAATATAGTATAAAATGCTTATTGCAGTTATACTCAAGCTTTGCGTTTGCAATAAGGGAGGACACAGTTTGATAAAATTTGTTTTTTTAAATTTACAGTATTCTATAGTATTATGTACACACATCTACCATAGCCATAATGTTCTACCACTTCACCTAAACAATAGGGAAAAATAAATTATCAACAATTCGCAAAATATCACAAATTATTCATGAAATGAAAAACATAAACATAACTGTAAACAATCCTACTTTAACAGTCTCATTGCGAATCACAGTTTTTTGTTGCTGCTTAGTTCAAACATGGACAAAAAGAATTAAATATAGACCGTCAGCTGTGCTGCGGTTACCATAGGTTCTGGTGCACACCGCTGGGAGCGCCACGGTAGTTACAGCTTACACGCTACGTAAACTACAGCGGTGTGCGCCGGAACCTATGGTAACCGCAGCACGGCTGACAGTCTATATTTCATTCTTTTTGTCTATGGTTCAAATTAGCTGTTTTCATAAATGCAAAAAAAATATAGTGATGCACCCTGTTTGTAAATCTTATAACTTTTTAATGCTTTTCCATATCATAGAACCAACTTTTTTAGTTGAAACAGCTGACTAAATTCTCCCTTTAAATATGAATAACTCATAACATCATAACTATCGGTTAACATGGGGAACAGAGCCACTAGGGCGGAGCCCGAAAGGATTTTTGAGATAAGAATATGCCCATATGTTAATTGGGAATGTAAGCTATCATCATGCCAAATTTCAGCCCAATCCGTCCAGTGGTTTATGCGTGATTGAACTTACACACAAACAAACAAACACACAAACTTTTACATTTATAATATTAGTAAAGATAAGATTTATTGATTTATATTTCGCCGTTTAGAAATTACATAATAAAATGGTGCTATTCTAACATAACCTAACCTAACCAAACCTCTAGAATTTAAATAAGCAAACTCCTTTTGATGTCAGAAAAGGCATGTCAGGGTGGTAGGTCATTCTTTATGTGAATTGGTGACTGCATTAAGTGTTTTGAAGTTAGGTAGGTTAGATTAGGAAGGTAAAGTTGAGGTTATAATGTATCGAGTTGTTGGTTTATGTCGCCTGCAGACTGTTTTTGTAAAATTAAAATCTTTTGAAAAACACTTAAAATTACCGGTACTTTAAGTAAAAAGTAATTTGAAGTGTTTTTCTAAGGATTTTAACTTAACAAAAACAGTCTGCAGGCGACATAAACTAACAACTCGATACATTATAACCTAAACTTTAACTTACCTAATCTAACCTACCTTCAAAGGACTTAATGCAGTCACCAATTCACATAAAGCACAACCTACCACCCTGACATGCCTAAATAAGAACTACATGTAATTAGTCCACCAGTCCATCTATAGGTATCTCCATAACGTGACGAAATTCCTAAATTATAGAAAACGCTAATGACTACAGAATCACTTGAAATGTTTCTACAACGATGTTATCATGTTTAATCAACGATGTTATTCTTCTCATCAACCATGTTACTCTCTTCACTTAACTTAAACTTGTGACGGTGTAGCAGACTAGCACTACGCAGCAATTTTTGTTTTGAGTTCTAGTTGTAGTGAAGTAAAATTACGTCACTAGGCATAATGCCGATGAAAGAATCAGATTGAGTTAGTAAAGTTCAAAAGTTGTTACCAGGTACTTCCAGTTGCTTGTCATGTGGTTGAAAACAGTCAGCTGTAGTTAACCCATAATTCATTCCACTTGTAAATTTTATCCATCCCACCTTGTTTATTGTAATGTTGTATATTTTTACGGCGATATCTTGAGAAATATTCATCAGTTGTAAAAAATTATTGTATATTTGGATTCAGGAGGTAAAAACTATAAAGTAAGATATCAAAATTAGGTAAAAATTTGTTTGGAGGCACCTATACGGAATAAATACTGAGGTAACTTATTAACTTAAGTTAGGGCGATGAAAAAAGCATGAAACGAACTTTGAAAATCCACATTAGCCTAGATAGTTTCTAAGGAATAACTTTGCCATATGTCCTTCACCAGTTCTAGGCAAGGATCTAAGTTGGGTGTTCTAATTCTTATTGTTAACATGTTCACTGCTATGGAAGAATTCACGATCCATTCCCCAGTGGCTGCATCATTATTTTTGTCAAAGACATTTAAAATAAGTTTATTTATGTCAAAGCTTTTACTCCATGTAAAATATAGCCAATATATATAACAATTATATATGGACGCCTATGTGCGTCCGCAGCCCCCAGCAAGAAATTTTGAGAGTTTTGGTGTTGGATGCTGCGGGCGCCTATAGGCGTCCTTGTATGAATCGGTTGCTAGGCCGTAATGCTCGTCTAGCATGACGTCACGATAGAAGACGGCAATGACGTAATGTTTGCCGTTTGTGATCAGCTGCTTGTTTTAATATTTTCATCGAAAACAAAAATATAACCTTAATTACGTCATTGCCGTCTTCTATCGTGACGTCATGGTTGACAAGCATTACGGCCTGTTGCTACAAAGAGAAAACAAGTCCTTTTTCCTTTGAATATATTTATATATTTTTTTACATTTTTATTTTTAATATTTTGAATGAGAAATTGGTTACAAATCATGAAGTAAAAATAGAAAGACTGAATAATATACTTAAAAATAATCATACAAGTTAACATTTATGGAGGCTGCATTTAGAGGCGACATTATTTTGAACATTCATAATAAAGCAAGTTTGATCCCACATGAAGATCCTTGTGATAGGCCTCTCTTACTGGTGATATTTCTTGAAACATGGCTCCAAGCATAAGCCGGGATTTCCAGGACAAGCGATGCAGTGGTAGATAGTGTCTTTCCTTTTGTTTTGTTCAGTTTTGCAAACTCTGCACTTTTTCCTCATTACTCTACCATTTTCGCCGACTAAGCATTTGGTTGGAAGATGCTCCGTGTTTCTGGGCGTGGGTTCCCTTCTTACTAATTGTTTTTCTGAAAGAAGGCGTCTTATGATTTGAAGCCTGAAGTCATACAGTGCCAGTTTTCCTGAGGTTGTGTACTTGTTGAACAAAGAGAACAAATTCAACATCATCATTACAAAATAGTGAATGAACAGCTTCTTGTACCAGCGAATGGTTTTCCGCTCTGCTGGGTAGTATGCCATCATCTGATCCTTACGATCGATTCCAGACATATACGCATTGTATCTTACTATTGGAAGTGGCTTCATAGACATTTGACCTCTCCGATTTGTTGCTTGGGTCATTGTGTTGTCAAATTCAGTAGAGAGGTAGAGAACGGCTCTTTTATCACGCCATTTCCCTACCATGACATGTTTTTCAGAGAACAGGCAAGTCGTTTTCCCTTTTTCCAGTTTGGAATTTACAACATCCTTTGGGTTGTGTTGCCTGTTGGCCAATAGGGTTCCTGTTACGTGGGTACCCTGTTCTAGCAGTTCTTTGGACAGGTCATGGGAGTTATAAAAATTATCCATGAACAATGAATGTCCGTGGTTCTCTCTACCTGTCATGAGGGCTTTTACAATTTTGTTAGTATGTCCCTTGCCACCAAGTTCATCACTTTTACCTGTATACACGATAGTGTTCAAGACCAGGCCATTTGGCTCACAAAGAGTGTAAATCTTGATGCCGTACTTGTGGCGTTTATTTTTTATGTATTGCCTAAATTGTATACGTCCACGCCAGAGAATCATCGCTTCATCCAAGCTCAATTCCTTACTAGGATAATATATTTTGGACATTCGGTTGTTCAGATAGTCTATCACTGGACGAATTTTGAACAACTTGTCATTCCCATCATTGTTGTTGTTGAAATGAAGGTGGCGCAGTATTAGGAAGAACCTATCTCTGCTCATGTATTGGGGAAACACTGACAAAAACAATGGATCTGTTTTCCAGTAATCGGAAAGCCTTGGCATTTTGATAGTTCCCATGTGTAAAATTAAACCCAAAAATATTTTGAGCTCACTTACTGTAATGTCAGTCCACTTATTGATCCCGGAATGCTCCAACAGATCTGATCTACCAAAAAATGTGTCCAAGGCGTAACTGTTAGATTCTTTTACAATTTTTTCTAAAAACGAATCTTCCACTAGCATTTCAAAATAGTCAACTGAGAGAGTATTATTGCCAGGTATGGGAACTAGAAGCTCATTTGTTTTTGTAAAATATATGTCATCAACTAAGTTACAATTAGGTGACCATTTGTACTTAGGAGGTTGAGTTTTTTTAGCCCTACCTCTTGCAGCTTCCTGAGTTGGACGGTCTTCCGGCTGAACGGGGTCGTCTTCTGTAGGCCTACCTCCTGTAGCTGCCTGAATTGGATGGTCTTCCGGCTGAACAGGGTCGTCTTCTGTAGGCCTACCTCTTGTAGCTGCTTGAGTTGGTCGGTTGTCCGGCAGAACGGGGTCGTGTTCTGTAGGCCTACCTCTTGTAGCTGCCTGAGCTGAGGACGGTCTTCCGGCTGAACAGGGTCTGGGTCATCTGAGTCAGATTCCAGTTGATCTTGAGTTGAAACCGGGTTGTTACTGTTATTGAACACTGTGTCAATTTCACCGAAATCACTTGTAGGCCTACTATTATCACAGTTTTGTTGACTGTCATCACTGTCATAATCACTTTCTGGGACGTAGTCACAATCTTCACCGTCATCAAAAGCATCCTCATGTGATGAAGCATAATCTTCATCAGAGTCGTAATACAATTGGTCGATCTCACTAACAGTAAGATTGTCTACATCGATGTAATCACCGTCACATTTTCGTTTTTTACGGTTTGAAGGTCCTGGATTTTCATCCATGATTTTCACTATTACGAACTATCGCAAAACTACGAACGATCACCACTAAAACATAACCCAACTCTTCAACAACAACACACCGTAGCGCAAAAACACGTGAAATGAACGATCAGCTGATATCTTGGCGCCAAACACGATGCTACACGAAGCGCCTATCGGCGTCCGCCGCACGCGTAACGGGACACCGCTCGGCCGCCGATCGGCGCCCGTCGCACTGAACGTGTTAACCAATAACATCTCAAATCAATTTACATCTAGCCTATTAACTTAACCTAATTTAATTATTCTTTAAGAAGTTAAGATTGGACTGTTGGATCTATTAGGTTAGATTTGTGTTGGATCAAAATGATTACACACTTATTCTAACTAAGTTGGCTTGGCTTAAGTTAAGCTATAATCTATCAAGTAGGCCCCAGTCAGGTCCATTTCAAATACCGGTAACATAAGTTAGGCCTAAGTTAATAGGTTACCTATATAAGTTTGGAAGGTAGGCCTACTTACATATTATACGGAGGCTACTTATTTTACAGCGCACTGCAGTTATGTTAGGTTGGGTTATCATAAATATCTTTGTAGGACTTTCCTCGTTTCGTTATGAATCGAATTGTACCAGATAAGTCATCAAAAACTTCGGATAAGTAACTTAACCCAACCTAACATTACCACCACAGCGCGCTGTATAAGTGGCCTCTGTATAATACAAACAGAGTTTGTACTACTGTTTGGTAAGTTAAGTTATTAAAATGATCAAGAATCAAGAATTTCCACAAAATGCAGGGTTACATTAAACTTACTGGAAAATTGTCGTACGAAAAAGGTCGTAATTACTTTCTTAAGGTAACTTTCCATATACCTCGTTAAAAATACCTCAGCTGTACTTATTGTAAGTTATTCTTTCAATTTATTTACCTTATTAAAATCTGTGTGGTTATTTGTTTTTACATTACTGATAGCCTATCCTGATTTGTTTATTTCAGCTTTAATTTAACCAATCAATAGGAGTTAAATTAGTAGTTATGAAGTCAAACGGGGTCAAGCCTGTGGGTAACAGCTAGTTTGTTATTAATTCAGAAGTGACAGAATAAAGTTCCTAGAATTTGAGAGTTGGTATCTAGTGACATGTGGTTTATTTTGTTATCATTACTGTAACTAAAGCTATGGTTCCACAGACTGCGGAATCTTCGCCGTACCGTGTGAAATTTTCCGCTGTGGAATTACAATAACACTGGTTTAATGGAGTTCCCCTGTGTGCGGTTCCACTAACGTGCCACGTGTCCGGAATTTTCGGTTCCGCATGGCGGACAAATCATACTGGTCTAAGAACAGTAGCAGTGCGGAATCCGCCAGCGGAGAAGAGCCATCAATTATTGTGACCGTGCAGTTATTGCAGTTTCATTAGGCCTATGTCTTGTACGGTAAAAAGATAGGTGTAGATGAATGTTTTTCTTGAACCGAAGAGGTAGAACTTGTCAAGTTGGTGTCTCAACATGATCTGCTGTGGAAGTTGAGTCACTCGGAGTACAAAAACAATACAAAAAAGACGTAATTTGGAGTACAATTGGAGAAAAACTCGGGAAAATAGGTAAATCTGTATTTACCAAATGTACTATTTTTACCAACCAAAAAGAAAAATTGGTGAACGAGTATGTTGTAAGCTCCTTCACTGTCCCGATTGTTTAATATATCACTCCGATCACTATGACTTGACACCAATAAAGATATTTCGCAACATCATACAGCAGCATACAGCATCAAAGCCACAAAGGCTTCCCTCTTCCTATCCATAGGCCCAACTCGTCGCTAGTTTGGACAGAACTGAATTTTCGCAACCTTATTTCCGCAGTCAGAACCACCTCTTTTGGATTTTAGGCAGCGTAATTTCCGCAACGAAAAATTTTGTGGAACCATAGCTTTAGCTGACCAATTCATAATCAGCAACTCAATAATCTAAGTTGCCTAGCTTGGTCTTGTTTGTGAACCCTGTACTCAAATTCATTCAAACGACCTATATGAAACCTTTGCTTCAGTAACTTAAACTCATTAGAACTATGTTTATCAGTGTGTTTATTCATTGCATGGCATTTATTTTCAGAATGTTGATGCCAAAGAAGAACCGTGTTGCGATCTATGAATACCTCTTCAAAGAGGGTGTCATGGTTGCCAAGAAGGATTTCCATGCACCAAAACATCCAGAACTTGAGACCATCCCTAACCTTCAAGTCATCAAGGCTATGCAGGTAGGTACTTGAAATATTGAAGTCTTTATCCTTGACCGACACTGTCGGATAGATTACGTCAATACTCTTGCGAGTTAATTAACAATGAACAATATTTCATCCATATTCTTCAGCGTTGTCAATAAGTTAACATATTTACACTATTAACAGATATTTACATCTAATGTGGCGATGTTTTGGACTATGATTGGAAAATAGGTTCTTCACTAAGTTCCCCAAATGAATACAGAGGCCTATCCACTAGGGCTCTGTGTAAACCCTTTTTGAATTTTTTGAGTTCCATCTCTCGCACTGGCAGGGTATTAAAAACCTTTTTCGCAGAGCGAGGATAGCATTTGAGTGTCCGACCCATGACTCACTGTTGTTAATTTTTCATTGTTAGTTGTTATTTATTTTGAGAATATTTATTTATTGTTACTCTATTGCACTCAATCTTTGTCACTTGTTATTTATTTAGAGTATTAACATAATTGAACAGCCGTCCATGTATTCACTCTTAATCAGTTGATTTGTTACTATTAAGCAAGCACAACAATGTATTTAACTGTATTGGTTGTAATCGTTAAATGAATAAATAAATAAATAAGCGACAGCGTGGCATGTCAAGGTTTTGGGCACTTCTGATGTTGTAGCTGTGCTGGTCTTCCCTTTTATAATATTCACCTCTCATGTTCCTTAAGGAGGATAAGAGTGTCATAGACGTATTGACTGAAGATGGTTAGTATCTGTTGATCCTTAATAATAGGCCCTCGGTGCTCAGTGTATTCAGAAGATGATAAAATTCTGAGTGCCTTTTTTTGGAGTAGCAGTTCACCATGGGCTGCAGGAGCGTGACCCCACAATACCTGTCCATACGCTATGTGGCTGTGAGAAAGGGCGTGGTACACAATCTTTAGGTATGGCTGAGTTGTTTATTAGTCTTAGTTTTCTCCAGCTTCACTTGTCAATCCAAAAGCCAAGCAGCTTAAGAGGTTCATCCACCTACTCTCTAGTTTTGAGGGTGCACACCAAAGACTGAGTCTTGTCTTCGTTTATCTTCAGCTTGTTTGAGATAAACCAATCCTTGGCCCGCGTCAGCAGATGTTCAGCTTCTGTTTTCAGTTCTGACAGGTCTCGCCCTCGAGAGAGTACGGTTGTATCGTCTGCAAATAGTGGTGTGTGACCGTTTGGTGATAAGCATTGATCATCACTGTAAAAAGTAATGGGACCGATCCTTGTGGAACTCCGTGTAGAAGTATGCCAACTCTAGAAGAGGCCCCACTCAGTGATGCGATTTGCTTCCGAATTTAAAGGTACCCTGCCAGTGTTTTAACCCATTGGGGAAGGAATTAATGCGCTACCTGCAGCACCCTCTGGCGGCAATTAATTTTACCGAATTTGTAGACTTTTACTCTAACTGCTATAGAAAGAAAACCTTAGGTAATAAATTAATAATTCTTTCACCATTTTGTTCACAGTAAAATTGTCTACAGAATAGTGGTAATTGGATAGTCAAAGTTCTAAACTAAAAAATATATATATATAAAGATTATAAAAATAAAAATTTTAAAAATAATATTTTGAAAGTAAACTTGATATACAAATTCCAAGATTAATCCAGACACCAAATAACACTACTATTATAAAGTTCAATCGATTCCCTATGTAGAAAAATCAAAAGTTGTGTACTTTTATAAGTAATAACATTTTTTTTATTGTTGTGCAGCTGATTTTTGGTGATATGAGGTTTCCATGGCAACACAAAATTGTTTGTTATTCGCTAAAATAAAAGAGTAAATACGCAAATCAAGAAGCAAGATATTTATAAACATTATAATAGTAAGATGAAGCTAAAAGGGCGAAAAATAATAATAACTAAATAACTAATGGCAGCAGTGACACGAGTGGCACTCGTAAGTCGGCCGCCGGGCCTGCAGCGGCCGTACGAGTAATGCTCGTAAGTCGGCGCCAATGGGTTAAGGACTGGGCCACTAATTCCATACTTGCTAAGTTTGGCCACCAGGATGTCATGCGAGACCACATCGACCACCTTGCTGGGATCACATAGGTCAAGATGTACGTAAGACTCACTGTTTTCGAAAGCATCGATTATCGTCTCAACAAGGTTTAGAAGGGCTGTGGTGGTGGATCGCCTGCTTCTAAAATCGTGCTGGGCATCACTTAATAGGTCGTGGGCTTCAAGCCGTTCCACAAGTTGATTTTTCATTACGGTCTGAAATACTTTAGAGAAGTTAGGCAAAATTGAGATAGGTCGGGAATTGGCCAGGATCTTTGGGTCCCCTTTCTTGTAGATTGGTATGGTCCTAGAAGTCTTAAGATCATCAGGAAAAATTTCCTTTGAAATTCAAGCATTTATTAGATTAGTAAGAGGTACTACTATGGTGTCAATCACTGCCTTTAGAACGGAGCAAGAAATCCCATGAATATCGTGGCTATTCAAGTCTTTAAACCTGTTAACAATATTCCTAACCTCGACAGGACTCGCTTCTCTCCAGTTTGCAAATTTACAAGCTGGTGAACGGTGAATTATTGTCTCTGTAGGGTCTGTCTGTAAGGCAGGTAAATCGGCAATGACACTCTGGGCCACCCGAACAAAGTAGGTGTTGAATTCATCAGGTGTTGCCTGTATTTTAGGCACTGGGCTTGGCTTATGATGTTCATTTATTATTTCCTAGGCAGCTTTACAGGTGTTAGGGGACTGCCTGATTTGTTCAACATTGCTAAGGTTTTTTGCTTAGTTGAACGTCGATAGTTCGACACTTTGTGGACTTATGGGGTGTCAAACTATAGGAAGTAAATTGACTTAAATATACAGGAAAGTATAAACACTAGTTTTATGTAGAAATCACTTAAATTTATTAAATACAGTACTAAAAAGCCTAACAATTAATTGCACTGTTAATTACTGTAGTTCAGTCTTTGGTCAACAATAATGATAAATTAATCTTGAAGTCAAATTAAACAACATCACAATTATACATCACAATACTGTAGTAACTATTAAATTTCACTTAATATATTATTTTGATATCTTTGATTGTTTTTCATTCTGATTTCTCTGCCGCGCAGCTTTGTCACGAAGTCTCCTAAGGCAAAGAATATCCATTGCAGACGCTCCCTGCTCCTATAGGTACTGGAGGGCTCCCTCGATGAACTTAACACCTTCAGTATGTGTTAGTTTTGGTTGTGGGTCGTCGACCTCACCCTCCCAACTCTTCTTCATCACTCGCATCCTTTTGTTTGAGAGCATCAACAATTTCTTAGTGTAATGTAGGCCCCACTTCCTCATCTTCATTTATCCAATCTTCAACGACACCGTCCGAAGCTCCTTCGCAGCCTGCAATTTTTGCCATCAATGTCACAAGTTAGCTGTCACTGGGATCTTCTTTTTAAATGAACTCATTTCCTTCATGGTCTAAGAGTTTTCTCCATGAACGCACCACAGCCAAGGCTTCCCATGACTTAGCTATCCCTCCTAATTACATCCAACATATCAATTCTTTTTAATTTTTCAACCAAGTCGAGTCCCTTGTCCATTCCTCAAAAAAGGCATGAGATAAGTTTCTTCCTGTACAACTTTTTCAGAGTCACTAAAACGCCTTGATCCATTGGTTGGCACAGAGAGGTCACGTTAGGTGGCAAAAAGATTGACTTTATTCTTTCATCCTGAATTACCTCTACACTTGGGTGGGTCGTTGCTTTGTCAAGAATTAGAAGTGCCTTTCTTGGAAAATTCTTGGATTTTAAATGTTTCTCAACGTCTGGTACGAACTGCCTAAAGAACTAGTCATTAAAAATATACTCAGACATCCATGCATTGGATTGATGCCTGTACCAAACAGGGATATCAAAACTGTCACCCTCCATTTTTATGTTTTTGAAGGCTCTAGACTTTTTTGCTTTACCTATAACAGCTAATTTTAGTTTGTGGGTTCCAGTTGCGTTGCTGCAAGCTAAAACGGTTACTTTTTCTTTACTTTCTTTGTAACCAGCAGCAGTTTTTTCTGTTTTGAATTCAAGGCTTTTAGTCGGCAGCATTCTAAAATTTAGGCCTGTTTCGTTTTCTCATCGTAATTATATATTTGCTTCCCAGTCAGAGACCCTCTTCTTCAATCAAAGCTTGAAATTTGACTTTAAATTCACTTTGGAACAGTGCAGTGGTAGAACATTCGGGCTATGCCTTTTTTTCTTACCACCCAGCTATGACTTTATATATTTTTTGTAGACTATAATCCAATGCCGTACCGTATGCATTTGAGAGACGTTTGCTGACGCTGGTGTGAATAGTCCATATTAGTCTAGTTCAAAACTTAAAACTAAAACATTTAAAATTACAACTAAAATTTTGTTTTTCAGAGCTTAAAATCCAGAGGCTATGTGAATGAACAGTTTGCATGGAGGCACTTCTACTGGTACCTGACAAATGAAGGCATCAGGTATCTCAGGGACTACCTCCATCTGCCATCTGAGGTAAGCTGAAATTCTACATTGTTTTAAGTTTTATCAAACCTAATCTATTTTTTCTACTCTTTGGTGTTTGTAGACACATATTTTATTAAATAAAATTATGAAGAAATACAGATATCCTACTCTGACACTTTTGAGGAAAATTCGTCTTCTGGTGCAAGAATGAAAATTGGTTTGAGATTGATTTTTTTTACATTGATTAATTTTTAAAAAATTTTACCCCGACTAAATGATGAAAAGTACAAAAAATATATATAGTAACTTAAATACAATAAGCAAGTCCACCTAATCATGTTCCTAAGTTTTTCGATTGTTTGCGTTTTAAAAGCTTCCAAATCTCAACACTAGTCAATTGGAATGTCAATATAAAAAAAGATTTTGCACGTAAATTAATTTCTACATTTTTATAAACAAATTTAATATAGTTGTGTTACCTCTGTGTAAGTTACCATAGTTAAGTTGCATGTTATGAATGCAAACAAAAATTCACAGACACAACACTGACATTTTTTAATACCTCTGTGTAAGTTACCATAGTTGAGTTGCATGATATGAATGCAAATGAAAATTCACAAAACCAACACCGATATTTTGTAATACCTCTCCTGTGTAAGTTATTATAGTTGAGTTGCATGATATAATGCAAATGAAAATTCACAGATCCAACACTGACATTTTTTAATACAGTAGAACCTCTTTAACACATTGAGCGCGAGTGACAGGTCGGCCCGCCATGCGCAGTTGGCACACCAAGCGTCTGGCGGGCGCGCCCGTCATGTTAGCATAGCAACAAACTTGTTTCAATGTGTGCTACGACATTGCCGGGGAACGTTGTAATCGTTATTATTAGCCTGTAGCTTAGAATGTGAGCTTTATTCTGGTGTAGGTTGGTACTAAAATTGCCTGTAAAATCCCGTCTGGCAATGCTTTTGTCCCATTTTCGAAGATTTTCCTTATTCGAGCCATATTACAAAGACTCTGGTTATTGATACAGGCAGTGCTGCTACCTTTGGGTGTTTCAGTGAACTACGTCCACTATCGGGGTAACGCAGAACAATCACCACTGGCTGCTCTTTTGTGATTCGTCTTACTGAGATATTTCAATGCCAATAGCGATCGCTGATTCAGTCAGGACTCCGCCCGGGCCTCGCCGCCATTGGCGAGCGCCTGTTTAAAGGTTTTCAGCGCTCAATGTGTTAATCCGAACCCCCGTAATCCGAACGTCCACTAATCCGAACCCCTCATTGCTGTACTCAACAGCAGTTCTTTTTTGTATACTGTATTTAATTTACAATACTGTTTATTCACCATGTTTACTACTGTATTAAATAAACACTGTATTTTACTTTATAAAACATTTTTTCACTGATCAATTTTAGCTGTATTTTAGCTATTGTTATGTAAAACAACAATATGTTCTGTAATCCGAACTATTCAATAGTCCGAACTACCCCTGGTCACAATTAGTTTGGATTAAGAGGTTCTACTGTACCTCTATAATCTACTATAGTTGAGTTGCATGATATGAATCAGGGTCTGTATCAACCGGGAGAACCGGGAAAACCCCTTGAACTTAAAGGGACCTGGAAAAAACCGGGAAAAGCCGGGATTTTTATTTTAGCCCCGGTAGAAGATTGCCGCGATCGTGGATAGGATGACAATGATGACGTTTCCGTGACCGCGAAATACGACGATTATAATGTCTACATGGCCGCGGAAGATATTCGTGATTTGCCGCGATCGTGGATGACAATGATGACGTTTCCGTGACCGCGGAAGATGTATAGGATTTTGCCATGATTATGGAAAACTGTGATGATGTTTACGTCACCATTGGAGAAGACCACATGACCACGGGAGATATTCAGGATTTTGCCGCCAATGATAATGATTTCATGAACAATGGAGATAATATTAAGAATTTTGCTGCTATCGAGAGAGACAATGTTTTTGTGGCCTTAAGGAATGATTATAATGAAAATTATTACTTTAACGAGGAATATTATTTTTTCAAAACTAGCTCACTGAACTTGGGACTATTATAAATATACAAATGTGATATATATTTATGTATACCTAAGCTGTAAGTTTTAAACTGGTTATAGTTTTAAGTGGAACTAAACATGTACGTGGGAATTAATATAATGTTCACATGGGAAAACTTTGAAAAAAAAGGAAAAACCTGAAATTTCACTTTAAAAATATAGTATACACTCTGTGAATGCAAATGAAAATTCACTTATCCAACACTGACTTTTTTATACCTCTGTGTAAGTTCCCATAGTTGAGTTGTATAATATGAATGCAAATGATGAAAATTCACAGATCCAACACTGACATTTCTTAATGTATAATGAAGTAAAATTTTTCTGATGCATTTATTAAGCCTATGCAGAATGTTTTAGAGAAAACTTTATTTACTAAATCTCTTAAAATTATGTTTTGTGACATGAATTCCAATGAAATTTACCTTTTTCTTATAAAACTGTTTTGAAATATTTTTTGTGAAATGTTAAGCAATAAATAATAATGCAATATTTAGTAAATATTCTTCTGTTTACCGAAATTTTGCTGTATGATAGAATGTGATGCAAATGATGAAAAGAAAATTCACAGATCCAACTCTGAAATTATGCAGGTGTTGATGTGATATTTTCCTGACGCATAGATTGTACAAATAATTTTGTTAGAAACTTTAACCTAATCTCAGGATATTAAATTTTAATGTACACTTCATTTGTGTTTCCTTTCTTGAATTCTTATAATTTCATCTTGACTTTTCCCTGTATAATAATAATATTGACTAAAGATGTAGTGTAGATAAATTTATAGGTTAATAAAAAGATGGCATAAAAGTATTACTCTTGAGATTATTTTATTGTGAGGATTTTATAATCAAACTCAAACATATAAAAAATTGTGACGAATAAACTTAAACTGACTTAATATGAAATGGTGTTTTAAAAGCTAAACAAGCGGAACCACTAAGACTTTTAGTGGTGATGATTGATGTTTAGTTGACGTGTTGTGACTGGCTATTTCTGCCTTCATAATCAACTGATACATTGTTTTCACAGATTGTACCATCGACACTGAAGAGGCAGACTCGTGCGGAGACAGCGCGGCCGAGACCTGCGACTACACGCGGAGAGGCTAGACCTCGTGGAGGAGAGGACAGAGATGCGTACAGACGAGCGCCCGGCGGCAGTGGCGACAAGAAGGCTGATGTCGGCCCTGGTGCTGCTGAGATGGAATTCGTAAGTAGCACTTTTTATTTCAGTCCAGTGTTGTGCAAATTTATTGGGTATTAAGATTTATTAATCATTATCTATATAGTGATTTTGAGATAATGTGTGATAACATTTTTGTGTGAAAAAGGTAAAGGAATTTGTGAGCCTAACAAAATTGGAATTACATGGCATTACTATATTGAAAGCAGCATGCTTTTCAAACTCATTCAACAATCATTTTCATAACATTGACTATTGGCTAGTGAAGTAGACATCCCATCTATATGGACAAGCAGATGTCACCAATTGTCTTATTAAAACATAACAGTTGTGCGAGCCAGTCGTAAAAAATGTAGAGGGGGCTAGATAAAATATAATGTGCTAGTGTCTAAAATCCCATTATACCTTTTTTTGTTGCTGATCAAGTTGATAGGTCATAACAGTTGCTATAGTTCACAATAAGTTTTTCCATTAGTTAAACTTGTACAGAAATTTGTAATTTAGATCTGCACAATCTGTTGGCTGCCTCACATCAACTACGACGATTTTGTTTAGAAAAAAAAAACTGGCGACAACTTTAACATTGGAATGGAACGTCTAGTTGTATCAATAGTCAAAGATAAAATGTTCAAATGATCCTATTTACGTAGGATTAGAATTATCTGGAATCCACCTTACACTACTAATAATTTATTTTGTTTATTTCAGCGCGGTGGTTATGGCAGAGGAAGAGGCGCAGCCCCACCTCCTCAGTAATTTTAAGGTTATGTGAAATAAAACCATTTTATTACTACTCTTGTTTATTTCATCTTAAATTTTTAAGTTTCCTTCGTCTATTTCCACCTGGATGTTGGTCCTCGGTTGTCTCTGTAGCGGTTGGAAGATGATTGTTCCTCATGGGCCGCAAGCTCTTCGTCAATCAACAGCTCAAAGTTGCCAAGCTTGTCAGGCGTCGGGATTTTGTTCCACCTTGTACTAAAATAGATAAAGTACCCCTTAGTGGTTATCATTAGTCACGAATACTGAACAGAACCGGTATGGATCATAAACATAAACAAATGACATCGCTGGCCCGAATCCTATTAATAGCATGTAGTATATGATTTGGACAATTCCATTTAAGCAATGTTAAATAATGATTATTTTTGGGCCAGCAACGCCATTTGTTTATGTTTGTGATCCATACCGGTTTTGTTCAAAAGTATTCATGTCATTATTCAATATAATAATTTTGGGTCCGCAGAATTGCCTAACTCTGGAATTCGCTAACCCCTTGTTAAACGCCTATCTTTAAATTTGGTCGATGAGAGGAACTCGCTAACTCGTTTCGGAATTTACTAACTCCGGAACCCGCTCTAGAGCCGGGTTAGCGAATTCCGTCAACTAGTAAGGAAGTCGCTAACTCGGTCCCTCAGCAGAACTCGCTAACTCCCAATCAGAAGTCTTGCGCGCTGTCCAATGGGAGCCAAGCACGAAGATTGTTGGCCAGTGTTGCCCCAAAGTGTAGTACCTACGATCGTATCGGTACCATAATGTCATCCAACGAGTAATTATGAGTAAGAGCAATGTAGTCGATAAAACAAAGAAATGTATATTCAGAGGTATGATTTTATTATTATTATTCTTATGATTATAATTAGGACGGAAAATGTGTTATAGTCTTACCTTAGACTAACCAACACAAGTAGACTTCACATCCCATTAATTTTTGAAGCTCGGTATTCGTGTCTAGTTCATGTCCGGTAACACTGATCGCTAGTGTCAACAACATCTATCATTTTGTAGTTAATTTCATGATTTGTTCTCTAGTGTTTGGTTTTATAACTAGGGGACGAGTTGTTAGTCATGGTTGGAACGTTTTATTTGGTTAAAGGAGGCTATATATGAATATAAACAAGAAACAAATTGTAAACAAAACACTACCTCTACAAACAATAAAATTGTCTTCAGCTGATCCATAAGGATGAGAAATCTACTAAAGGAGTATGTTTTATTTATGGTCTTCTTACTTAAACATAGCAGTTTATTGGGATGCCAAAAAAATTGTACATTTTATTTGGATCTTTTACAGGTTATGAAATATATATTTTCGTAGTCGGTAATTTGTTTCTTTTATTCAAATTAATACCATTTTGTGTACTGCTGCAAATAAAATAATTAAGTTCGTATTTTGTATACTGGGCTTGTAACCTTGAACGCTTGTCCTTGATAGGTATAACATTTGATTCTTTAAAGGCCTAATTATATCTGTCGTGCAGGTGCTAACAATAGTCTGGTTCATCTTATTATTTCTGTATTACTACCGAAATAATTCTGAATTATAGTGTTAGTAAATAAAATATAAAATATTTTTGATATTTGTATAGGTACATGATTTGATTTACCTAGACACATTAATTAATAACGGAATTCTAAAACGTTAACAATGCATTACAATATTGTGTCTTTACTTTACCCAAACAAAGAAATTTAAATGTTGATACATTATGTTGTCGGGAAACATAAAATATATTTAAAAAAATTAATCGGTATTGTAATAGTCTCTCCTATTGGAGACAACAAACAATTAGACATTGTAAAAATAAAGCTCCAGTAATTGTCGTAGACTTACTCTATGCGTAAAGTTGTGAGAGTTAACTTGCAGATGAAATTTACACATTAAACATCATTACAGAAATACATTGTAGTAGTGTCTCCATGTATTAGTAAATACAGCTATTGAATTTAAATAAATATTAATCAATACATTATAAAGTGGTAATGTATATATGGATTGTATTAAAAATTAGTCTATGCATAAACAATTTGTACATTTCTATTATCGTAGGCTATTAGTGTAGAACGGATTATTCTCTTAATTTTGTTTAATTAATATAATATTAATTTTGCGTCTTTCAGTAGGCCTATGTTTAAAAAGTCTGGAGTTTTTATGGTTCTAAATGGACGCAGGCGTTATTGTTTGTTACAATTTTTTATGAATGGTGGCCATAGCTAAAATTGACAGCTGATCTTATCCAAAAACAAAGCTATTAGACACATTCCTTCTCTACTGTAGATCATAACCAACTACTATCAAGACTATTCATATTCATTTTGAAAGTTATAAAACACCCTAGAACACCGTAAGCATCACATTTCCTAGACCACCCTGGAAAACTCTGAAATAAGAGTACAAAATATTGAATATTTTCACAAAAATCTCTACGTCATATTCATTATGATCTCGAACTTCATTAGGTACCTAGCGTCAATGAACATTTAACCCTACTGCTAAATATAAGACACAATATTAAAACATAATTAAAAACAATACTAAACAATAACAAACACAACAATATTAAAAATCACCTTAAAACAAATTTCGGGTGGCCACATATTTCTTTGTCCAATTTTACATTGTATGAGTTTTAAATCCAATGGTTTTACAGTAAAAGTCAATGTTGTGGATGAGAAAAGCTCTGAAGTAAAACTGAGGGCTAATTTTCACACTGGTTATAATAGCTAAATATCACCTTCCATTGAATACTATTAACAAACATATATCTTACCTCCGTTTGGCCTAACAGCACGTCTCCATTTTCTTCTGTTACCACCAGCCTCTTCTAATATAAATAAAAATTAGGAGACTTCTGTTATTACTTGATCGTCTACCTTATAGTCCTCCTTGGACATCCATTAATTTGTTCATTACATTTGTCATCCGTGCTTGAGAACTCGCATGTTTTTTAGCTTAATTTCATAGTGGTTTAGTTGGTAGTACTGGATTTTTAATATGTTTCATATTCTGTTATTTTCCCATAATTCTGGCATTTATATTTAAGATTGAAATCATAAACATTTAATCGGACGTTGCACAGTTAAATAAAAAAATCACTTTTTATTTATTTTTTTAATTGCCTTTTAAAAGTGCTGTTAAATGTGGAATTGATAACAAAAAAAATAACAATTACTGTATCTTTATTGTTACTGAAATTTTGAAATACGTCTGTGTACGATTATTTCGTCGTACAAGGTTGGCATTGCTCCATGCAGTGGGTGCAGCCGGGTTAGTGACTTCCAGAGTTAGCGAATTCCACCGCGGGACAAAATCAAGTTAGCGGGTTCCGGAGTTTGCCAATTCCTGGCTGGGACTGTTAACCAGTTCCGACACACAACCGAGTTAGCGAGTTCCAGAGTTAGCCAATTCCTACGTCTAATTTTTTCACATGTTACACAGGACTTGGCTAGCAAAGCTGGGAAAAAGTTGAATAAACATAATCCAATAAAATGTTTTTTGAGGAATCGAGAATAAGAATCCCAAGACTCTCACTGAATTAAGCTCAGTTATTTAAATCGGAGATTGCACTTACTCTGGTATGCCATCTGGAGGCAAGACAATATTCAGAATGTTGTTTATCAATTTATATTTTAGGATTCTATCATTCACAGTTGTTGAGCTTAGGGAAGGAGCAGCATTCACCTGAAACAGATTAATTCTTTTAGTAAGTATTTATAGTTTTCAATGTCATTGTACTGTTCGTTTCGCAAGTGAAAAACTGGCTTGCGCATGTTTACATAAGTATGGTTTCAAAACAAACATTGAGTCTCCTGTGTGGTAAGAACTCCTTCCCGTCGTGCCAGAAACGGAAGTATAGGTATAGTATAGTTCCTGATTGTATCGACACTCGATTGTTTATTGCACAGCTGACATAAGTAAAGAAGAATTTTAAGAACAATCAAAACTAACAAGTCCACTCCATGATCAATAAAAGATTTCAATATTATTTCGAACCAATATCATCCTCCCTAGGTGAATGTGTGAGCCTGCCAGCTGTGCTACCATCTTCTTTGGTTACTGCACATCTTTTTGTTTGATTTTTCTCTTGCGAAACGAACTGTAAGTTTGCATTGCAAAATAGTAGACACAGCCTAAAAAAGTTGTCAATTGACTGGCTTGAAATAGCTTGTGATATTATAGTAGAACCTCGCTAATTCGAATTTCAGAGGAAAGCCAATATATTTCGAACTATAGGAAGTTTGAATTATAGAGATCAGAATAAATAAAATTTTGTATTAGGTTAGGTCCCAGTTTTAAGTGTAGAGAGTTTGAGAGAATGGAGACTAATGAACACATCGTGGGAACATCAATAAGAGAGTCAAATCATGTTTCAACAGGCGTATTTTTTGTTCTAAATTCTAATTACAGAAGCTCATGATAATGCGGTTCGAATTGTAGAGGTTCCTTGATTTTAAGATCCTTCATTGCTTCAAAAAGGTTTAAGCCTTCTTCTGTTTTCTCCACCCAGAGATCTGACATATTTCTTCCTGTATCTCCTCTTCAACCACTCGATGACACCTTGATCCATCGGCTTTATCAAAGGTGTCACATGAGGTAAAAACATAGCTTTGATGTTTCCTTTTTTAAGTTGGCTATCAGAAGGGTGACTTATCCAGGGGGGCTTTATCCAGAAGCAAGACTGCTTTAGCTGGCAGATTTTCAATTTCAAATGTTTTTTAACCTCAGGTACAAATGTGTCAAAAAACCAATCCTTAAACAATGCAGAATCCATCCAAGCTGCAGATTGATTCTGGTATTATACCGGAAGTATGGCCATGTTTATATTCTTAAAAGCTCTTGGCTTCTTTGATTTCCCTATTAAAAATAATGGGAGTTTGTGACTCCACTTGCATTGCTACAATTGGCAATAGTTAGTCTATCCTTTGTTCCGAAAACGGTTTCATTTTTTGCGGCAAGGGTTGATTTTGGCAGCATTTTATAGTTGAGCCCTGCCTCATCTATGTTGTAGACTTGTTCTGCTACCAGCCCCTACTCTTAAACCAACGGTTCAAATTTGTTAAAAAAAAGTCTTAAGCAGCGTTATGATCTGCTGAAAGCTTCTCCCCCATAATCTTTACGTGTCGAATGCCGTGGCGTAACTTCCAACGGTGAAGCCACCCTTCACTTGCGTTGAACTTGTCTAGTTCACCACCCAACATTTCGTACAGTTTGAAAGCTTTTCCCTTTACAATTGGACCCGACAATGGAACAAAAAACCAACTACTAACATACAACATATAATTTTCCATTCTTGGCTGTTTGGGTGCTAGGGCCTGGAGCACACTAGCATGTTGCAATTAAGAACGTGCTCTCTACTACCATCTTAAAATGACAATTTAATAGGAATTGTTGTTGGGGAACCAGAGGGCGGAAATCTTTACTCAAACCAGAAGCAGGCCAAGCCAGCTTTGATTACTTATAATTTAACTAGAAAACAGAAATATAGCTAACTTTCCAAACTAAACTGCTAAATAGTGTAAAATGGAAATGATGATAAAACAGGTCAATTTCGTTCCCTAACTCGTTACTGAACCAATTTGGACTCATAAGGCGATTCCTGAATGATTTAATACTTAAATTTTCAACGTGGTGACTATTGCATGTCCAGGAATGATTACCTCGTTAAGCGAGGTAATTTTTTTTAAGTTAGTTTTTTTAAGTTTAGTTATGGAGATAATTAAAACAACTGTAAATTTGAAATGCCCATGATATTTTTATGGGGATTAAATGGTTGTACTTGTAATGTAGTTTGCCTGTTTATGGATATATTTTAATAAAATTTAGTAATTAACAAGCACACCTTCTCTGTAGCAGCAAACCTAAACACTCATTAAAATTTATCTTATTATAGGAAGTAAATCCGACAATTTTAAGGAAACCTTTTAGAGGAAATCTAGCCAGACAAAAGTAAATGTTTTACTTAGTCTGCAGGTTTGTTGCGGCGGGGGTAATGAGATATGCAATAAATAGCAACAGAAAGCATTAGACTGTGATTTGACAATTTAGACGTCCACATTTGTTTCAAAAACATAGTGTAACCGTACCACATTTATTTAATAAAATTTGTATTTGTTTTAATGCTGACAAATGGGTTAAAGCTATTACGTCCTAGTACGAAATATAAAGAGGTGTCGATGCACGTATGAAAATACTCTGACTAAATTATTTAAATTGTAAAAGATTCGCTTAAATTGTAGACTTTAATCCTGTAAAAAAATACCAAAAACATTGATAAGACCTAATCCAAAAACTGTCATAGATCCTTACGTATTTCCATAATCAATGACACTATTTTGAAAATAGAACATAACATCTCGAAGATCTATTTACTGGTATTGTAAAAAGGTCAGTGGACTGAAAGATGTAAGACTAAATTACTTAGATAATCCCGTCACAGCTCAATAAAATATGTCAATTCAGGACATGTTTCGGTGTTAAAACACCATCGTCAGCTTCAGGTACATATGTAGAGTTGGTCAGTAGTTAACATCGTCAGAAGATAAACACAGTACGAAACGGCATGAACAAATACATAAAACAATTAAACATTTAAGAAACAGGCCTGTTCTAACAAAAGATGACCGGCTGCACAGGTAGCAAGGGACAGACTAGACCATGAACCTGAAGCTGACGATGGTGTTTTAACACCGAAACATGTCCTGAATTGACATATTTCATTGAGCTGTGATAGGATCACGTGAGTAATTTAGTCGTACATTATGTCCAACAGCTCAGGGGCTACACACATGGATTTTATTAATGCCGAGGGGGTTGAAATGTCGCCTTGTGTGGCTGTAGCCTATGGAACAAACAACCTAGCTACAATTGAATGGTACTCCAATAAGGTGACTATTTTGGTAAATGATTTCCATGTTCAGGCTCGACCTATTCATAATTTGCTTAAACCTTGAGTAAGGCTGGGATTATAAAGCCTAATAGTCCAAGTAAACTAAGAAAACTGACACAGAGATCATTAAAAAAATTGTAAGAAAACGTTTTATGGTTTTAATACAGGGAGCGGCAGAAATATCTGACGGTTTTCAAGCGAGTACCGCCCGGCAGCCAAGTGGAGGAGGGTGGTGGGGAGCGGCTCATTCTCAAGGCCAAGTGTGACAATTTTAGTCGCCATAGAGCAGTGGACCGGTATACATCGCGCGTTTGTCGTTGAGGCGTATTTTAAAAATGGCGATTTTGTTGTTTATAGCAACGTAAGTTTCGTAGGCATTTTAATGTGGCTCGTGGGGAACCTATCCCATCCCGAAACACAATCGGATACCTTTAGATCCACAGGATCAACTGCAAAACGTAGGCCTACAGGCCGTCCAAGGTCAGTGAGGACGCCGGAGAACGTGGAGCGAGTGCGACAAACTGTGTTAACGAGCCCGCATCGCCCGGCGCGTGGACAAGCTGCTGCTCATGGCATGTCTGAGCGCTCTACTCGACGAATTTTGCACTCAGACCTTCACTTTCACCCATATGAAATAGCAATCGTCCAACAACTTCAGCAAAATTTGTCGAATAGAGCGCTCAGACATGCCATGAGCAGCAGCTTGTCCACGCGCCGGGCGATGCGGGCTCGTTAGCACAGTTTGTCGCACTCGCTCCACGTTCTCCGGCGTCCTCACTGACCTTGGACGGCCTGTAGGCCTACGTTTTGCAGTTGATCCTGTGGATCTAAAGGTATCCGATTGTGTTTCGGGATGGTATAGGTTCCCCACGAGCCACATTAAAATGCCTACGAAACTTACGTTGTTATCAACAACAAAATCGCCATTTTTAAAATACGCCTCAACGACAACGCGCGATGTATACCGGTCCACTGCTCTATGGCGACTAAAATTGTCACACTTGGCCTTGAGAATGAGCCGCTCCCCACCACCCTCCTCCACTTGGCTGCCGGACGGTACTCGCTTGAAAACCGTCAGATATTTCTGCCGCTCCCTGTATTTAGTGTTGGGTTTGCAGAACGACATACTAAAAGTTGCCAAAAATCAGTGCACGAGAAAACCACTAAAATCACAATTTAAAATTGCAGCTTTTCCCAACATTGAACAAATTTTGAAAAAAGATACTACATGCGTTGTGTATGGAAATTTTTTGAGAAACTAACTTCGGACCACCGCCGATATTTATTGGGTCGTTAGTACTTCATTTTGATAGGGAACGCGTTTTTGGACGCCATCTTGGATCTGCCATATATTGGACATAGATATATTTTTTTTAACGTAATAATAGTGTTGTGACACATATAATTTCAAACTACATTTTTACACAGATTTCAGTGCCAAAATCCGTTTTTAAATATATTTTTTCGTTTAGAAGATATGTTCAAATGAAAACTCTCCCCCATACATTCTTATAGACGTTTCGTAGTTTGATAATTTAAAAAAAATTATTTTTCTTATATCTCCAGTTCTTATTAACGGCTGCAGTTCGTTCTAGCCTTAAAATATTCAGTAAAGGGCTTCTATTTGAGCTCTTGAGCATGAAAATCAGACGAGTTAAAGACCACCTACGAACCTCAGAACAATATCAGTTTTAACTTTTTAGAAATATATTTTTATTAAAAGATTTATAACTCGGGTTGTTAATACGCACACCAAGTTCTTTATGGTCTCAAATTACTCAGTAAATGTTTGATTTTATAATCGTTAAACAAAATCTGACAATTTTAAAATGACTCGTGGATCTTAATTTAACATTAAAATGTATTCATTTTGAAATTTGTCTTTAGTTAGTATATCCCCAATTCTAAATCACTCCCAAAACTTTTTATAGTCTTAAATAATTTGTAACATTATTGACTTTTATTTTAGCAATGGATTACTTATTGGGAGTAATTAGGGTTCGGGATATATGTCCTTAACTAAAGACAAATTTCTAAAAAGAAATAATTTACTGTTAAATGAAGATTCATGACTCATTTAAAATTTTTCAGATTTTATTTAGTGATAAATAAAGTTAAAAAAAAACATTTACAGAGTAATTTAAGACCAGAAAGAACTTGGTGACGTATTAACAACCTGAGTTATAAATCTTTTAATAAAAATATATTTCTAAAAAGTTAAAATTGATATTGTTCTGAGGTTCATAGCTGGTCTTTAACTCGTCTGATTTTAATGCTCAAGAGCTCAAATGGAAGCCCTTATATTACTGAATATTTTAAGGCTAGAACGAACTGCAGCCGTTAATAAGAACTGGAGATATAAGAAAAATAATTTTTAAAAAATTATCAAACTACGAAACGTCCATAAGAATGTATGGGGGAGAGTTTTCGTTTGAACATATATTCTAAACAAAAAAATATATTTAAAAACGGATTTTGGCATTGAAATCAGTGTAAAAATGTAGAATGAAATTATGTGTCACAACACTATCATTACATTTACAAAAATATATCGATGTCCAATTTGGCGGATCCAAGATGGCGGCCAAAAACGCATTGCCTATCAAAATGAAGTACTAACGACCCAATAAATATTGGCGGTGGTCCCAAGTCAGTTTCTCAAAAAATGCTTAATCAAGATGCATGTAGTTTTCAAAATTTTTTCAATGTTGGGAAAAGCCGCCATTTTAAATTGTGATTTTAGTGGTTTTCACGTGCACCGATTTTTGGCAACTTTTAGTATGTCGTTCTGCAAACCCAACACTACAAAATAAAACCATAAAACGTTTTCTTGCAATTTTTTTAAGGTCATATCCTATATTTCTCTGACTAAAACTTATTTTATGACAAATTTTTAATATAAATTAATTAATTTATTACATAAATTTTAATTTATTAAGTCCACATGAGAATTGGAATCTCGTCCACACTCAGTGTGAATAAATGTTGCTACGTATTGAAAGAAGAGTGAGTTTACCTCAACCAGCCAAGGCTTGAGTGTGTTGTCGATGATGATGTCGTAGCCGTAACACTCGAAGCAGTGTCTGTCGTTAGCCATGATGTAACTTACGGCCTTCAGAGAGTGAACAATCAGCCAGGAGATGTTGTCAAACAGCCGCTGAGTCACCTGTCAATCAAAGTCTTATCAAAACCTGTGGTGATCATGTTAAAAAAAAACAACATAAAAAATTCAGTTAGATTTGTAGTTTTTCTTCTTCAAACCTATTCTAGGTTTTTTTGTTGTCTAGTTAAATGGATTTTTTTTTAGAAGACATTAAAGAGAGTGTTATTCAATCCCTTTTGGGGAAAACTGTCCAAACCCCAAAATGTATGTTTTGTGGGCGACACGCCTACGCCCCGACACGGGAATCGAACCCGTCCCTACCGCATCAAACTCCAAGAGATTACCAAAGATCCTACAAATGAGACTTATTTGACTTAAAGGTTAAAATTTGTTTTGTGTATCGTCTTGAATGACAGCGATGACTAATTAAAGCTCTTACCTCTGTCAGTAGTCCATGGTTTATTTTATAATTTTGCTACACAAATCTCAGCACAACAGATATTGTTTGATAATACTATTAATGTTCCAAAAAGTAATAAATTTACGTCACGATAGGGATGAGCATCGATAGGTCAACAATCGATGTACCGATAACAACGAATCTTTCGGGGAAAAAACATAGATGTTAATCTATGTGTTTTTCAGATTTTTGTCTGCTCTCTGTACTGCAACTGCTAATTAACCTAAAACTAATAGAATTCAGTTATGATATTTAAAAACTTGGCCAAAAACATAGGTAATCTACCATCGATGTAAAAAACATCAAACATCAATAGAAAAACATTGAACATCAAAAGAAAAACATCGGCTATCAATGCTCATCCTTACGTCACAAATCATGATATTTATGCAGGTGAGAATCCGTACTACCTCTTTCCCACGAGTACTCTCTAGGTATAACTGCAAGTTGTGCAATGACATCTTCCCTCCATGCATGCTATTGTATTCACCCTGAAAAACAATACAGATTTTCAGTAATCACTACCATTCACTACCTACATTATTAAAACATATAATACTTCCTTATTAGATTCGTCACCCTTATAGAAAAGAAGAAGCCACTTTTATTGTTAGTTCTGTCTGGTGCCGCTAGGATTGTGTTTTTGTTCACAATTAGTTTCTTGTTATATCAGTTATAATCATAAGCAACTCGCCCACTAGTTATATAAGCCTAACCAAATAGTAGAAACAAAATTCCGACACTAGCAATCAGTGTCACCAACATGAAAAACAAGCTTCAAATTCTACAATGGAATGGGAAGTCTACAATGTTGGTTAATGTATAATTAAAGCTACAAAAACTTTAGTATTCCTTTAGTTCTAACTTTTTTTTTAGTTATAACTTTAGCATTTTTAGTTCTGGTGTTCCTCAGGGGTCTCATCTTGGACCGTTCTTGTTTTCCATCTTTATTAATGACATTAAGAAGGTCATCAAAGTCCCATTTCTTCTATTTGCAAGTGACATTAAGCTACTCGTTGAAGTTGCATCCCATCATGACTGCCAGTCCTTGCAGGACACCCTCGACGACGTATTTGGCTGGTGCCTCTCTAATGACATGGCTGTGAATCCCACAAAAACCAAATTGATCACGTTCAGCAGGAAATAAATACAGTGTTAGCTGACTACTCTCTTGATGGTAACCGGGTTGAGAGATGCAATACCATCAAGGATCTTGGTGTTCTAATTGACTCCTCATTCGAGTTTGGACACCACATAAACCAAATCTGCACCAGAGCCTCTCGTATGCTCGGATTGGTATTCCGCTCTGCTAGACATGGTTTGAGCAACCATGCCTGTATTATCCTGTACAAGTCTCTCATCCTTCAGCTACTCGAGTATGCTTCCTTGGTTTGGTCACCATACCATCTTGGCAATATTTACCATCTTCAGTCGGTACAAAGACGCTTCATCAGGTTCCTGGGATGTCGTGCTGGACTTGACTTTCGTGACGTCCGGGTTGACGAGCTCTCTAATATGTATGACATTCCGAGTCTTGAAAACAGAAAGCGAGTGGCTGATGTGACCTTTCTTTACAAACTGATAAATAACCAAGTCAACTGCCCCTTCTTGCTGGTAAGGATAAACTTCCATGTTCCTTCGAGAATCACGAGACATCAGCGTGTATTTGAACTTGACCATACTGGGACTAACTACGCCAGATCCAGTCCCATTCCCCGGATTATGCGCCTCGGGAATGTGATAAGCAGCTCTGTTGACCTTCTAACTGCCTCCTTGGGAGTGGTACGGCGTTCTGCGGCTGACAGCATCCTTGAGGGTACCCCGTAAAAGCATTGTTGTTGTTGTTCCTTTGTTGTTGATTTTTCTCTTGTTAATGTTGTGATCTATTTTGTTTGTATTCTTGTTATTGATATATTCATTGTTATATTTTGTTATTGTTATATTTTTTATACATTGTTATATTTTTCTGTAACATCAATATCCATTGTTTTGCCATGTAATAATTAGTTTTAAATATTGTTTTCTACTCCTCTGTTAATTATTAAATGTTTATAATATTTTCCTATTTGTAGCTACTTAATGTAAAATGGTGTTTGCCGTTGGTGTTCAATAAATAAATAAATAAATAAGTATTTTTAGTTGAAAAATTTACTAACGTAAATGAACGGTGCTTTGCGTACTTCCAATTTATAAGAGCAGAGACCATCTTAAATTTTGAATAGTGACGCAAGGTGCGGGCTATGTTAACTGTACAGCGCTTGACTACTACAGCATAAATGCTGGAATTAGGATTTTTCAAAGATATTAAAAGCTGAAAGTCCTGTAAAGAAAACAAACATTTAAAGCACTCTTGTGACATGAATAAAATATATTAAAATGAAACGCTGAGAGTACCTGATTTCCAATTTTACTGAGTGTAGGTGTCTTGAAGCTGAAGAAGTGAAGTCGTAGAGGTGTGAAGATCCTGTCGATGAGAGAGATGGCAGCATAGGGGAGTTAGGACCTCACTGCTGGGGGAAGAAGGCGCCTTCTGTAGGGGACGATGAGATGATGTTGGTCGTATGTAGAGATGATGATGTGCAGAGTTGATATAGGTAATTTCGTTAATCATTAGAGAGTAAAAAAGCTATTCTCTAGCATTTTAAATTAAATAAAAAATCACTTCCTCTTGAGATTTTATCACTTTATTCGTGTGATATTTGAATTAAAAATGAAAATAAAAATATTCACACTTGGCACTCTTCTTTATGCCTTGCACAAAAATAATAAATCTTAAAAATAGCAAATTAAAATGCAAAGTAAAAATGATTTAAGACTTTAAACTGGAGCTTGAAGTTTCTTGAAATAACATGAAATTTAACATGAAAAGTGAGAAATAGCTTATAAAAAAACTGGCGTCTTGATGTATTTAAATTGAGAATTATGCGGTGAACTGGATGAAATAATACTTTATCAGACGGACGCTGCATAAAGCGAGAACGAGGGTAAGTTATAAAACACTGGTAAAGAGACCACGTGCAAGAAATGCGTAATGCAATATTAACCGCGAGTCGAGTACACGGGAGTTACCACGGTGAAGACATAAGCGGAACTGGATTTAGTCATTACAAATATCATAGCGTCTCTCCCACTCTTCGATATTTGAAAATCTGACCAATCACGTGAGGCGGTGCTATCACAAAACTGCTCGACAAAGTGCATGTCTGGAAACAGGTGACTGGACATGTCGAATACTGACCAGTAAAAATTTTTTAGTATTCATAAAAAACACTTTTTTGGGACTATTGGACACTTACTCACATAGTCTTAACATTTTAATTCCTGTTCAGTTTTACTTCTTACTCTTGTGGCCACTCAAACCCAAGAGTTTTGGCCTCGCCGAGCCGACAAGTTGCCTCCAGACTCCTCTGTCCTCCGCCATGTCCACTTCCCAATTCTTGTTCTATCTCCAGCTTTTGATCATTCCAACTTAATCTTGGTCTTCCCAGCCCACCTTCTGGTCAACCTCTCCAAACCCTTCTTATTGTTGCATCCTCCTCTCTTTTTCTCACATGACCAAACCACCCAATTCTCCACCATCTTAACATCACCTCAATATCTCCTGTACAAGTTTCTGAGTTCTCTATTTTTCAGTATTCTGCATATCCCGTCTTCAAATGGTCCATGATATCCTTCTCATTATTTTATTTTTAAAAGTTATTAACTTCTTCTGGATCTATCTATTGATGTCCATATCTCTGAACCATAGAGAATTATGGTAGTAAATAAAAAATAGAATGTAGTGAGTGAACTACATTCTATATTTTTTATTTCTTGGCAGGAGCTTAGAGCCTTATTATGCGCGGCCACTCGAGTCGCGCGCGACCGCTACTGCAAGTCACTTGGGGTAGCCACACGTGTGGCTAGGAGTAGCGACAGGTGTGGCGAGGTCACGCGTCCAACCGAATTTTATACGGACTTGCATGTAGTTTTTCAGAGTGAATAGGTAAAGAAGCTGATCTATTTTACTTTTACTAAAGCGTCGTAAACGTAGACGAAAAAAAGTATTGGGAGGCAATCCGTTACTAAAAGTAAGACATTCAGGAGTATTTTTTAGTTTTTATATAATGATCTTAGAGAGGATGATAAGATGTATTTTGGTTGTTTTGGGGGAGACGAGACGTTCTTTTGATAACCTTTTAGGAAGCATAGAAGGCGACTTAACCGTATTGTATAAGAAAATTGATAATTTTTTTTTCAGCTAAGGAGAGGGTAGCACTTACCTTAAATTAAATATTATAATGATTTTGATTTGATATAATCATAATATTAACACAATATTAGCAGCAAAACTCGGCGTTGCCCTGGTCAACATAAAATACACAATAACGGTAATATTATTGAGTAATACAGACTGTATCTTGAACTTAACTGATTCAAATGGTCAACATCTCAAATGAAAGCCTTTGTTTTGAGGGGTAGCCTATTTTAAGACCAAGTCATAAAAAATAACTTAAATAAAAATGGAGTTACGTATCATTGATTGCAGATAAGTGTTAAAATAATAATTATAACCGTTGATTCGTGATTCAGAAGCGTGCTTCACTTATGTCCGATCTTAATAATCAACAGCTCAAAATTAAAGCTGGCATTTCACTGAAGGTTCTTTGACCAAAACATATAGGATAATATAATCAAAACTAGCGAAATACCGCTTTAATTGAAGTAAGAATTTGAAAAAAATCTGATTTATTTTTTTGGTTGAGTAATACAGTAGATACATGAATTATGATGCTTGGTGGCAAATCTGTTCGTGAACACCTTTAATTTAAGACCAAAATTATGAAATTCGGTCAGGTAGAAGAGCCGAACCTACTCGGAAAAGAAAACCAATATTTATTAATATATAGATAATATAGTTAATATAATAAAATGTTGAAACAAAAATCAGGACTGAGCCGAGAACAGAGAGTAGGGTCCGCTGTGGCCCGCGACTGTGGCTGCGCGTAATAAACAGCATATGATAACATGGCCCGCTGGTGGTGCGACAGTCGCGTGGGCTCGCGACTAGTAGCGAGGGTGCGCGACTGGAGTGGCCAGGCAGCGACAATCGCGTGCCTCGCCACTGCAGTCGCGTCGCTTAATAAGGTCCATATGATAACATGGCCCGCTAAAAGTGAGCAGTAGCGGTCGTGTGCCACCAGAGTGGCCGCGCATTATAAGGCTCTTTCTCCTTATGTTCACATTATTTACTTAAATTGTGCAACAATTAATAAACTTAACAGTCTTTAAAAAATATTAAATGAAAAAATAATTCTTTTTTTTCAGGCAAACACTTTAACACTTTTATAGGCTATATTTGTCAGTCTTGCAGAGCTACCACCAGCTCAAAGCTACAAATATGAACTTCCCAATAATTGTCTACATCTATCTACTATGTTCTGACAGTACCTACTTTTGACTTTCTTTAAACATTAAGAAGTTAGTGGCCTCTTTTATCCTTGCATTTGCCTGTCCACATAAGCTACCGACCTGGGCATGGAACGTATCAAGCAAAGCAAGGCGTGAGCTGGCACAATTACAATATGAGGGTGAACTGTACTGATATAAAGTAGTGGCCTGTACCAGCTGCCGATGTCCATGGCGCTACTGACTGAGCCACTGACTCACTGAATTACCGAATTTATTTAGATTTCTAAAGCGTATGCCTAACTATTAGAACCTAGTTATGACTCACCCCATGTTTCTGAACAGAAACGTTCGTCAGATGCACATACATGTTGTCCAGCTCCTGTATGCTCGTATCGTACTTCACCGTGCAAAATCTGCAGAATCCCAGCTTAAACAGGTAGGCTTTCAATGGCCGAAATGAGGTAACCAACACGTACAACCGGAGATCAAATTTTTTACCACCAATTAAAAGAGGATTTTCAATGTACCTTAAAAAGGGAAAGCAATAAACATTTTTATTTCAGTAAATATTTATCCAAACACCAATGCATTAATGTTGCTAAACTAAATTAAAAGTTGCCTAGTTGCAATTTGTTTCACAATTCAGTATTCACTTACCTTTATGTCAATACAGTTATTAAATAGATTGAGAGATCTCCTAGATGTAGTTTTCCTTGCCTCAGAAACCTTTTTTTCTCAGTTGGATCAATAGCATAAGGTTTCTGAGCTTCAAATTACTAGATTACAGCATCGTTATCACTAAGTCAGCAAATACCATTGATAATTGTTTGGATTTGAACCCTGACCTCATCAACAAAAGTCTTGCGCTCAATTTTGTATACAATCGATCAATATTTCTCTCCTTACTTAGCTGAAATCATGAAATATTCTTTGAATAGTTCATTTGTATAGGAAACAACGTTTTTACCAACTATGCATACCTTGAAATCACATAAGATTCCTTCACCAGTGACGGGTTAAAAGGTGTCTTGCTCTCTCTCGACCAGCGTTTCAACTTTGACAGTTTGTTGATCAGGAATATCCCGGCACCTTGGGACTTCCCACAAGGCTTCATTATCCAGGTGCTCTGTGGGCTTTTACGATACTCCTCCACAAACATGTTATAGTCTACAACAAATCAATGGGCACAAACAGAAGCCAAAGAAATATTCAGAAGCGTGCTTCACTTATGTCCGATCTTAATAATCAATAGCTCAAAATTAAAGCTGGCATTTCACTGAAGGTTCTTTGACCAAAACATATAGGATAATATAATCAAAACTAGCGAAATACCGCTTTAATTGAAGTAAGAATTTGAAAAAAATCTGATTTATTAATAAAAAAAAAAAAAGTCGCACGAATGTAACGGTATTCAACTATACCTTATTTGGTTCGACTCTCCACCGATCCTCTACAGTGAAAGATCTCGGAGTAACTGTTTCCTCGAATCTAAGTCCTGAACCTCACTTAAGAAACATAAGTAAGAGGGCTTATTCTGCTCTGGGATTTGTTGTCCGAATGTCTCGAGATGGGTTTTCACCTCATGCCCTAAGGACTTTGTATGTGCAGCTGGTCCGCCCTTTGTTGGAGTACTGCTCGCCAGTTTGGTCACCATACCTGATATGCCATGTTGATCTTCTCGAGGGTGTACAGAGAAAATTTCTCCGAGTACTTGGAGTGAGTCTGGGCTTTCGCTACCTTGAAGTACCACTGGATGAGATGGTACGTCCAGTTTGGACGTCGGTTTGGACTTCTTCCTCTGAGTTCGAGACGCAAAATCTTTGATCTGATGCTCTTAAGGAAGATCATCACAGCCTCGGTCGATTCACCAGATTTGCTGAGCAGGGTTGATTTTTGTTGTGCTCGGGTGGTTCGATCCAGAGGACTCTTTGAGAGAGCTCATTGTCCGACACTGTACTCTTACCACAGTGCTCTGCCTCGCCTTCATCGTCTGGGAAACAGCCTGCCCAGTTACATCGACCTGATTCAGTTCTCCGAGAATCGTCTTAGGAAAGAGCTAACCAACTTCTACTCGTCAGAGGAGCATGTGCATGTTTGATTTTTTTTTATTAGCTTTTCGTTAGGAGTGTGGCAATGACTTAGTGTTGGGGCCGTCGACTCCCCTCACTTCCGAGCCAGTGAGTGCAATGTTTCTGTGTGTGGTTCAAGAGTGTGTGGTAGTGTTGGGGCCCTCGACTCCCCTCACTTCTGTGCATTACTTTTTAATATTTATTAATATTTATGGTATATCTTGTTGTTGCCTTTATTGTTAAGTTTTTTTTCTTCAGAGTTTACCGTACCTTTTGTACATTGTTCGCTTCTGTAAATTTGCTGTTTTTGCCGCCATACTATGTATTTATTTTGTAGTGTTTCATATTTTTGGGTTTGCTTATATTTAGTCTCTACTTCGTTATTATTTATAGTATTATTGTTCCTGCATGTTAACTAGCTTTTATTGCCACTTGCTGTGATATTATTTATCATATATTTATTTTCTCAACTGTGTTTTGTTAATTGAGTGTGGGTATAGGAGATAGTTGTAATGGTCGCATGTATTATTATGCAATCTTTTTTTGGCCATCTGTAGTATAAATTGCAATGTTAAATGTAAAATGGTGTTTGCCGTATACAAATAAATAAATAAATGGGATACATAGCTCAGTGGTGGGATCCAGAGGGGGGGGCACAGGGGGCAATCGCCCCCCCCCTCGGGGCTTAAATACAGTATATGTATTTGTTTACTGCATGTAATGTAATACAGTAGTGCATACGCATTGCGTAGAATAATTTGTCACCCCCCAATCACCCAGACCTCCTGGTTCGCCCCCCCCCCCTTTGTGACTGTTAAAGCTGAAAGCACACACTGACATAGCTAAAAAGAATACTATGTGAAGATTACTTCTAATCTGTTATACCCTGATTATATTTAGCCAGTTTCCATTGTCTGTGATTTGGCCTTCCTCTAAATTGTTGTCTCAGCAGCATTTTCACACAACAAAAAATATCTCTCTTACCAGGTCAAGAAAATCCTGTTATATCCTGCTTTATTATAATGAAGAACCCTGTTTTATCCTGCATGAATTTTCTCTTCTTAGGGTATCTTTTTGAAGAATCGTGTTTAAATAGCTATTCATACTTTGCTACAATACCTTGCTAAATAATTTAATCACTTGGAGTTCTTTTTTAACTAAAAAAAATCAAGTGTCCACAGAACACCTTATGTTTTATTCTGCTGATGGTTTGAAATCCAAGCTTAGTTTTAAAAACCCTTAATTCAAACCACCAAACTGATGTAAAAAAATAACATTTGAAAAATATGTATATCCACTATTACTAACTAATGACACATCTGTCAATATTGAATTATAGCTTTGACTATTAATACAACTTCAGTATCCAATAGTCAATGATTATAGTAATAACACACAGAACTTGATAAACTCACCCGCAGGTAGGACAAATGTTATCGGGATGAAGTCGAGATGCAAATATCGGCCGGGCACATCTCCCCTCTCTGCTATCGGATTCCCTTCTCTTTCCATCTCTTTTCGATATCGTTTTATATTCTTTACCAATAAGTCCTTTCTAGATAGTTCGTAATGGTTGGGAAAGTGATTGATCATTCTGAAATCCAAAGTAGCTTAGGAGAATCTCTTCTAAATTTATATGAAGATAGTAAATTAAGAGTATGGAACTACAGTAGAACCCCGGTTAACCGAAATAAAGGGGGGAGAGCCGTTTCGGATAATCAATTTTTCGGTTAGCCGTCATGTGCTATATATAGCCTATGCATTCCCATGGCGAGTTAAAAAAATAAATTTTAACAATGTCTCTACAATACACAATTTTATTTCAGCTACAGAAATGCTACAATGGGTAAGAATATACTTTAAAACTATACAAACTGAAGTTACACTAAAGCATTTTACATAACATATTACTTATATTTTTGCTCTGTATTATTTTACAGAACCGTTTCCGTTTTTATTAGGGTAGGTACCTTTATTAATGATGTACAAATTGAAATAGGCAAATGGAAATAGGTGTTTTGATCGTTTGGTACAGAAATCACACAGGTGCGTAAAAATTTTGGTAATGGGGTATCTGCAATATTCAAATGAACTGAGCATCAACAAGCTGTGATACACAAAGAGAACTGTAAAATGATGTTTATGTTTTTAATTTAATAAATAATTTGTGTTATTGTGAGAATAGGGCAATTTTATTTTCAAGTGCATAATTCATCAACTTATTAACTTTATTTTTTCCCAATCCAAAATTATATAAAAAAACTATTTTGATTGTTTTACCCCAAAGAAATTTCTGGGAAACGGATTACTGTGTTATTAATTTTAGTGCATTACTGATCAATTCATTGTCTTGGATGGAAGGAACTAGATATGAATGTTTGGAGAATAACAATAACGTGAAAATTACTTGACCAATTGAGCTGATCTTTTTCATGAGTAGGCTTAAAGGACATACGGAAAGTAAATAAAAGAAACGTCTTATAACACTTAAAACATATATTTACGCTTATACTGTTACTCACAAGACGGTAAATATACAAAAAAAGATGGTAAGTGGTGATCGATTTCGATTGGACACTCCAATCATCATCAGACCCAATATAGGCGAATGACAAGAATCTTGAATGGCGTCCCTACTTATACCCTATTGGCTACCGGAAGCACCGGCCAATAAATTTTTATAAGTACAACTGGAATCGAAATTTACTTGTTCATTAATAAACTTATTTCTATTTTTACATTTATCCTTATAAATATACAGTTCTTCCCAAGCATTCATTACATATCCTTTCTTACAATTCTTTAAAATACCTAGACTATCCTCCATTTTTCCTATTGAGTGGCCATTTTGTAACAGGTGTGTGCGACATTTGATCTTTCCGGTTTGTTGTTCCTCCACGCAGATGTGTGGTTTTTGAAGCGGTTAACGAAGTTCACAGTCTGTCCAATGTAGAAGCTACCACAATCTTTACAATTGATTTTATAGATGCCCGAAGTGTCGAATTTGTTACAATCTTTTATATTTGGATGCAGTATTTTACTCATGGTGTTCTGAGTCCTGTTGGCTATTGAAACTCCGTATTTCTTGAATCTGTTAGCAGTCCTTTGTGTTGTAGTCCCCGTGTAGCTAAATGTGACATATCTGGTGTTTTCCTCTTTTATCTCTTCTAATGTTGTTCTGCTGTGTAGCGTATTCTGCCTATTGATTTTCCTCCTCATCTTTCTTGCGATGTCCTCTATCGTTTTGGTTCGAAATCCATTAACTTGAGCGATCTTCTTAATGGTGTCCAGTTCTTTCTTCCTATTGGCTTGGCTAAGTGGGATCTTATAGGCACGGTACAGCATGGATCTAAAGGCTGCGGTCTTGTGGATTGTCGGATGGATAGATTTTGCTGTTGATTGTAGTGTCCGTTTGCGTAGGTTTCCTGTAGATGTCAAACTCGATCTTGCTGTCTTTTCTCTCTAATGTGAGGTCCAGGAAGTTGATCTTTTTGTTTTCTTCAAACTCGTTGGCAAAGGTGAGGTTCGGATGGTGGCTGTTTAGTGTCTGCATCATCGTTTCGTGCTCTTGCTCCTGGGCTTGTCTGAAGATAACAAGAATGTCGTCTACATATCTAACATACAGTTTTACATAATGATTCTTTCTTAAACTCTTTAAAATTTTTTTCCCTGATTCTGTAAAAATATTTCTGACAAAATTGCCGAAAGTGGACTTCCTATAGCTAAACCATCTGTTTGTTCGTAAAATCTATTGTTAAATTTAAAATAATTTTGTTTTAAAACAGTCACAAGCAATTTTACAATCTGATTGACATATTCATTGTCTAAACTATTCTGTAAAAGCCTACATTTTACAAGATCTACAATTTCAGATACAGGTATGTTGGTGTACAGATTTGCGATATCAAATGAGACTAGCCTACTATTCATATCTACATCTATGTTTTTCACACGTTCAACAAATTCATAACTATTCTTTACATTGTATATATATTCTAATTCTAAATCATTGCTGAGCTTACTTGCTAACAATTTTGAAACATTGTAGGTAGGAGCACATTTAAAGTTAACTAAGGGTCTGATGGGTAAGAAAGAATCATGATGTAAAACTGTATGTTAGATATGTAGACGACATTATTGTTATCTTCAGACAAGCACAGGAGCAAGAGCACAAAACGATGATGCAGACACTAAACAGCCACCATCCGAACCTCACCTTTCCTTTGCCAACGAGTTTGAAGAAAACAAAAGATCAACTTCCTGGACCACACATTAGAGAGAAAGAGACAGCAAGATCGAGTTTGACATCTACAGGAAACCTACGCAAACGGACACTACAATCAACAGCAAATCTATCCATCCGACAATCCACAAGACCGCAGCCTTTAGATCCATGCTGTACCGTGCCTATAAGATCCCACTTAGCCAAGCCAATAGGAAGAAAGAACTGGACACCATTAAGAATATCGCTCAAGTTAATGGATTTCGAACCAAGACGATAGAGAACATCGCAAGAAAGACGAGGAGGAAAATCAATAGGCAGAATACGCCACACAGCAGAACAACATTAGAAGAGATAAAAGAGGAAAACACCAGATATGTCACATGTAGCTACACGGGGACTACAACACAAAGGACTGCTAACAGATTCAAGAAATACGGAGTTTCAATAGCCAACAGGACTCAGAACACCATGAGTACTGCACCCAAATATAGAAGATTGTAACAAATTCGACACTTCGGGCATCTATAAAATCAATTGTAAAGATTGTGGTAGCTTCTACATTGGACAGACTGTGAACTTCGTTAACCGCTTCAAAAACCACATATCTGCGTGGAGGAACAACAAACCGGAAAGATCAAATGTCGCACACACCTGTTACAAAATGGCCACTCAATAGGAAAAATGGAGGATAGTCTAGGTATTTTAAAGAATTGTAAGAAAGGATATGTAATGAATGCTTGGGAAGAACTGTATATTTATAAGGATAAATGTAAAAATAGAAATAAGTTTATTAATGAACAAGTAAATTTCGATTCCAGTTGTACTTATAAAAATTTATTGGCCGGTGCTTCCGGTAGCCAATAGGGTATAAGTAGGGACGCCATTCAAGATTCTTGTCATTCGCCTATATTGGGTCTGATGATGATTGGAGTGTCCAATCGAAATCGATCACCACTTACCATCTTTTTTTGTATATTTACCGTCTTGTGAGTAACAGTATAAGCGTAAATATATGTTTTAAGTGTTATAAGACGTTTCTTTTATTTACTTTCTGTAAATTTAATAACACATACAATGCTGATCAAGAAGTTATTTAAAGGACATAGTGAGCTTTTAAATACTCTACTAGGGCTCTGCCCTTACAGTTGATTAAGTCCAATGTTGTTCCAGTGTTGTCCAATGTTAAGTAACCATTAAAAGCCTTTCAAAATGCCACTCAAACTGGTACGGCAATCAATAGTTTTATTAATACTTATGAAGTCAAACGGGAAGCCCACAGGTAACGTTGTATTTATTGCTATTAATTAATTGTTAATTATTAACTGCTAATATTTTTAAACTATCAGCAACATATAGTGAGATGTGAGAAAAATGCATTTAATTAGGTACACAAACACATACAGTCCCTTTAATGGACAAAAAATAACAACAGTATCCATGTATAAAGTGTATTTACTGTAAATAGTTAGGACCACTTACTGGTTTTCATTCATCCTGTATCCACTGTCGACACTAAATAAATTTCGGCAAGTGTGCATTCCAGCCCTGTGATAACAAATTAAAATACATTTCAAAACTCTGTGAATTCTACCTTTAGTGTTGATACAAGACATACCATCCCCATGCTAAACTTCTAATGAAGACAGCTGGTCCATATGGGATGTCTTCAAAATCCCAAAGTCAATGATTCAACATCGTTATACTTATACAGTATACATAGGTGGATAGTTAAGAGTCATATAACTTATTTAACATTCATTTGTTTAAATTTTCCCCCTACCTTTATGAAGCATTTGAGTGAAGCAAGTTCCGTTAAGACATTTTGATATCCTTTGCTTTGATTGATACTTTTTCACACACGCTTTTGAGGCTAATATGAACGGATATACAGTATTAAAGGTTAAAGGCCGCCAACCTCTAACTATAAAATTTATTTTTTTAACCTTTGAAACATTATGGAAATCAAGAACAATTAAAGTGTGATTCTTAAATTTTCTTACCAATAAAAATTCCAATCATCATCAGGACCAACGTGGACCCAGCCTCGTTTTTCAAAATTGGTCAAAAGCACGGATCGATCCAAATCCGAGCAGTAAGTTACTCGACGGTCCTTGTCAACCAAACTGCTTCCAACTCTACAAAATTCACAAAGTGAGTTACAGTAATATTAGTTCAATGTTTAGTTGAATGTCCTCAAGTATTATAGACTTAAGTAGAGGTATATTATAATAACAGGAGGCCTAAATTAGAAGTAGTAACATAGAAATTATACATAGAAGAAATCAGTCGTGGTAGTTAACCAGGGCCGTACCCATCAGCTTTGGCAGGTCCCAATAAAGATATTGGGCCGGGCCCTGCCCCTCCCCTTGAAGTATATGGTTTTTCCGGTATGGAAACCCCGGTCTGAGTACGGCCCTAGTAGTAACTCCAAAAGTTATGACCGTTCTACTTTTTAAAATCCCACACTATTTTTTGAGGAAGCTGGATAACAATCAAATAACACATTAATTGTTGCAAGACAATTCTTTTTGTAGCTTATCTCAAACTGTGGTCTTAAACGTTGTACCAATAATACAAGATTATTTTATTGTTATAAAATCTTTTAACTATTAGCATCAATCGTGTTCAAGATCTGTGCTTCACAATACTAAGACAAAGGAACTAAGACATCAATACCTAATTAAGTTCCATAAGCCTTTTCTACAAAGTTGATCTAAATTTAAAAGGTTTTCAGATATGATCTTAGAGGTTTTGGAACGCCATTTCTCTGCATTAACCCTAGAAAAGCTGTTTTTTGTCATGGTATAAAATGCTAACAATGATCAGTAAATACAAAACTTTATGCAAATTTGTTGACTCTGAGTACCTCAAACCAGCTAACCGACATCCTTTATCTGCTGTTTTCTTTCTGTGAAAAGCATACTCATCGCCAGTGTCCTCTTCATCAATAACTAAAAAAGGAATTTGAAAAGTAAACAAACAGTGCACAAAATAAATTAAAAAATAAAAATAAAACTTGAAGTGTAGTGCTAATTTTTGTCAAAAATACATGACATTCAAAGAAAACTTTCATAAAAATATTAAGAATCTTAACATTAGGCCTATAGGATTAATTGTTTCACCCAGGGATATAAAATAAATAAAATAAAATAAATGTTAAAATTTGGATAGCCTATAGTTCCAAATTTAGGAACACATCTCTTATTTTATTTCAGAATCAGAATTGTTTATTGCCATAATAATACAAAAATGTACAGAGCAAAATTCACTAAAACTACACAAATAAAATCAGACCCATAAAAATAAAGATACAAACTTCAAGAAGTACATACTGCTGTTTTCATTTTAAAAACGAAGAAACACTGTAAAAAACCTTTACAACTAAGTAAATATTCCCTCAAACCATGCTTAAATTTATTTAAATCATTTTCTTTGCCCTTGATTGCATTGGGAATAGAATTGAAAAGATGGATACACATCACACATGGAGAATGATTGTTTTTTTTTATGAAAAGTGGTCTGTTATTTCATTTTGTATATAAAAGTCAGTCTGTTATTTTTAAGTAGCCTATCATATCTCTATGAAGAATGTCTCCAAATTACAATAATAGGGAGTAATAAAGTAGGTACAGTAATAAGGCTATATGGGACAGCAATGTCCAATATTAGATCTATAGGTACTAGGCTCTATTAATTGATGTTGATAATTTTTTTTAAAGATAAGTTGACTACACTATAACGGTTTGACTACACCAATTCTGATTGAGAAATATGATGAGATGTATTGACCTGTTCATAGTAATTTGTAATGTAACTTTTAGCTCTTTGGATTTGGAGATACCGGTACCTTGTTAAATATAAAATTTGAACTATACAAAAATACACTGTAAGATACTGTACTCAAAACATACCTTCCATATATCAAACCAGAAGTTGAAGACGTATTATTCTTTTGTTTATCAGCAGCAGGTCCCAGAGAAGCCATAGTTTCATTTCAAAACTGCAGTAAGGTTGCCATGGTGTGAAATAAACAAATTGTCAAGGAGAAGGAAGAGGATTCTCTGTTAGAGGAAGTACTGTAGTATGCACGTAATCGTGGTAATATGTTTGATTTCAAATAACTCCGCTTTTGTGTTTTTGAATAAATTTTTAACCTGATGAAAAATAATAAAATTGATATAGTCTTAATACTTTAATATAAATGTTGACGCGGCTTTCCCCGGAAGACCAAGAACGTATTGACAAAGAGTAATCTCGTGTGTAACACTTTAAAAATTATATAGTATGGTTATTTAATCTATGCTTATAGACATAGATAGGATATAATATAGGACTTATATAGGATATATAGCAGGACATATATACGACTTCTCTTCTGTTCAGTATAATAGCATCTTTTAAAATACAAAATCTGCTTTAGTTATTGGTCTAATATTTACTTTTTGGCAAACCAGCAGTATGTAGCGTAGTTCACACATGAAAATAAGACATCGATGTCTAACTCATAAAATGTATAAACATTAAATTTCTATAATTTTTTATGTTTTACAAAACATTTTTTTCAACCCTTGCACCAAAACAGCACCATAACCATGAGTAAGCAAAGGTGACTCAGTCGACAACCTAATGTTTTCGTTCCGCCCGGTTTATGCAAGGGGCGTTTTCGTTTTGAATATTATATTTCTTGGCAGGTATTTAACTCTTGAATAATTTCAGCGATACAAGACTACCTATATACAAGCATGTTCTATGGTTTACAACAAAATAACAAAGAGCAACTCGTAACCGAAGCCCAGTGCCTGATTTAGGGTACTTGCAGCCGTAGGCCAAACTACTTTGAGTGCCCCCCACTGTGGTGGAAATTCCTTGCGATAGTGGAAGTAGGTAATCATTGACACCCGTGATCATGGATGAAATCGTGGACATCTCTCCGAAACCGACATACATGATGGTCACCTGTGATCGTGGCAAACTGGGGGTAAAAACAATTATCTAAAAAATGTTTTTCTCAATCCTCTGCGGACCCCTTTTGCTTGCGGCCCTAGGCCACGGTCTAATCGGCCTAGTAGTATAGATAAAAATGATAAAACTATTAGACTTCTCATCCCATTGTAAATTTTGAAGCACGTTTTTCGTGTCTAGTTCATGTACCGGTACGTGACACAAAGGCGCTAGTGTCGATGAAACTTTGTTTCCATTATTTAGGGTTAATTCCTTGATTTGTGCTTTACTGTTTGGTTATATAACTAGGGGACAAGTTATTGTTTATGATTAGATCGTATTATTTGGTTAAACGAGGTTTTAAATGGCTGTAATAACGGGAAACAAATTTTAACAAAACACGACCTCTACATAAACCGTACAGAACTAACAATAAAATTGTCTTCAGCTGTTCCATAAGGATGAGAAATAGTCCCTTAGTAGATTTCCCATCCTTATGGAACAGCTGAAGCCAATTTTTTGTTAGTTCTGTCCGGTTTTCTGTAGATGTCGTGTTTTGTTTACAATTTGTCTCTTGTTATTTCAGTAGTTTAAAACCTCGTTTAACCAAATAAAACTATTTAAATCATAAACAATAACTCGTCCACTTAGCTATACAACCAAACACTGAGGCACAAATAATGAGAAACTAACCCTAAAATAATACAAACAAAACACGACATCTACAGAAAACCGGACAGAACTAACAATAAAATTGGCTTCAGCTATTTCATAAGGATGGGAAATATATGTTTTATCTATGCTAGTTAGTAGTAATTAGTAAATCCGGCACTGCCGAAGCCACGATATAGTAGCATCATACGAAACCTAACCCTGAAAATCAATAACTAATTGTAATTTTTGTATAGTAAGGATAAAATAGAATGGTTGTGGTTTTTTGTTTTCATTGTAGGGATCTGTGAGTTGGTAATTAGTAGGATTATTTTGTTCGTCATACCAAAGATCAGAGAAAAACATAAACATGGCGGACGAACTTGAAAGTGAGTATTACGTTATATTTATAAATTGTTATTAATATTACGTTAGTGTCAATTGTAATCAATTTTTAGGGCTAAATTATTTGAAAAATAATTTTTATACACGTTGATTTTCATGGCATCGTCATGAGGTGATAGGATTTTCAGGCAGAGAGTTGCGTTAGGTATGGAAAATCAAAATTTTGTCCACGAAATCAGGGCGGGATGTATGAAATTCAAAATAAAAACTCTTATCAATTTATTTGCCTATCGTGAAAGGTTCTTAGTTGAAATCATCCATACAAAATTATGTTTATTTGCTCAATAATAAATTTTAGACTGGGTTTGAGAAATAATAATTACTATGTTCATATTTTTGCTTATACTAAGTCCTAACCTAATTTGTTATGAATTTGGATAAGTTGGCTGTTAAAAACCGTACCAACCTCAATTAATAGCCTTCATATAGGCTATTGCCTTAAATCTGATAAAATTAGGTTGCTTTTACCCAAAGAATGTTATAAAACGGTCGCCTAGGCCTTAAGCTAACATTTAGCTTGTTCATTATTGTCAGACCACTGAGCTTGTTGTCCTATGAACCCTTTGACCGAAGAGCAGTTCATCACTGCTATGACACTTGGTAAGCACTACACCTTGTTGCCGCGATGACATCTCACCTCCACCCTTAACTTAAGAGCTAAACTTATCCCTGCTATGCCGTAAGGCTTTTTAAAAACTTGCCGGATAAGGTGTTGGAGATGAACATCACCTCTTTCAAAGCGGCAATTAGAAACAGCTTAGTAAATAAGTTAGGCCAATGTAGGCCTAAGTTACTCCCTGGAGGAGCTGAGTGAAGTGCCCCTTAAAGTTAGGCCTACTTAGAACGCCTTCCCCTAAAATATGTTAGGCCTACTTGTTTTATTTAAGTTACCGCCACAGCCTGGTTAAGTTTTCGATGTATAATAGGCTAGTAGTGTTATATTTTAAATGTATTTAAGTTATTAACTTAACACATTCTATATGACATTGTCGGTCATCGACATAGCATGGATACAAGTAGGCTATCAAGTTAGATTTTGAATTTGGTTATACTCCTAAATGCAATAATTCTCAAATATTATAACAAAGAACACACTTGCATACAACTTTTGTTAGGCTAGTAGGCTACTGCTGAAGAAATCAAGTCCTACACCCTAAGCTAGAGGCCTAACTTAACTTGCCCTATCGTTTCTGAGATTTTTTACCTGAGGTGACCATGTCCAATATCAGAGACAAAACATCAAGAGCTCTAAAATCTTAGGGGCGTATCCCCAGTGCGGCGCAGCCCTCAGCGTCGAACAAACCCGATTGCCGCGTGTGATTGGCTTTCCAATTTTGGTCTGACGAATAGCAAATAACGTGCGAGGATATCCTGCTTTACAACGAGAGTCGACGTAGTTCGCTAAACACCCACAGATAGCGGCACTGCTTGGAACGTAGCCGGTCCCATTGGAATTGCCAAATGGAGGGAAAAAGACGGGACAAAAAGTAGATTTTTGAGATTGCCAGACGGGGATTTTACGGGGAAATTTTCTACCAACCTACACCACAACAAAATACAATACTATTGAGCAGTGCTGTGCGAGGTTTCAAGTTTCTATCTCTAATCCAGGCTTAAAAATAAATCATTTCGTACTTCATTGCAGCTTGGGAGCGATCACACCCACCAGGATGGCATTAGGGTTCCATATGGGAGCGATCGCTCCCATGCCGCCGCGAACGTGTTAATTAATGCACTAAGATAACTTATAGAGCTGCATACCTTTTTGCTATATAACTGGAAGTAATCAATCTATTTTCCTATGATGTAGGTTAACCTTAAGGTAGGCTAATTTATTCTCTGATATTCTACGAAAGAAAGAAATAAGTATGGTATTTAACTTAGGTATTTTTGGTAGGCCTAGGCCTACACTTATCTTTTCTATGTTAAAACACAACATTGTTGTATCTTATCATTTTAATAATTAATTACTTATTCAGTAGACTTAAAAACTGTCTAGGCCTGCTTACTTATTGACTTAAGGTTTGTCTTCTACAGTCTATATAGGCTATTTAGGCTAGATATAGTAGATTAAGCTTAGTACCGTAGGTATTTTAGTAGTCTATTGACTGTTGATCGTATTTACAGATGAGTCTGCTCAGGCATTGCTGGCATTTAAGAATGGAGGTATAAAATTTGATCCCGGACCAGAGATTAAGATGGAGTCAGAAGATGTGTTGGGTCCTCTCGGCCTTCTCAGGGTCGGCACTGAACTGCCACCACGCTCGCCTCAGCCGGGGCTCATCCTGAATAGGAGAGGAATGGTGAGTAAACGAACAGGTTATAATTTTTGTTTAATTAAAATACATTAAAAAGCCATTAAAATATAGGCTATATTATTTTGTAAGTTAATGTTTGTTAACTTACTATGTGAAGTTAGGATAATATAGCATTATTGCTATTATTTATGGCCCAATAAACGGTGAAAGGCATATGTGTGTTTATCATACAATCTTCTGGTTTTTTCCTCTTCCACGCCTGTGGAATTTGTAAATACCCCCGCCGCAGCAAACCTGCAGACTAAGCGAATTTCCATTAGCCTGATAGGATTTACACTAAAATGTCTCCTTAAAAATATCATATTTATTCCCTATTTAAATAGAATTAGTTAAACGAGTACTTAGGTTTGCTGCAACAGGGAGGGTAAAAAGGTCGTTTTTTATGTTAATAGGTTAGTAAGAAATTAATGTATTTTCCAAATTCGATCAAAATATGTTAATAAACAAGCAAACTACAACAGTTGACTTTTTCTCCATATAGGGATTTTAAATTTACAGTTTTTTGGAATTTTCTCCGTAACCATTAGGCGCACAATAACGCTTCAATATACTTAATTATTTGTTTTTTTATGCTCTACAAAATGGTGTGAAAAGAAATTGTAAAATTTTGTGTTTTTATGGTCAAAAATGGGAAAAACCTATTTTTACCCCATAAAACCCCCCATAAACCCCCGTTCCCATAGTCCGATCATGCTGGTTCGCGAACTCGTTCGAATAAATGTAGGTTTACACGTTTGTACTAAATTTCATCAAAATCGGATGATTTTTGCTCGAGTTATCGTGCTAACGGACACATATATATATATATATATATATAAATATATATATATAAATATATATATATAAATATATATATATAAATATATATATAAATATATATATATGAATTTGAACGGATGGTGTTTTTGGCCTCTAGGGACCTCAAAACGAAAAAATAAATCGATACCGGGTCCAGGTCTTACCATGAGTACTACGGTAATAGCTTATTCCCTATATGGGAAATTCGCTAAAACGTCTACTCAAACTATTTTAGGCCATCTAGTGCATTCAATATGTTTTGTGGGTGTGTTGGAAATCGAACCCGTCCCTATAGCACTTGTTCTCCATTTAACCCATGGTCTTTATCCGAAAATGCTTGATAATCGTACCCGGTTTGCTGCGGCACTCACAATTTCATTTGGGGCGTATTGCCTCCAATTGTTTGCCAGAAAATGTTTTGTATGACTTGCAAAGCAGTGTTTTAATATTTACCTACCTTGGAACTGTTGTTCATAGTTCAACCTTCTAAGATCAAATATTGTTTCAACTAAGGAATTGTAACAACCATGGAGAATAGCCTATCTATTACTGTATCCTAGAATTTCATTATTTGCTTAAGGGGTGTGTGGCATCCATTTTATGCTGTAATCAGTGGCGTCTGTTGTCATACAGTTTCCAGTGTGGGAACACTCACCATAGTCTAAAGGCGGTTTCACACTGGCGTCCGCGGATGATAATTTCGTCCGCGGACGGATGAAATGATTCGGATGGATGCTACGCGCCCCCTTCACATTGCGAGCTACGTTTCAAACGTCCACTCATTCGCGCATGCGCATAGGGAAGATGACCATTCCTACTACAATCATAGATTTAACATACTTCCTCTTACAACTCAGTGGAGGTGTGCAAAATGTCTGAGCCTTCTGTCCCATGGTGTCAACCCGGATTTTCTGTTATGTGGCTTGGCTTGATTCAAGTAGTGATGATAGTGACGACGAGGTTGTACTTTTGTACTCATTATCAAAAAGGAGAAAGTGGGTTCATCCGATTAACAGTAAGCGGCAACGATTTGGTGAATCATTGTAATAATGCAAATAATTATAGTAAATACAAATCATTGTATTAATGATTTACTGTACAGTAATTCGTATAACTATACATGGTTATTGGTTAGGACTATCTCTTTGGAGTGTAGTCGCAATTTCCAACCAAGCTTTATCTTTCTCTTGTTGATCCCTATAAATTTCTATAGTTGTATCCCAGATGGGTAGGCACGGACAGCCTCAATTAATTCAGCCATAACAAACAACAAGGGAGGACACAAAACAACAACTACATGAACACTATGACTGTAAACACAAACTACTAAACACTGTGATGCGAGTGACACATGCCTCGCTGAGAGCTACACGTGGTTTGGTGCTCTGTCTGCGCATGCGCGAGGGCGTGATCGTCCGTGGACGTTTTAGAAAAATCGCTCCCAGAGCGATTCCACCAAATCGTCCACGGACGAATTTCTGCATCCGCGGGTGGACGCTACGTTTCAATGGGCGGTGTGAACGGTCCCATCTGATAACATGGGCAGCGATTTATTTTCGCATCCGTCCGCGTACGAAGAAATCGTCCGCGGATGCCAGTGTGAAACCACCTTAAGAAATGCCTAACATACCATACCTGACCAAGTTTAACAGTTGGGATCTTGGAAAAAACTGAGTGTTCCCCACCCTAGTACAGGTCGGCCAAAGTTTCTGTGCGCGCGACCAGATCTGGTTGAGTCTTGGCGAGGGGGTTGGCGGGGGTACTTTTGTGAAAACATTTGTGTCTTGCTACTCACTCACCACTACCCCCAGCACTGCCAATAGCCGGTGCCCGAATGTTTTAGTTCGGCTAGTAGCGACTCGTCCACGCGCACAGAAGTTTTGGCCGAGCTGTACACCACGGGCTGTAAAGCTACGGTACCTAAATACCTAATACCGGACGGTCAGGGTTAGGTTATGAATTAATCTTTAATAAGGCTTATTTGTTGTTATTAAAATGATTGCTAATATATCCTGATTTAATTTTCAGCGTTTGGAGTCATTAATAATAATAGGGTAATATAGGTATAGGCCTATTACCAGAAATTGTTTTTTTTTTCAACCAATACCAAATATTTTTGCCTAATACCAGATTTGAATTCCCTAATACCGAATTTGTGCCGCCTAATACTGACGGCAATCCCGCCAGTGCTCAAGAAGCCTAAAAACGTGTTGAAGCAATTTTCATACTCATTTAATAATTCTTAAATTTTGGAATTTTAGAAAATTTATCATTTTAGTTGTAATAATTCTGGATTTTATAGCCATTTATTATTAATAACTAGTAGAAGACGCATGCTGCCCCGCAGCGTTGAATTAAATTTAATATAGGCCTACTAGAAATAATCAAATTTATGATTTTTGATTGAGTAATACAGTATCTGAACTTAACTGATTCAAACAAATAATAGCTCAAATTAAAGCCTATAATTTACTTATTATTTTCAGTCTAAAACATATAAAAAAACATAATCAATACTGGAGCTATTAATTTTAATCATAGAAAACCTTTATAAAAATAATATTATACAGGGTGATTGGTGCTCAGTGTGACAAAATATTTTTGGTGTAAGTACAAAGTAAATGCAATGTGATGATGCATATAATATATTCCAAGTCTAAAAATTAGCTTCCCAAAGAATTATTTTATGTTTTTCAAAAATAACTATGCTTTCCAACCATATTCTACACCATTGAGCTTTATGTCTGCTTATGTACGCTTTAGTGGTTTGAAGACTACAAAGCATGGTGTCTTTAACATTTAAAACATAGAAAGTCGGCATGTATTAAGCAAAAGTTGTATTTTCGTTTCAGCTTGAACAGTAAAACAGTAAAAAAGTTCCCTGTTTTCTGGAATTCAAACCACTAAAACAAACAAAAAAATATCTAAACCTCAAAAGTGTAGCATATGGTTGGAAAGCTTATAAAATGGCGCAGTTTTTTACATATTCCGACACTTCCTTGTATACAGGTTATGAAAAATGCAATTGACCATTGTTTTTTTTTAATTTTTATCAAACATCTTAACTTTGTCTTTGAATCTATTTACAATGGAGTTTTTACAACGGATCCTCCTTCATTTTCTATTATTCTTATTCAAAATTTAATGTAGAACACGAAAATGGCATTATCTACTCAAATCCATATACAGGTAATTGAGAAATCGCTGTATTAAGTTTAAAAGCGTGGTTATTTTTGAAAAACATAAAATAATTTTTTGGGAAGCTAATTTTTAGACTTGGAACATTTTATTTTATATGCATCATCACACTTCATTTACTTTGTACTTACACCAAAAAATTTTTGTCACTCTGAGTACCAATCACCCTGTATTGGTTGTTCGCCTTGCGTTTGCTTAAAACTTGTCCGATTTGAATAACTAATAGCTTGAATGAAAGCCAGTATTTCACTGAAGGTCCTTAGACTAAAATGTATCGTTTTTAATAATGAATACATCCACTGAACAATGATGCAAATGACATTCTCTACTGCTGCAGGGGGCATTTTGTTTTTAAAAATACATAGGTTGGCAGCACTTACATGTTGATGAATGTGCGGGAAACTGGCAGTGTTAGTATCAGCGCGCCCAGAACATTTTGTTATGAAAATTTGTACTTTTATCAAATAACATTGTTGGGCAGAGTTATTAAATTTTTAAAAAGAGCTGGAATCCAGCCTATATGCTGTGTTTAGATTAAGGTTTAAATTCATTTTGACATTAGGCTAATTTCAGTGCTTTCTACTCTGTTTAGCCTCAAAGAGTAAGGAAGAAAAACCGTTTGTTTTTTGATGATGATGTAGTAAACATCACGACTCCAAAAACTAAACGGAGCACTGGAAAATCACCTGCGAAAAAACCTCCATCCGCTGGTAAAGTGATTCGGACTATAAAAAGTGAAGAGTCTCCTATTAAGCAAGACAGGTAAAACTTGAGTATAGTATTTTTGCTTTACCTTTAAAATGGTCTGAGTAGGCCTACTTAAGTGGTTGTAGTTTGTAGTGCTCGTTTTATAATCTGAAGGCCGCTGGTTCTATTGAAAAGGAGATTGATTATTTGTCATTTGGCTATCAATTAATAATGTGCTATATAACAAAAGGTCGAAAGTAGATATAGTAACAAGACCAGGGTTTGTGTTTAATAAGGCATTAATAAGGCATTTATTCCGTCATTCAGCACATTACAAATTAACAATAGACATCGTCACATTTTATTTACAAGACTTCTACGGATAATAATAAAACCCTGTAGTTAAAATGAATTTGCACAACAGACTCATACTTAAGTTTACTCTGATTATTTAGACAATGAACATTGAAATTTTACGTTCTGTTCCATTGACAATGTCAATCAGGGTGTCTAGTAGTCGGGAAAATCGGGAAAGTCGGGAATTAGTATTGAATTTCAAAATGGTCTTGAAAAGTCGGGATTTAGTCTTAAATTTGATTTCAAAGTCGGGAATTTTCATGATTTTGCCGCGATTGTCGTCTTGCGTTTACGTAACCGTGAAAGCCAATGATGATGATGTCTACACGGCCTCGGGAAATGTTCACGATTTTGCCGCGATAGTGGACGACGACGATGACGTTTCCGAAACCGCGGGAGACGACGATGACGTTTCCAAAACCGCGGGAGACGACGATGACCTTTCCGTGACCGCTATGGACGACGATAAAATTACCGTGACCGCGGGAGACGACGATAACGTTTCCGTGACCACGAGAGACGACGATGACGTTTCTGTGACAGCGGGAGACGACGATGACGTTTCCGTGGCCGCGGGAGACGACGATGACGTTCCCGTGACCGCAGTAGATGACGATGGCGTTTCCGTGACCGCGGGAGATGACGTTGATGTTTACACGGGCAGGGGAAATGTTCTCATGATTTTTCCACGATCGCGGAGGACGACAATAACGTTTCCGTGACCGCAGTAGATGACGGTGTTGTTTAAATAGCCGCGGGAAATGTTCATGATTTTGCCACGATCCCGGACGACGACGATGACGTTTCCGTGACCTTGGGAGATGACGATGACTTTTCCGTGACCGTGGGAGACGACGATGATGTCTACACGGCCGCGGGAAATGACGATGACGTTTCCGTAACTGCGGGAGACGACGATGATGTCTACACGGCCGCGGGAAATGTTCATGATTTTGCCGTGATCGCGGACGACGACGATAACGTTTCCGTGACCGCGGGTGATGACGGTGATGTCTAAACAGCCGCAGGAAATGTTCATGATTTTGGCGCGATCCCGGACGACGACGATGACGTTTCTGTAACCGCTGCAGTCAATGATGATGTCTAAACGTACGGTACGCGGAAGATTTTATGATAAAAAAAAACCAAATTTGCTAGTTAGAATTTTTCATTGCTGCATTATTTCTTTACTTGAAAACTCCACATTATCATAATACTACTTTATGAAAAAGGCAGGGGTTGGTGTAGTATTATTTAGAAAATTTGGTTAAGCTATAAAAATTGGTATCGGTATCAAGAATCGAAAATCGATACATTTTTTTATCAACGCCCACTAATTGTTGAAAAAACTAGTCTTGAAAAATATGGAATTAGTCTTGAAAAGTCTGGAATTAGTCTTGAATTTTACAATGGAAATAAACTAGACACCCTGGTCAATGCATGTAATGTCCATGATAATAAATGATTTGCTATGATTTGATTTGAATATTTCTGTGTGTAAGTTAGTACTGTATTTTTGATGCCTCTTCGAGTAAACTATTCTATCTTTTTACAGTCCTGATCGAAGACTTGGACAGAAAATCGGAATGAGATTGAGAAACCTTTTGAAGCTACCCAAAGCCCACAAGTGGGTTTGTTACGAGTGGTTTTACAGCAACATAGACAAGTAAGTAATTGTTGTAAATATTCATAATACTTAATGTTTTATGTTTGCTAAATCGTTTCTTTTGTCAACACGTAAACCTTAGTTGGAGTGATGAGAAATATTTTTCACAGTTACTATAAAGAATAAAATGTTTTGTCCGTATTAATGTATTATATACACTTTCTGTTTGCACAGAGCACTTTTTGGAGGTGATAACGATTTCATGGTTTGCCTGAAGGAAAACTTCCCACAGTTGAAAACTCGCTGTTTGAGCCGTGTGGAATGGTGCAAGCTGCGAAGAATTATGGGAAAACCTCGGAGATGTTCTCAGGTTTGTAATAGATAATGGACTTTTTGTTTGCCTTGTTTTTTAAATAACAATTGCTAAGTTATTCAAAGCAAACATGTTTACATTAGAATTACATTTTTATTTTGTAAACCTACTTTTTTTACATTTTGTTCCATCATCATCTCATAACCACTTCTTCTCATAAAGTGACACTGATGTAGCAGCATAATTTGTTGTGATCACAAATTGCTAAATTTTTGTTCATATTGATTTTACATGGAAAGACGTGCTTGTTATTTTGATGTAGGTTCAGACCTTGGTGGACTAAACTAAAAATACTTTTTACCAGATCCTTTCATGATTTAAGTTATATTAACAAATACTCACAAACTAAAAACAACTCACAGCACAAAGGTAATCAAATCAATTGAAATGCTTATAGGCCTACCTACAGTAGGCTACAGTCCCACAAACTGGATGTAATATGATTCTGAAATGCATCTATAAAAAACACTAGCCTAGTTATTAGGCCTACTACAGTCTAACCAAAATTGTTGCCTACTTTGGAGGTCTAATCTAATTTAGAATAAGTTAAATGTTTAAATAAATTTCATGACTATCACCATTGACTATGTCACCCTAGATTATTTTTTCTAACTAGGCCTAAGCATGTAATGTTTCTTACCTCAGATTCGACATATTGATTAAATCCTCAGCAAGCTGGGAGACATTTTGTTTTGAAAAATTAGTAGACACCAAGTAATAAGTTAGTGAGTTTAATGTCCATTCAATGTAAAATTCAAAACAATCTTTTGTACATAGGCATTTTTCACTGAAGAAAGAAGAGAATTAGAAAATAAGAGGACAAAAATCCGCTTAGTGCAGCAACGTAAGATTGGGGACATTTCTCATTGTAAAGATCTGCCTAATGAGATCCCACTACAACTAGTCATTGGTTCTAAGGTTAGTTGGCCAAACTTTTTTCTCAATGGATAGCCTAGCTTATATATAATTTTTAGGGATGGACGGGTCCCGAAATTTCGGGAATTATTCGGGAAAAAAATATTCCCGATTATCGGGACGGGATTACATTTGATTCGGGAATTTTTCGGGACGGGATTTGGTCCGATTGTCGGCGATTTTGCCGCTTCGCGAGTGCCGATAACGCCGCTATTGCGAGCGATAGGTCCGCGAACGCAGGAGACGATTTCGACGATCATTCAATCGTCATTTCGACGATTGCGCCGTGACCGCGGAGTCATAACGACGATCGCGCCGTGACAGCGGGGTCATGCCGACGATTGCACCGTGACCGCGAGTCATACCGACGATCGCGCCGTGACCGCGGAGCTATGCCGACGATCGCGCCGTGACAGCGGAGTCATGCCGACGATCGCGCCGTGACCGCGGAGTTATGCCGACGATCGCACCGTGACGGCGGAGTCATGCCGACGATCGCACCGTTACCGCGGAGTCATGCCGACATTCGCGCCGTGACCGCGGAGTCATGCCGACGATCGCACCGTGACCGCGGAGTCATGCCGACGATCGCGCCGTGACCGCGGAGTCCTGCCGACGATCGCGCCGTGACCGAGGAGTCATGCCGACGATCGCGCCGTGACCGCGGAGTCATGCCGACGATTGCACCGTGACCGCGAGTCATACCGACGATCGCGCCGTGACCGCGAGTCACAAGTTTCTATAGGTACCTGTATATTGTTACCTTTTTTTTGGTTTTTATAAATCAGTACCAAAAACGGTAAAAATTGATTTTGTATGTCTTTTTTGGTACCTGTATATTGTTACCTATTTTTTGGTTTTTATAGATCAGTACCAAAAACGTTAAAAATTGATTTTGTATGTCTTTTTTGGTAACTGCTATACTCAAGACTTTTCTTTTTATACACAGAAAAAATCCCGTCCCGTCCCGTCCCGAAAATCGGGAAGGAAATAAAAATCCCGTCCCGTCCCGTCCCGAACTAAAAATTCAATCCCGTCCATCCCTAATAATTTTTTACATTTAAAAAATGTAAACACTACTCACCACATAAAACACCACACTACTCTATTTTGAATAAGCAGAGAGATTGGATAGCTTGTATAATAAAAAAAACTGTAATTTGTAATAATTATTATGCCTAAATTAGGTTAATCAATTTTCTCCGTTGTTAAACATCAATTTAAAACACTTGGGGAAGGAAAGTATAATTATTGACCACTGGGGAGGTTTGACCCACATTTGAATTTCCCTCCATACAGTTGGCTAGGGACAGCCAATCACATTCATAGGTTGTATTTGGAGGGAAACTAACCTGTAAGGGAAAATGGAAGCAATAGCTCACCTTGTTTTCAAGTTGTATTTGTAATATTCATGCTGTAATTTCTGCAATTTTGTTGTATTTGTCTACATTGTGTAAAAAATACCACGAGAAGCATTGGAAATAGCATTTGGTTTGTTGTTTGTTTGAAGCCAATATATTTCTCAACAGTAAGTTATATAAATAAGTTACATAACCTAAAAAAATTAGAATCTCAGGAAATTTTAAATAAGTGCACTTAAGGAGTTGTGGTCCATTTGGCATTGGGCATGGTTGGTCCAGGGCCATACAGTATTTCGGAATAGGCGGAATAGGGTGGCAAATTTTAGGGGCAGCAAAATTTGGGAGGATAAATAATCAAAAAGGAGGTTTTTTATCTTAACCCTAGGATTTGATGTGTGCGCTTGGTGCCCAACATTTTTTTTACAAACGCTTACCATGCAATGAAAATGATCCAGACGCGTAATAATTTTGATACCGTTGGAAAGAAGAGATTATGAACTTTTATTTTCATATATAAAGCACTAACATATATGTAGCACTAACATCTTGAAAAAATCTACAAGTCGTAATTTTGGCCTAAACAGGAAGTGGTTGGTACCATTAAACGAACTTGAGTTGTTCTTTATTTTCGTATAGAGAACTTTGTCATACGACGTAAGGAAGTCTGAAAAATATTTTACGCCACACTACATTATTTTGACGAACTTTCCACGCAAGGATTTAGTCCAGAAAACAGCTGTTTGCCGCCAGCTTATTCAAATGGGGTTTCATTGCGTACTACTGTTCTGCAATGAGTTTTACCGGACACCAATCAGCTGATTATACTTGTATTTGCGTGGCAATGAGTGGTTATAAACAAAAGCATAACCTCTCTTGGAGGTTATGACTAGTAATTTTTACTCCTTTAGTTGGTGGAAATATATAAGGATTTGTACGGATTAAGTAGTATGGCGTAAATTATCGTACGTAACTCGTCCAAAATATGTGTACCGGACTCGTATGGTAATCCCGTACTCGACTTCGTCTCGCACGGGAACGACCACACTCGTCCGGTAAACACTTATTTTCAGGACTAGTAACGTAATATACTATTGTTAAAATCAGCTGTTTTGTCAGTGGGCCATTTTGCCCAAACAGCCATCCAAACGGCGGTTTCTAAATCACAAATAAATATGTTGTTAATTGACATAGAGTGATGAGAGTCATACCTATTTAAAGCTAAGAAAACGTTCTATCTCTATGTTTTAGTGCCTTTCGGTATTGAGATTTAGGTGACACATTAGTTTTAACTAGAAAAACAAGTTGTTTGTATTCTGCTCGCCGGAATCTAAATTAGGTTTTCAGTGCGGCTACATCTGGGCTAATTTTCATTAGAGGTTAGTGTTTTAGTGTAAAAGAAGTGTATTGTCAGGTGGTGTATGAGTTAGCTGTAGTGTTTATCCATATTAGGCTTGGTAAGTATTATTATTTATGTCAAAATTTGTGTTATTGAAATGGTGGTTGCTTAGATGTTATGCCTATTATCCAATAGTCAATGCTATTAGGCTAGGCCTAAATCTCCTAAATCCTAGCCTAGCCTACAATCGTATGTGTGTCTCACGCCAGAATAATGCTTCTGGAACCTTTATTTGTTTATATTTCTGTATATATATATATAGGTATTTATATATATATATATATAATATATATATACACAGTATATATTTTCTTGATCAGAAATATATTTCTTACAAATTCAAAATATTTATCATATATTATACTTAACACTACAAGAACATGAAAACGGAGCAGCAGTGTATGGTGTTGTAACCAAGGCAACATACAATGGTAAACCAAAGACAACTGATTACAACACAGCCTTCAGTAAATTAATAGATGATTTCAAGCTAAGGAAATACAAGAGACTTGTGTGTTCACCCATGGGGTGTGTCAGGGATAATATTAGTGTTCAAAATTTTGTGAAAAACTTAGTAAAATTGCATCGTATCACTGGGAAGCCAGTTACAGTAATAATACAGGATGAAGAATCAAGTAGAACTTTGCAAAATGGATTGAGCTACCAGGAATTTAAAAATAGTATACGAGAAGAGCTTTATAAATGGATAAATATAAACACTCAATCTGTTTCTTTCCCTGGTCCTTGTATAATGGCAACAACCTCTACTCTATCACATTCCCTGAACACTATTCACACCCATCATACAACTTCAACCAGCAATCTGGGCTCAATAGAGCCAACTCCAGTGGATGATAGGATGAAGCAGCCAGCGACAATGTCCAAGAATCCTACAACTCTGCAATCTCAAGAGACTGCTAATTGCCAATCACCCCTTGCTGCTGTTGGTTCTGGTCATGATGTCACAATTGGCTCAATGGTGGACTTCCCCCCTCTACAAGCACCCCCTGTTACACCAGATCCAGATCAGCTGCAGCGGCCTGCGCCTGTGTCAAGTGATGGGGGGCAGATTCTCTCTGGGGTTGTGAGTGATAGTGGCTCTGGTTTTTTATTGGAAACTCCAATACAAGTGATAGCAACATGATTTGTAATGGCGACTCCCGCTCCCACTTTAAACCCATCAGTAATAATAATCTCAACAAAAACGTACAAACAGAAAAAAATGTAATAAAAATATTCCATCAAAATATTCAGCACTTACCATCAAGGATCGAACCTTTATTAGTGACTATAAATGAATTAACTCCTCATATTGTAATCTTAACAGAACACGATATGAAGGAAAATGAAATTAACAGACTCAATATACAAGATTATGATGTAAACAATTTTTATTGTAGAAAAACATGTTTCAAGGGTGGCGTCGTTATGCTTTCCCTGAAGGGTTTAAAGTGGAAGCGGGTGGATGTTCCAAATTGGTTTTCTGGTAGTTTACTTCAAGATAAGCAATTCGAATTTTGTGCCTGTAGCTATATAATTGAGAATTAGACATAATTTCGAAATAAGAGAGCTATATAAAGACCCAGATATAACAGCTGAGGTAAAAAGCAGACGCATTAGGTGGGCGGGTCATGTCCTCAGAAGAGAACATGGCACAACCTTAAGCAGTGTATTAAGGAACGACCCAGAAGGCAGAAGGCCACCAGGCAGGCCTAAACTGAGATGGAAGGACCAGGTGCGACGGGACTTGAGGAAGCTGGGTAGAAATGAAGACCAGGCGCAGGACAGAGAAGGCTGGAGGCAATGTGTAGGCGAGGCCAAGTACCACTTGGGGTACCTATGGCCACTGCAGTAAGTAAGTAAGTAAGCTATATAATTGACGGATTTAAAATTTTGGCAATTGGAGTGTATAGGTCACCTAGCTCGGATTGTGAAATATTTTTAGATAGATTGAGCATGTTAATTTCCTACTTTTCCAAAAAGTTTGTTAATATAATTTTGGGAGGGGATATAAACATTGATGTTTTAAAAAATAACCCTAATCATAAATTACTAAAAAGAACACTAAAAGTTCATAAAATGAGGTATCTGGTCAATTTCCCAACCAGAGTTACTGAGGAATCTGAATCAGCAATTGATAACTTTATAATTAAAAATTGTCATGATTGCAAGGTAACTGTTGAGGGAATTGTAACTTGTCTATCAGATCATGATGGGCAATTGCTCCTTATAAAAAATAAAAACCTAAATAATACAAAAGAGGTTCAATCAACTATAAAACGTACAACTCGTAACTTCAATATTCAAAATTTGAATTTATTTAAAAACCTCTTGGAAACTGAGATTTGGGAGAGTGTTTACATGGCTCCTGTTGAAAGAAAATATGATGAATTTTATAGTACATTTAAGCACTTTTTTGACATTTCGTTTCCCAAAATTACTGTAACTGAAAAGAAACGCAAAAAAAATTGGATCTCAGAAGACCTGAAAAATGAAAAAAAAGAACTACTACAATTGGCCTTAAAACTTCGTAGGAACAAAAATCCTGCCTTGAAATACGAGTTAAAACAAAACAAACTGAAATATAGGGCAAAATTAGTCAGAGCTAAAACAAATTATTTTGAAAATAAAATAAAAAAATCAGCCAATATACAAAAAACAGTATGGCAGATTATAAATTCTGAAGTTGGGAAAGGAAATGGAACAAAAAATAAAAATATTACTTTGAAAGAGGGAAATTGTAGCTTAAGTGATCCTAGAACTATTGCCAACATGTTCAACAATTATTTTACTAATGTTGATCAGGATGTCAGTGGCAACCAATGTGAGAGCAAGATTGAAAATCAAAGTCTTATTGAAAATGAGCAATGTATTAAAAGAGGTTTTGATTTTAAATTTATTGATGCGGGGGAGGTGGAAAAAGTAATTAACTCTTTAAAAAACAAACATTCTGTTGGACACGATGATGTCCCTATTAAAGTTATAAAGCATGCCAAAAAATGCCTGAGCCATATTTTAAGTCATTTAATAAATTCATCTTTTGTATCAGGAATTTTTCCAAATCAATTAAAAAAATCTAAAATAATACCAATTTATAAGAAAGACGACCTAGAAACTGTGTCAAATTACCGTCCTATTTCTCTCCTATAAATTTATCAAAAATTTATGAAAAAATTGTTAACTGTCAGTTATTAAATTATTTAGAAGAATTTAAACTATTAAACAATACTCAGCATGGATTTAGGCCTGGAAAATCTGTAATTACAGCAGCAGTGTCATTCATAGAATCTATAATTGAATCGGTTGATAAAGGGGAGTTCACAATTGGAATTTTCATGGACCTAACTAAGGCATTTGATAGTGTCAACCACACCCAACTGATAGATAAATTACTCATTAGGGGTTACAAAAAAATCAATAAAATGGTTTCAGTCATACCTAAATAATCGTCAGTTTGTAGAAATCACACATAATCATGATAACAGAATTACAGCATTTTCTTCTGAAACTGAAAGGGTTAAATGTGGTGTACCCCAGGGGTCAATCCTTGGCCCCCTGTTGTTTTTATGTTCAAGAATCAAGAATCAAGAATCAAGAATTTCATATTATATAACATATTAAGAATTTCATGTTATATAAATGATGCTGGTGGTGCACTCTGATGTTTACCTCAGAACAATCTTTGTTTTTATGCAGACGATACAAATCTCAAAGTATCGGCTGAGTCAGTGCAACAAGTTGAAATTTTAAGTTTTGTTGAATTGGCAAACATTGGAAACTTTCTAGAGCAAAATAAATTGAAGCTTAATCCTAAAAAAACTAATTTTTTAACTTTTAAAACAAATCAAAATAAAAAGTTAATTAAACCAAATATTGTGTATAATGCAGAAGAAATTGAACATAAACACAGTACACAGTTTCTAGGTCTAACTGTGGACCAAAATTTAAACTGGGATGAACATGTTGATAAACTCCTTTCAAAATTATGTTCAGGACTATATTCACTCTCTAGAATGTCTTATTTTTGTAACCATAAAACATTAAAAAACATATATTATGCTAATGTCCATTCGCATTTATCCTATGGTTTGTGCCTTTATGGTTCAACTACAATAGCAAATTTGGATAGGATACTTAAACTTCAAAAAATAGCAATAAGAATAATTTTGAAATTAGAACACAATGAAACAACCAAAAACAAATTCAAAGAACTGAAAATTTTAACGGTATATGGCCAATATATTTACGACACAATTATTCTAGTAAAAAACTGCTTGAGCACCTCTGAGACAAATTATCACCCATACAACACTCGGCATAAAACATTCCTTATTTCAAGTAAACATAAATTAAAATTCTATGAAAAAAAAACCATCCTATATAGGATTAAAATTTTTTAAGCATCTTCCTAATGAAATCAGAAATGAACAAAGCAGGAAGAATTTCATGAGAAAGCTAAAACTATGTTTAGTAGAGAAAGCATTCTATTCCCTGGAAGAGTATTTTTCCACCTCCCCTCTTAGCGTTAGTACATAATTGATTCAGTTTTGATTATTTCCATTTCCTGATTCTTGGTTTTTTATTTAGATAATGATCCAAGATATGCAAATCTGTAAATTATTAATTTAAGATAGATTTAGTTGACACCATTCAATGTACAACACTGTACTTTATGAATAAAGCATATTTGATTTGATTGATATATGTATTAATTGAAATACAAATATAACAAATAATACATATTTTGTATGTATTGAAATATATACAAATATAAGTTGTTTTTAGGTGTTAACAGTGTGTTATTTTTAAAGTTTTAAAGTACTAAAATTAGATCTAACTTTGAATAACTAATTTTTGTTTTCGGAAAAACTAAAATTTGTTTTTCAAGTCATAAAAAAGTTATAACTTTGTACATTATGACATTATTCTGAATAAATGTATTGTTACCTTTAGTAATATAAGAACTTTTGTATATAATGTATACTTCTGATTATATTTTTATGTTTCAAATGTTCGGCGCAAATTTGTTGAATTTCCCCAATTTCCGTATTTTACCCTGTAATTCTGGTAAACAAATTATTTGAAACAAATCAATCCCATTTCCAGGTATGGAAATAAATTTCCTACATTTAATTTATCTTAGATTGTCTGTGAAACAATTTGTGTAAAAATGCTAGGCCTCTGCTTTTGAAAATTATTCCAAAAATTTGAATTTTTTTCACATTTTGCAAAAGAACTACCAACAGGGATTCCTGATATTTTTTATTCTAAATCTCCTTTCTTTTCTGAACAAAACAAGTATGAATATGACTAGGTTATCAACAGTATTTTAGGCAGTGGCGGATTTACCTACGGCGCCGCCCCTAGGCCCGTTCGGCCCCTAGACCTTAAATGATGTACAACTCAACATAGGCTGTCATTAAAGATTTTCTTCTGACCCCCGACGGGCCGTCCCCCAAAGGTGATATCCGACCACCATGTACACAGAAAAGTAGCTTACAATTTCCAGTAACGGTATACCAAATGTGGTTGTGATATCGTTTGTCGTTTAAAAGTTATAAAGTCGTCCTAAGACTTAACGGTCACCCTGTATTATAAGAACCCTTTTTAAATAACATAATGTATACTGTTGTTTTCCCGCTGCAAAACACGATTATGACTTCTGAATGAATCCAACAACGTTGCTTTCCATGTATCCAAGACAGGATCACGATTTGAATGAAAACTGTGAAACAAAAAAGTCTGTAAAAAGGGCTCAAAATGTTTATTATGATATTAATTTATTTTTTGGCTCAAATTTGTTTATGCAGCATGCTTTGCAGATTACTTTTGTACAAAACCAGCTGACAAGGCAGGGTAATCTTAGTGAGGTCGGGGAGCGCGCTGACGAGCGATGGTGTGGACGGGGCGGCTAACTTCAATGCCTAGAGGTGGCAGATGGTCAAATACGTCCCTGAGTTGGCCACATAGTCATGGTCGGAAATATGAATATTTAAAGGTTGACTTCGGTACCGGGTTCAAATCCCGCCAAATCACCAATGGATTTAATCTAAGTGGTAATGCCGCAACCACTAGGTTTAGCCTGAAGTATTCTGAAAAACCACGGCTTGTGCCTAGCGTCTTAAGGAAAAAAAACTGATAGTTATTTATATTTATTTTACATGGTCTAATATTTTACTGTTGTAACAGTGACATATTAAAAAAATCTTATTTAGCCACAGGACTCATTCCTGCCAATGTGTGAGAAGTAACAGAAAATAGATAAGGAGTTGACAAACTGTGTGACACTTGATCTGATGTCGTGACTGTGTATACTATTGCTGGACAAAGATCAGCTGATTGAGTGAAATATTTGTTGCAGGTAACTGCCAGGTTGCGTCGTCCACAAGACGGATTGTTTACAGGCAGTATTGACGCTGTGGACACTTCCAACAACACTTACAGAATCACCTTCGAGCGGCCAGGTCTCGGCACACATTCAGTCCCAGACTATGAAGTATTGGTGAGTAAATCAATCAATCAAATCCAAGAAAAAATCTTTTTCACTTTTTCCTCCTATACTTAAGCCTCGTTCACACGGGGCGAGTTTACACGCTACTCGCCGGCGTGTAAGAAGCCGGCGAGTGTGGTTGTATTCGTTCACACGGAGCTTGTCCACTAGCCAACTCGCCGGCGTGTAAGAAGCCGGCGAGTGCGCTTGTAGTCGTTTACACGATGCTTTTTCCACTCGCTCAGTAGCTGGCTTGAACCAAATCCTCCACCATCTTTGAATAACACGCGCACAAGCACACAATCAACTGTGTTCACACTGGGCTACTTTACACGCCTACTTGCTCAAAAGCTGGCGAGTTGGCGTGTAAAGTAGCGGCAGCGTCAACTTTTTCCAGAGCTTTTTTACAAGCAGCTTTTGAGCGAGTACGTCGTTCACACTGAGCTATTTTACTAGCTGCGTGTAAAAAAGCCGGAGTGTAGCTTGTAAACTCGCCCCGTGTGAACGGGGCTTTAGTAGCTATATGTTTCGAAATACATTTTCCTTCAAAATGTTTGAGTTTGAGTTTTGGATGAAATATTCGTTTTGGATCCCCCTAAACCCTATTAAAGTGGGTTTTGAAGTGATATATATTAAGTGTGGGGACACACAGACCTATAAATGTAGAAATGACGGACTACACTTGTGGTCAGATTTTGACAAAATTCAATGTGTGGGTACTAATCCATGGTATCTCCTGTTTGTTTTAAATTTAGTTGAAATTTTAATTGTTTACACAGTGAAAAATGTTTATTAATTGCATACTAAAACAGCTGTTCAGTAAATACATGACACGCACAAGAGTGTTTGTTTTCATAGTGAGTTCGTTTTCAGTTTCGATAACTGGATTGGAGCGATTGATTACATATTATCTTTGAGGTCACTCTTTTAAGTCAATGGAAATTATGACTGTTATTAGTTTTAAATTAACGCCTGTAATACTTTGCAATTGCTCGAATTTGAGCAACAGGTGCACTAGTTATAAAGGTTTTTGGAGTTAATGGCAGAAAGTATTTATCGTTTTGCTGCTACCGTTTATTTCAATATACAAACCTGTTTGCAGTCCCACGAACCTCCAGATACAATGCCCATGAGTAGTTTATCAGCTTTGTTCCGACCTCGGTTGTCGTCTGCGTCTACACCCTCGGTGCCGTCTCGTATCCCCCCATCCTTGCCATCTGCAGGTCCAGACCCCATGTTGTCTGCAGTCAGCAGCAAACCAAAGGCAGACACACCTATAGGCAGCGCTTTCCCACAGAACGCCTTAGAGATGATTGTAAGTACAGTATCTAGTTTAAAAAATTGAAATTCGTTGTGTAGCCCCTGATCTGTTTATTAATTAAACTATTATTTAAGTTACATACCTTTATCCTCACAGTTCATTAGTATGGTTCAACTCAAAAGTAATACGGTCTGCCTCCGTACCGTGATTGGTTAATAGTAGGCCTACTAATTACCTATAATGTTTTGTCGTACAATGTGCCGTCTTACATGTGTATTTATTTGAATGTTCTTGACGAGTTTGAAATAGATGTAACGTTCTTGATGGATCACTTGACAATGCCCATATATAGGCGAAACATATAGTGAGTTTGACCATCCTATTGAACTGGGGGTGTAAAGGTGTGGAGTCAATCTCCACAACACAACACTGTTTGAATGTCCCGCCAATCTCAACCCCTACCGCTGCTCGTGCATGCGCAGGGAGCAGGCGGGTAAGACGAGTGAGAAATCGCTCTGTCGTGCATCTGACTTCGGACATCATGGAAGGCTAAGTTCTTTTGGGAAATGGGGGGACGCCCCCTTAAGGTATTGTGTCGTAGTAGTAGAATTAAATAATATGTAATTTCAGATCATCACATCAAATCCAATATATCATTCATTGCATCATTAATTATCAGTCATTAATTCAGATTTTAGTTCACGTTGTGTCCAGTCAACTTATATATTAGTTATTTCATATGTTGAACCAAGTACATATTTCTGAGATATAAATGCATTAATTAATCAAACTATCATCAAAGCTGGCTCTTGGGGCCTGTTAATTGCGGTAAATTGTCTCCTCTGTTTTATATAATGTGTTCAGTTTACGTTTCCAACAAGAACGATTTGGTCTGGAATTTGATTCACATGACCAGGTCACCAAAATGTGGCACCTTTATGCCACAAAGGTATGTACCTTTATTGCAATCATTGTATTTTACATGAGATTTTTAGAGGTATTTAAAATTTAGTTTCTTAAATGATTTGCACAAATTTGTCTAACCTCTTTGATCGCTTGACAAAAAAACTTGAACAAAGTTTGGTTCAAAGAAACATTGGATATTATTGAAAACAATGTCGCAAATAATTCTACATTACCTAACCCTTTCAGACCCGGGAATCTTAAGGCGGTTTCACACTGGCGTCCGCGGACGATAATTTCGTCCGCGGACGGATGAAATGATTCGGATGGATGCTACGCGCCCCCTTCACATTGCGAGCTACGTTTCAAACGTCCACTCATTCGCGCATGCGCATATGGAGTTGGCCATTCCTACTACAATCATAGATTAAACATACTTCCTCTTACAACTCAGTGAAGGTGTGCAAAATGTCTGAGCCTTCTGTCCCATGGCGTCAACCCGGATTTTCTGTTCTGTGGCTTGATTCAAGTAGTGATGATAGTGACGACGAGGTTGTACTTTTGTACTCATTATCAAAAAGGAGAAAGTGGGTTCATCCAATTAACAGTAAGCGGCAGCGATTTGGTGAATCATTGTAATAATGCAAATAATCAAAGTAATACAAATCTAATAATGATTTACTGTACAGTAATTCGTATAATATACATGGTTATTGGTTAGGATACTTTATTCTCTTTGTAATCTCTGTGGAGTGTAGTCGCAATTTCCAACCAAATTTTATCTTTCTCTTGTTGATCTCTATAAATTTCTATAGTTGTATCCCAGATAACTGGGTAGGCACGGACAGCCTCAATTAATTCAGCCATAACAAACAACAAGGGAGGACACGAAACAACAACTAGATGAACACTATGACTGTAAACACAAACTACTAAACACTGTGATGCGAGTGACACATGCCTCGCTGAGAGCTACTGCTCTGTCTGCGCATGCGCGAGGGCGTGATCGTCCGCGGACGTTTTAGAAAAATTGCTCCCAGAGCGATTCCACCAAATCGTCCACGGACGAATTTCTGCATCCGCGGATGGACGCTACGTTTCAATGGGCGGTGTGAACGGTCCCATCTGATAACATGGGCAGCGATTTATTTTCGCATCCGTCCGCGGACGAAGAAATCGTCCGCGGATGCCAGTGTGAAACCGCCTTTAGACATCTCGACCGCTTTAAGTCCTGAGAAAATTTTGAATAAATGTTGGTTTTTAACCTAGATTTCAAATACTAAAATTATTGATTAGGTTTGTTTTAAAGACAAAACCTTCATAATACTATATTAACCATTTCAGTTTCAGCAATAATTACCATTATATACGTTTAAAAACATAAATAAAACAGTCATTAACCTTAACAGTTGCCTCTTTTACTGTTCCTCTATTTTAAATACCTTATTTGTTTAGTAGGCTACAATGAAAATGGAAGATCTGGAAGTAAGAGTCTATTTTCTTTTCACTCAATGTCAATTTATAGTAAAAGTTAAAAAATGTTTTTCTCAGTTCTATTCACATTTATACATAGATTCTATCTTTTACTTCTAGGTAAGATTGAGTAAAATCTTGGATATAAAGAAAATCAAAGTTAAACATCTTCAAGATTTCAACACAGAAGCTGAGAGGATGAAATCATTTGGTGACCCGATAACAGAAGACTTTCAAAAGAGATATGCGAACAAAGTGATTGAACTAGAGCATCTCAACGTTCATCTCAAGGAAATATTAGCTTCAGTTCAGAAACACTGTCATGAGGTAAGAAGATTCAAGATTCAAAGAGTCTTTATAATAATAATAATAATAATAAAAATCTTTATTTGTCATAAGGATACATTAGATCATCGACAAAGTCTAAATCATGATTATACATCAATCGTCAAACAAAACAAAATCAAAACACTTTCAATATTTTGAAAAAACAATAGAGGGCTTAGTAACTAAAATATGTACAAATGACTAAACAAACAACAATATAAGGACCTGATAAAGCAACAGGTTAGCAGCAGGGTTATACAATACAATCAAAGATTTATTTTTCCAGATTTGAGCAAATCGTCCAGGCTATAAGAAGGGTTGTCTAATAGCCAATTATAAAACAAGGCCTTAAATTTTTCTTGCGGATAAGCATCAATATTGTGTTTTAAAAGGTTATATACTTTAGTTGATAACACTATGTGGCTCTTGCTAGTCTTACTCAGACGATGTGATTCTAACAAGGCACTATTATTAAATCTGGTATTGTGATTATGATAATTGAATTTTAGGTAATGGGTTTTTTTTAACAAGATCATAAATAAACAAATTTATTACAGTTTGAATCTTAAAATCCTTAAAAAGAGGCTTGCAGTGATCGTCTGGCTCTGATCCATTCATAGCTCTGATAGCCCCCTTCTGTAGGATTGACATTTCATTAATTCGTCCACACCCACCCCAGAATATCAATCCATATCTCATTACAGACTGAAAATATGCAAAATAAGCCGATCTCAAATAGTTCTTTGGAATCACATTTTTGAGACGACCAAGAAGAAAAATTACTCGAGATAGTCTAGTAGACAAATAATTTATATGCTCATTCCAGGATAGTTTATTATCAATATGAAGACCCAAAAATGTTGTAGTGACAGCACTATTTTCATTATTTAAGGCAGAATCGTGTTTCAATGTAAATTTTATTTCTTGAGTTTTACAGTCATTCAATAGAAAGCCATTGACATGAAACCATTTGGATGCGTTACATTTTGTGACTTGGACTAAATTTTGAAGTACAAGTTGGTTATTGTTTTCATGAAAAAAAGTTGTATCATACGCGTACAGAATAGTTTTAGTATTTATTGCCATTGGAAGGTCATTAATGTAAATTAAAAACAGAAGTGGGCCAAGGACTGATCCCTGTGGAACGCCCCAAGTTACTTCCCTTTCTTGTGACTTTTTCCCATTAGAATTTACTAGTTGTTTCCGGTTTTTTAAATAAGATGAAAGAAAATTTAGAGAAGATCCGTTAAACCCATACAGTTCTAACTTTTTAGTAAGAATTTCAAAGTCAACACAATCAAATGCTTTGCTCAGGTCACAAAAGGTGCCCTGAGCAAAGGTCTTGCTTTCAAAGGACTGATGAATTTGCCTGATGAGATTGTCAAAAGCATCAATTAATTGTAGACATTCCTTTTCTAAATCCAAATTGGGAAACATTAAACAAGTCATTTGCCTAAAAATATTCACTGATTTGTTCATAGACTAGTAAGTATTTCAATTAATTTTCCAAGGACTGGGACAATTGAGACAGGACGATAACTCTGGGGCTCGTTTTTGGGACCCTTCTTATAGACCGGGCAAACGCGAGAAATCCTCATTGAATCTGGAAATAATCCTTCCCTTAACAATGCATTTGTACTCATAGCAAGGGGTACATCTAAACTATGGATAATGCTTTTAAGTAATTTGTTTGACATTCCATACACATCTTTACTATTAGATTACTAGATTACTATTTATTCATACAGTACAAATTTTCGTACATGAATAGTGTCTATTGTTACTTACTACCTAAATTAGCAATAAGAAACATTTAAACAAAATACTATAGTCTACATTATTTTAAATTTCAATTACTATAATCTTCTATTTTGTAAGGTGCAAGGTCAAGTAAGAATACCTTCAGTTTTTTCATAAATTTAGATTTGTCTTTTTCGTTTTTTAAAAAACTAGGAAGTTTTCTAAAAAAATAGTTTCCGATATAAGAAGGTTTATTTTTAAAAAGTTCCAGTCTTGGTTTTTCTTTTGCTAAATAATTTTTACCCCTTGTATTATAATTATGCACAGGCAATTCTTGAGTCTCAGCAATATTTAAAAAATATTTAATTGTTTCAAAAATATATAAGGTGTGAACTGTAAAAATACCCATCCCTTTAAAATAAGATTTGACAGACTGGTTATATTTTAATTTATGTATTATCCTGATTGCTTTTTTTTGTATTTTCAAAATCTTTTTTAAATTCTTTTTCTTTGTCCCACCATAAATACTAATTCCATAGTTAATATGTGATTCAATATGAGCATGATATATCATTTTAAGGACTGATCCTTCACAGAGATATGACATTTTTCTTAGGACGAATATACCAGAATTTAGTTTTTTTATTAAATACTCGACATGTTTATTCCAGCTTAAATCCTCATCTATTATCAAACCCAATAGTTTTGAGGTTTTAACTTGAGCAATGGAATTTGTATCTATATCTAACTTTATACTTTTTATCATTTTTGTCTCTTTTTGTTTTGAAAAGTATGAAATTAGTTTTACTAGTATTAAGTACTAAATTATGGTCTTTTAAAAACTGATTCAGACTTTTTAATTCTAATTTAGCAGACATTTCTAAATCAGTCAGAAGCCTTACTTGAACCCGTTGAATTAATCATGTTAGGTGTTAGCATTCCTGTGACATCCTACCAAAAAGCGAGTTGAGGTAAAGTTTTCTCACAAAATGTGAATTTTGTTGATCAAATGACATTCCGAAAACATATAACAACATGGTGAAAAATACATTCAAACTTACATAAGGTGTAGTAAACATGTATGCCTACTGTATAAACAAAGATCAGACTCTAATCTCATTGGAGTCTTAAAAATATGGATCACCGATACCATAGTTTAGATATATTACCACTGTCTTGTACGGAGCATTGAAAGATGTCGCAAAAAATAATTACATTCTCTTTCAATGATATTTGCTTTGATTGGTCAGCTGGCTCCTGAGGCGGCTCTAGCAGCCATGCTAATGCCAGGTCAGATACAAGAGTTGAGTCATCTAGAGGCCAAACAGATGGTCATGAGGTACAACACGTCAATCAAGGACGACGGAGTCATTGACCTCATCACCAGTCTCACCTCACTCATGCTTCAAGTGAAGGTAACAATAGACCGTTGATCTTACTAGAAAGTGTTTTTTTTGTCATAGTACGTTAGGCTCTAGGATCCAGCCTGGGGTCGTTTTTCTCATTGTACTAGGCTAGACCTAGGTGATGCGACATTGTCACTCAGATAAAATCAATTGGTGATTTGGCGGGATTTGAACCGGGACCTCTGGGAACTAAGTCCCGCGCTCTGTACTGTAATCGCACAACTTGTTTGCCAGCGGTGTGTGTGGGGGGAGAGCGGTACCAATCTCCCACCGCAGCCAAAGTTTCCTTGGCATTGGTCGGATTAAGCTTCCTAAAAACATTCGACCAGCGCTGTTCAGGTTGTTTTCCTTTTTTGCGTACATTTTTTTGAATTTCAATTTGAATTTAATTCAAGTACCATACAATTTAATTACTAAGGGTTCAATATTATTGTTTTGGTACTGTAGTAGAGTAATTAATTTTGATATAACTATGTTTTTTACTTATAAAATGAACACTAAACAGTAAAATCGTTGTATATTCCAATGTAATTGTAAAGTTTGACTTATTAGGTGTAAACCATTAACTGAGTTTATAGGTGATATCTTAAAATATAGTATTTTATGTAAAAACGCATACAGATATACCTAACCTATAAACAGAAAACCAAGGCTTAGTACATATAATTATGGAAACTTTTTGCTTATTTTCATATCATGTACAATAAATAACTTCTTAAAATATCGGACAGTTTTTCCGATCACTCTGTAAAACGGTTAATGGTTTGCAGTTATTTATTTTATATCCCTAAGTTGATAAAAGGAAAGTTGGTCTCTTAATGTCGTAAAGTATTTTGTGTCACTATTTTATGACCGGAAGAGTATTGTATTCTATCGTGTTCTATCGACTGTCAGTTTGAGTTTATTGGAATGTGTTGTGGAGTTGAGTAGTGCGGTTGAGTTTCAAATTGAGTGATTGTTTTAGGCTGTGGCTTAACAAATTGTTTGGCTAACTTAGTTTAATATCATGGCAACCGCCCATAAAAAAGGGCAAACCATATACAGTGAAGCGAGGGAAATTATAAGTATAAGACCAACAGGCGCCGTGTGTTGGTGTTACACATCCACTGGGAGTAGAAGTAGGAAGTAGTATAGACAACATTTTTAGGGAAACTAGTACCAGATCGCCAAGCGCCGGGCTGTGGTGGGGGCCCCTCCTGGCCCAAACAAGTCGTGCGCTTACAGTAGAACAGCTCACTCAGTAGTTCTTCTTCCTAGAAAGTAGATCTAGATGAGTCAAAGAGGGCTGAAGGGAAGAGTGGAGTGAAATGGCAGATGACTAAGTAGAGCAGGATAAACTACCCACTTAACTTTAAAACCATGATAAAGCTGTGGACTTGGTCGACTTTGGAAAAAGATTAGGATTGAGCCAAGAATGACGAATGTTATGGTTGAAACTTAATTTTACAATAGTAGAGCCAATTCCGATTTTTGAAAACTTGAAATTGGTGATACCAAGGAGTTATAAATTCTAGATACTTTGCTACTTTGGATTTGATACCAGTTTTAGGATATCCCAAAATCGTTGTAAAATGGTGATCACCTCAACTGCCATTGTGGCAACATAATGATCAGTTTCCACTAATGATAACAGTGCATTTTCAACTGCGTAGACTTAACATGCGGATATTGTGAGTAACTTTAATAACACATGAGTCCTGTCTTAAAAAAAGCAGCTAACGTGATTATATCCCACGGTCGCAAAGACATCCATCGTCTTTGTCGATCCTGGACGGATTGTGATCATCTCCCTCGATTGAGGAGATATCGTCTTCCAAGGTCATGGGACGGCAAAATTAACTTTCAAGATTCCATCAACCGACATAGGATATTTTCTATTGTACAATCTTTGCAGAAGCTTATTTCCATTGTGAGGTATAAACTTTGTCCAGCTCAGTGTCCTTATGAATTGCAAAATGAGTCATTAAGGTAAACCACATGACATATTTGTATAATATTAATCGTAAATTTGCAATTTGTTTTGTGACTGAAATGTACGATTTATTGATCGGTTAACATTTTATTTAGAGATGTAGCAACAACAGCAGGCCTGAACAAAATGTACTTACATATTAATAATTATCCTTCTTAATCCTATGCACAATTGAATGGTTGGTGAGAAATGGTAATTTATTTGTTTTTTTCTACTAATGTTTTAAACTTTTAGTTATGATTTGATTTTGCTATTTACTTTTTTAACAATCATCCAATGCAAACCCCATATGTTCCAGAACTTATCTGAATCCGAACGAAGTTCGTACGAAGTAGACATTTTGAATACATCGATGGAACAGATAAAAACAAAGCTGAATCCAGCCAATAGGAGCGTGTTTGAAAACTGTGTTGAAGTACACATGAGGCATATTCAGCTCGGACTGACAGGACCTCTGAGTTTCTCTTTATAGCAAGAGTTCCAAGGCCTAGCAGGTCTAGTCTAAAGGGAACTGTGTAGCCTAATAGTCAAGTAATTCTGGCACTTAGTGCAAGATATTTACCTAAGTTTTCAGAATTTTGCTGAGTGTGAAATAAGTTTTTCAAATCTAGAACACCAAATTTAAGTTTAAGGTATAGTTATGGATGGTCAATAAATTTAGAAATGAGATATAATAATTTTTAGTAATTTAGTTATAGTATAAATATTCCAGGAAATCATTTATTTATTTTGAATCATACAATATGATGTAATTTGAATCAAGATAAGATATTAGTAAAATCAATTACAGTATGCACTTAGTCAGACAGGACTCGTGATGCTACTTTTATTCCAATGATTAAATAGGAACATTCTTTTTCGTCCACGTTATCACTCTCAATAATATTAGGACTTATAATTATATTTATTAATTTTTTTCTATCCATCCTATATAAAGAATAGTTGATTTTTATCAATTTATTTTTGTTAACTGTGTCGATACCTTTTTACTTATAGATTATATCTATACTGTTTACTTTTTTTAATACTTGTATATTTGTTTTGAAAGACAATTAATTGGTGAATGTTCTAATTGTAAATAATAAAAGTTACGTTTGAGTCCGATTGTTAGGGAAGGGGTAAAAGCATGTTAGTGTTTACCCAACTTTAAGTCTCATGTTTGTGAAATGTATTGAGTCATTGCAAATTGTGTAATTAATTTAACCTATCCTTTAAGTGTAATCTAATCTCAATAGCATTAATTTTATACATTATACGTTCTGTAAATTATGTAGCAAATGTTTGATTGTATCAAAGTACAGTAGACCTCCTTTTAACCGACCTCACATAAACCGACAATCGGATTATCCGCCCTCGATCGTAAAATATTACGGTTTGTTTTAACCGACCTTGCTTTGAGAGCAGTTCAGTTTAACAGCCGCTTTCTAGGAATCTCGGCATTTCCGCTCCCAAGCTCAGTGATGGGAACCATACGATTATCTCCACAGGATGTGACTAAAATAAGCTATTTTGTATTAAAGGCCTGTCACACCGGCGTAGCCAGACGTCTTCGGTGTATTAATACGTCGCCAGTGCACTGTTCACACCGCAGCTACGTCTGACGGCTATGTAGCTGGTGAGCCAGCTGTTGTTTATTTTATTATATTAGTTTATATTTGATTATTTTTTTGCTTAATTTTATTAGGGTTTCATGAATTTCAGTTAAGATTGCCACGGTCCAATTGCAGCTTTTATTGTACCCTGAAAAGTCTGTTGATTAATGCGTTAATGTTGAAAAAAATGTTTCACTCTAATTTTAGGCCGTATATAGCAGACTATACAACTTGCGCTATATTATAATATAAAAAATACGAGCTGGTGGCCCGTCCTACATACGGGAAACGAGTTGTCAACTAAAACGGAATAATTCAGAACATCTAGTTTACACGCATAGACACAAATTCTGGCAGTTTTAATAGGGAAGATCACCTTATAAACAAATGTAACGTGACCACCTATTTATTCCATTCGAATATAGACCCAAAATATGGCGATATGTATTTTAAATCCGATAATTTAACCATAAAACAGCATATGTCGATTTGAAAAATCTTGAAGTGAGATTGGCGACCGATTCACACTGGTTTTGAGTAGAGTAGCTACATGCCACCTCCAATTGCATAGGCTACTGTACTATGTACTTACCGTACGTACCTTATCTTACCTCCGTTACCACTGAAACTTTTATGGGGATTCTCTTCTATCACCTGCCTCTTCAAAATTTAGATCCCAGTCTGAGGATGCATTTCATAACTTGATATTTCCCGTCTATCGTGCGGTACTCCTGGGAATATACTTTTTAAAAGTTTATGCACAGCCTGTCCATCCAAGCTTTACCTACTTCTGGAAACAATCCCTATATTTGGGTGTTAACACATTCCTCTTAGCTCTCTGTTCTTTTTTATTTCGACTTCCGGGCCGTTATCTTGAACTGGTCTGTATATTTTCTCTGCACTTTATTATCTAACCCATCATTAAGGTTTTTCGGTTCTTTGGTCAGTGCCCAAGTTTCTGAATCATCAGTACTACGGGGATAGTTGGTACGGTATGAGTCGACTTCTGCTGCACCCTGCAGTTTTTTAACAGTTTTATAGAGACCTACTACACCGATTGACGCTTTCATTACTAACCAAAATTTTAGTATGCCGACATACTCACATTCAATCATACAGAAAAAGAAGTATCAACACGTACACCACTTATATCTTAAACAATTAAGCGATAAACTGCTGAAAAATATTTCCCAAATAAGAGTTGAAATTTACAATGCATAAACTAAATACTTACACAGATTGCATTTACGACAAAACTTGATTAAACGCAAGTGTTTGAGATGTTTAGTTCAAAATAACACATTTCCTGATAACGCAGATCCTTCACGGTAAGGGAAAACTACCTACATTTTAAAGTGAAATAGTATGTAAGCAAACACCAACGAACAATATTTTTGTAAACAAACAACTCGTAACATAAACATTTCAATGACAGTTATAAACCAGCTGTTAGTTAAACCAGCATTGAAAATACTTTAAATTGCTAGCGTCGGCTGCTAGACTTTTTAAAAATTAAAACTTAATTTCTAAAAAACTGAAACCCTAAACTAAAATTATGGCTTCGACATTCCCTAGTTCTCAAAATTATCTTTCTTTCAATACAAAAATCATGAAAATCCGTCAAGTGGTTGATTCAGAATCGTGAAATAAAAAAACCCTGTTTCGTTTTAATATTATAGATTACCAGAAAACATGCAATAATTTTTTGTAGGCCTATGTCTAGAAATAATTAATTATTGTTTCATAAATGTCAGCCCACAACATGGACAACAATCCACTAATAAATTAATAAACCATATCATTAAGAGGGACAACTTTTTTGAGATTCCTTAGTAACACAAAGGATATTACATTTTTGTGTTATAGTCCATAATTTACTGCTTATAAATTAATTATGAGGGGGAGGGAGGGTGGCGGTGACAGGCCGGTGTGTTAGTGCCCATGAAGTACGACTTCAAAATAATGATCATACAGTATAATTCTAAATGAATAGCACTTAGTTTTGTTGTTTTTAGGGATTGCCCGGTTTAACCGACCTTTTGAGTTATCCAAACCTAGGTCCAGTCCCATTAGGGTCGGTTAAGAGGGGGTCTACTGTATATTCTTAAATTAGATATTTATATTTATCAGTTAATTTTTTAAACACAAACTTATCGTGATTACTACATTGATCTCAAATAAAATTGTAGTTTTTTACTTTGTTGTATTAATCACATCTTACATACTTAGCCACACTTTTTGTGAACACTGCTTGCCTATTTGTATAAAACTATACTGCATAGACCAATAAAAAATGATATTTTACAACAAATACTTCTTACAAAAATAAGAACATAAGTATTCCTTGCTAGCAGGAATAGAATATAATTTAATAAAAATTGATTTATATATGATTTATAAAATATTAATTATATTTTGAATGTGTATCAAGTTGTTGGTGTTTTATTCAAAATATCATACTAAATCTGCAGCCCAAAATTCAAATGTAATTTGGGGGTAGCAGATTCTTATCCCCCTGGAATTTTACCCCCTGAGCAAAACTGACATCACAGCCTAGGGGATGAAATTCCGGCTGTGAACTATTGTGTTGTCCAACCTGAGCTGAATAAATGAAATGTGCAATTAAACACCATCTTTTCATGGTTGTGAATTTAATTAGAACAAATTAAATTATAAAACCTAGAGTGTACGGGCCGGAATTTTACCTCTTCATGAGTTAAGCTCAAAATGTACGGCCCAGATTCTTACATCCTGTCCAGGCATAGAATTTGGTGAGAATAATTAATTTAGTACATAATTGGTGCTTTTATAAAAAGACTTTTAATAAGTTTACAAAAATTTACCACTTGTTTATATTAAATGTTGTAGGCAAATTGAATTTGTAAACAAAAAATCTAAATAGTTCAAAACATGTGCACACTTAAGTAGTACGTAACTGTTTCTGTGAAAAATATCACTAAAACAATTATCCCTTAACCGCGCGGGGGTGACATACCCCCTCGTATGTTAATTTTGTCATAATTTTACAAGTATGGTGGCAACCCTGGTGAGCATAACAGTAGCTGCCTAAAATAGCATATGCTATCATCTGGCCGCAGGGTTGTTAGTCTTGACCACAGAAAACATACTACCAAAACCCAGAATGCTGACCGTGTGGAGCTTTGCCTACAAATTATATTAGTATGTTTTCTGTGGTCTTGACTGAGCCATTGACCTGTTATCACCACTCTGGGGTCTGGCATACCCCCAAGCGCATGCTTGTGTTACAGGCTGGACCAAAGTTCTAGGCGTCTGGCGAACGCATGCACATTAATTTGCTGTGTTAATTCCCCATCTGTCAAAACTTGGGGTAACATATGATTAAATGCAAATTCGTTACTACGCATGCGTCAGCGAGACGCCTAGAACTATGGTCCGGCCTGTACCAGTACTGTGTTCATTAGGGGGTCTAGTGTACCCTGTGCCCGTAGTAGTGTCTCAGTTTTATTATCATAATTAGTTAATAACTTAATCATTATAATTTTGATATTATTGAAAGTTTGCCAAAAAAACTTAGGATCTGTAAACCAATGGGATGGAAATGTCCAACCATAGAATCCACTGATCCAGCCTCCCAGTGCAAAGGCACGTCTGCCTTGATAACCGTTTGCCTTGGGCAAAAAGATGCCAAGACCAAATTTAAGTGTACAACCTTACAAAACTAATGTTCCGGGGACAAATTTAAAATATCTGTGAAGTGTGTTTGAAATTACTTCTTAACCAACCACTGGACGAGGATGTTTGAAAAAAAACATTCATTATCAAAGAAAAAAAAATTGTACAGTATTTTTGCGTTTAAGGGTTAATTGTCATATGCTTAACATTTTGATAATTCGAGGGCAAAGCCAGTACAGTACAGTAGGTTTATACAGCTAAGGTTGTGGTAACTTACTTAACTCCATAATCAATTACACAAACTAGAACAAATAAATCAAAACTACTACAGTGCTGCTACAGTAATACAGTGTTACTACTACAGTAATGTGAAATTCTATTTTTTTAATCGGCTGTCTGATATTGCTAAATGAGCATTTCGATGGTTATAAGCACAATAGTTGTATGTCCATTTTGGTAAACTTTCGGAAACCGCAAAAACAATGTTTGTATTTTGGGGGAAATTTAAACTAAAACTGTTAAATGTTTGAATTGAATAAATTTTATTGGCCACATTTATTAAAAATGCATCTACATAAATAGTTTTATCTTTATTCAAGCTACATTTTTACAAATAATTTGTAAATCAAACCATGTTGGACATACTATGTGTGTGCACTTCTGAAAGCGCAGATTTATGGACATGCTACGAGTGTGCAATACAAAAGCTGCCCCTAGATGATTTTAGTAAGGAATGAAATTTTTAAACAACTGTTATCATGGGCGCCCCCTGGCTAAAAAAATAAGAAATAAATTTAATACCCATAATGTTCTGTGATCATTTGGGTTTTTAAGGAATTTATAAAAGTATGTTCAAAATGGTCATGCCTAAAAAATGTTTTAAATTGATGTTTAAATCAAATAAGTAGTTGACTCACAGATGTAAAAATCTTTTATACTT